ATCTGGACATTGGTCCTATTAATTCTCTGTAAATTATTTACTTGTATTAAAAAACTGGTTTCAACCTTACTGCTATAGTTTTAACTTGAGACAATCAATGTTTAAACTTTTCAAATTAAACTAAAATACTAAATTGTTATCGGAAACCTCTACAAATGTTGAGGTTTCATGTCTACATGTCTACATGTTGTCTGCTGCACAAAGGTTCTCATTCATTCATTTGGGGCTGAAAGGACTAATTGAAGCAAAGCAAGTTTAGCAAATTATCATTCATCAATTGCATAAAAGCTTCAATCACTATTTACATCTCTCGATTCACACTAGTTTCAAGATACGCTTCTTTCAAATAAGATTTGAATGTTTTTTCACGCAACAACAAAATGTACTACTAAAATACTCCCGGGTAACGCCTTAAACAGGGCAAGTGGAAACGCTCCCATTCAGGGTAGAGTAGAGCCGAGTGGAGAAGGGCTGTGTTCACTTCCTTTATACTTTACGCAGTGATCTTCTGGTAACTGGACTCCACAGTGCTACACAATAATATCCATCTACTCTTTACCAACTCAGATCCTTTTCAACAACTGGAAGATTTCTCCATTTGATCCCATTTCCTTCATCCAATTTAAATAATTATCTGTTCGTCTGCTGCTGGGGGTTAATTGTGTTGTTCAAATTGGATCAGGAACCACTTGAGCGAGTAAATAAATAAAACCATTGTAGACTGTGTGGACTCAACAGACTGTGTGGACTTAATAAGAGCTCGCTGCACATATAGATCAAAATAGGAATATTATAAAGAAGTGTAAAGAATTTAGGTTATATAATCACGCAAACACCAGCAAATTACCAGATTTTGGGCCAAAAATAGATGAATAAATTGCAAAAATATAATTTTCACCATGAATTATTATTATGAGGTGTCCAGAATAAACACAAAGTCCTAAGAAGTCCTGGTTGGGCAAATACACACTAGGTTTAAATTGCGTCAAGGTGTGAGACAATACAGCCAGACAGCGACAGATGAACAGGTTTCATTTCTTACTTCACACCAATCACAATAGAACTTTACAAGTTTCCTTAATAATTTTGTTGAATGTCCAAACAGTGTAGTTCACATTTGTATACTCAAATATATTTTCAAACAAACCTGTAATACACCATTTTTAAAAATATATTTGAATATGCAAATGTGTACAACACTGTTATGCTCAAAAACATATGGGATACACACAGTGGGGCGGCTGCGGCTGTGTCCTTAGGCAAGACACTTCACCCTCGTTGCCTATAGTGTGTGTCTAGTACATGTGTGGATGGCTGGTGGTGGTCAGAGGGGCCGATGGCATGTACGGGTTGCCTCACTTCTGTCAGTGTGCCCCAGGGCAGATGTGGCAACAGTGGTAGATCCATATGAAGCATTTTGAGTGTCCAGAAAAGCGCTATGTAAAACTGATGCATTATTATTATCATTATTATTATATGAGCAACACAATGTTTGGACATATTTGATTATTGTGCGAATTTGCATATTTAATACTAATAGCTTGGTCCTAGCCTTACCTTAGCCATCCATAAACTCCAGCCAATTTTGATTTCCCTTAGTATGAAATTAAATTTGTACGATGGTGTGGTAAGACCAGGCGAGCTTGGTCCAGTTTTCTGGCCGTACTCAAATCTTGAATCCTGATAGAAATACAGTGTGATGAAACTGTAAGGTAGTATGACATAACAAAGCAGCAGTAACACAACAACAAATGGATTTAAATTGACACACAAGCACAGAGCACCTATGTCTCCATCACAATCTCACACTCATTTGGTGTCTCCTGATTGGCCCTCGGGGATAGATCTCCCCTTTGAGAGCTTGGATTTGAACACTCTTGGGCCCTGTTCTGCTGAAGGCGTCAGACGTCAGCTGCACACGCCTCTCTTTATGCATTTTGACTTGTATGATCTCCAGCCAGCTCTTTGACATTTGTGACGATGGACCGAGAGCCAATAAAGAGAAATAATCTGCTTCCCCTGGATCCTGTGGAGCACGGTGTCTGCAGCAGAGAGGCCAGTGTGGAGAGCATCAGCCGGACCTGCCTCAGCACTTGACTTTAGGAGACTGGTGGGATAAAGCTTTGTCAGTCAGACGGCCAATGGAGTATACAAACAATAAGAAAGATTGTTTGATTCTTCCACATTGTTGCAAGTCTTACACTTTGATAGTCTTTGGAGGTGGGGTGCACATGCAGGTGAAACTCAAAAAATTTGACTATTAACTACTCAAAATTAAACTATTAAAAACTCAATTTACTTCAGTGATTATGCATAATATTTCCAAACCTTGTATATTGATTGTATTATTCTGTTGTCAAATGATGGTTTTTGGAATAAACATATAAATTAATGAAAAATATGACAGACTCTTTCCATGCAAAGTGAAACCCTTCTTTGTTATAATGTTGATTGACACACAGCTTATAAAAATCCAATAAAAATCATCGGACTGTAAGCCAAAATTATTGCAAACAACAGCTTTCTATAGTTCACTCTATACGTAATAAGTCTAAAGCATTCATTAGTTTAACATTTTAGGTTTAATTACAGATATGAATGAACTTCTGCACCTGTATTACGTGAGTTTTTCATGCATTTGATATAACAACAGAAACTGTATTTCAAACACTGCAGGGTACAAAAATGACTTGGGCTGCGGAAACAGGGCTCTGCTCTGTGTCTGGTTGCGTTTCCATTACACTTTTGTAACCATGGCTTCCAGCAGCACTCTGGCCAATCTCTGGTAGTTTTAACACTTTAGCACCAGCTGGGCACCAACCAGAGCTAAGCAAGCAGGTATTGAAAAAGTACCAGGCACCGGTTAAACAGATGCTCCCAGCTGGCCTATAGAGTATAGCCGAGCGGAGTAAAGAAGGGCAGAGTGGAAACGGGGCTAATGTCTACCAGAATAAAAGCAGGGGGTTTTTTATGGTCCTGATCTGTGGTTATGACCCAGTCTGACATCTCTAATCTCCATTATGTGGCCGATCTCTGCAGATCACAGATAACCAGGGGGCAGACAGTAGGGGAGCAATCTTGTAAAAAGATATTTGTCACAGTGGTACGAGATGAAATCAGTCACTGTAACGGCTGAAATATATGGCTGTGATTCGGGGGGTGGGGTTCTAACTGACACCTGCAGCTCCTCAAACTCAAAATGCAAATCCAGACCCAGGCCCCCTCCCATAGCTTATCTTTATCAGATTGAAATTTCAATGAAAGACAGACAGAGTGGCCACTGTTTGAGGAGGGGGGAAAGATGAAAAAATAAATCAAGTCCATGTATTTTATTGTGGAGGAGGTTTGCTTTGCTTGATATTTTGTCAATCTTTATTTTGTTTTGCCTGAGATGTAGTAGGCTGATATAATTTCCAAGTACACTGGAGAAGTAAGTTAGTTCAAATCCACAAAAAAGAAAAAAAAAATATATATAATTTTGATAAATTCCATGTAAATAGTTCCTCACGCTCAGAACTGTTTGGCTCCATCACTTGTTTTCACATGCCTGCATTTTAGGCAGGTATGTAAATAAAATATGTTTTCTAATAAGATTAAGACAGCAAGTTGTGGTCTGATTTGTTCACAACATGTTACTTCAACAAGACTATTTATGTTGGGACAAACAGAAAATATTTATTAAACAATAAAGTTATATATACTACTTATGTACAGGTTTAAGTTATCAGTAAAGTTCATTAAAAACATACAGACCTATTGGGGTAAGACAAGCAAGGCATATTTATTTATAAAGCATCATTCATACAGGCGCGGCTCAATGTGCTTAACAGATAAGGAAAGAACGGTAATTGGGAAAGAATAAAACAATTTAGCAATAAAAACATACATAGAATGCAATAAAAAATACAAAAATATTATAAATATTACACATATACATCATACATATACACATATACACACATGCATACATCTGTACTCGCGCTTGTCCTGTGTGTTAATATTAGTTGATGTGTGTTGATGAGTGTATCTCAGTATAATGTTGCAATAAAAACTGGTTTACATCTTCTGTAATATCATTTTCGCTCCATTCGCGCTCCTCACTGCGTCATGGGCAGGTGCGTGTGGCTCTTGCAGCTGGGCCCCGGGGAGCGCTCAGATCAACGGGGTGAACCTGTCCTTGACCTCGCGTGCAGGTCCCCCCCCCCCTATACCATGGGATCTATACCGACAAGTTGTGCATTACTTATAAATAGTCCTGTTGTCCTCCACTGCCACCGTTTGACTAGTGGGGCTACTGCACTTTAAATGTTACGCTCCAATCATCCTAGAATACAAGTCTGGCACATCCACAGAAAATCTACACGTGTGCTTTGATAGTAGTAGTTTCAACATCAGGTTATTTGGGATTGGTCATGTTGCTGTGGTAAGTTGACTGTTCAAATGGCGCCCCTTAGCGGATTCAGGTTGTACAAGCGTTCTGTTTTCAATTAAGCCTGTTTGTGGACTAACAACGTTTTCATTCGTATTTTAGCCCCTAAGATTATGCTTTATGGTGTTCAATTGACTCTTTCTCCCATCAACCGAGTAAAAAAAGGAAAGGTTTTATTTCTAAAAATGTCTAGATTTATAGCCTGATTTGGATTTTAAAATGCGTACATAAAAAAAAAAAAAAAAAACTATGAACGATCTTTGTGAGCAGGTTCACATGATAATCGCTCAATCACACGCGTCTCCTTCAAATGCCCCCGGTATGACCATAGATGACAGGTATGGTCCCTTGAATATGCCGTTGACAACAAATTGCACTTTAACCTGGGATATTTTTTCTGTGGCGTGTTATGGTTTGTCAAAACGCAAATCCATCACTTTTAATTTCTCGCGAGATATTGGGGGGATATATTTGAGCAGATGTGGGGGCTCCGTCCACTTGGAGGGGCGTTGGGTTTCCTTGAGGAGCTTGGAGATAGTCAGGTCAAGCCTCTTTCCTCATCACCGCCACCATGTCGGACGCCGTGGTCAGTTTTATGAAAGACTTTTTGGCTGGTGGTGTAGCCGCAGCCATCTCCAAAACAGCAGTCGCTCCAATTGAGAGGGTCAAGCTCTTGCTCCAGGTAAAGACACTAATGCCCTTTCTCTAACTCTGGAACTGTTTCTAAGATAATGACATACAGATAGAGAACATGGGAGATAAAAACATTTTGTACCAAAATAATAAAAGTTTCATAAAAGTTTTCAAAGCTTTACGCACATAATCTACTTGGGGCATGTTTTACGCACAGACTTAAAATCTGCGTTGGTCATTGTTTTACGCACAGACTCTAGCAGTGGTTACAGGATAAAAGTACTAAATACACACTTTGGTTTACTCGTTGCCACGCTGAGTAATTATAATGAAATAATGATATTGATAATATGAATATTCAGTGAAAGTTGCTCTCTAAATATAACTTGAACTATGAAATTGGATAGACTTGACTCAAGTGACACACATGTGCCGAGCCACAGAACCACTAGACCATGTACCATAATAGTGAACAAAGTAGAAATTAAAAGAACACAACATATATATTTAAGTCGATTTTAATTGTATTTCTATGTGCTAATAATCCCAACTCTTGGTTTTCAGGTTCAACATGCCAGCAAGCAGATCAGTGTTGAGAACCAGTATAAAGGAATTATGGACTGTGTGTATAGAATCCCTAAAGAGCAGGGTTTCGTGTCATTTTGGAGAGGCAACCTGGCCAACGTGATCCGTTACTTCCCCACTCAGGCTCTCAACTTTGCCTTCAAAGACAAATATAAGAAGATTTTCTTGGGCGGAGTGGATCAGAAAACACAGTTCTGGCGATACTTTGCAGGTAACTTGGCATCTGGTGGTGCTGCTGGTGCAACCTCCCTGTGCTTCGTCTATCCTCTTGACTTTGCCAGAACCAGGTTGGCTGCAGATATTGGTAAAGGTTCGGCAGAGAGAGAATTCTCTGGTCTGGGAAACTGCATTGGGAAGATCTTCAAAACTGACGGCCTAAAGGGTCTGTACCAGGGTTTCAATGTGTCTGTCCAAGGCATCATCATCTACAGAGCTGCTTACTTTGGCTGCTTCGATACAGCTAAAGGTAAGTGTAAACAGGAAAGTAATGATAGTGCATCATCTCCTGTTAATGACACACATCCCTCTGGCTGCAGGTATGCTGCCAGACCCTAAGAACACACATATTGTGGTGACTTGGATGATCGCTCAGACTGTCACAGCTGCAGCTGGCCTGGTTTCATATCCATTTGACACAGTCAGACGTCGCATGATGATGCAGTCTGGACGCAAAGCAGGCGAGTATGATGATGGCTGGCTGTCATAACAAATGAATACTGTCGACTGATAAGCATCTATTCCCATAGCTGACATCATGTACACGGGCACAATGGACTGCTGGAAGAAGATCATGAAGGAGGAGGGAGGAAATGCCTTCTTCAAGGGCGCCTGGTCCAACGTGATCAGAGGCATGGGTGGTGCCTTTGTGTTGGTCCTGTACGACGAGATCAAGAAGTACACATAAACTTTCTCATCTCCCAGTTCCTGAGGAAACCCTTCAACCTAGGTCTTAATGTGAGAGTGGTAACAATGTGGTGATTTTGGGCATAATATTCCAGCCAAAGAAATGGCTCCAACGAAATTTGTAAATAACCCATTTGTCAATCCGCACAGCTGGTGGTTCCTTGCTGTTGTTCTTAAAATACTGGACAATGCCACTTGTTATTCCACATTTTGCAATGTTTTGTTGTAATGTGGTCCTACTGATCCATGAATTTATTAATAAAGAGCTGTTATTCTATTGTGCTATTGTAATCATTGTATTTATGTAGATAATGAAATAAGGAATTGTAGTTAATACGATGTATAATCTTATATTTATTTATAAGGAAAGCAGCTTTATTTACAAAGTAAGGCTGTAAGAACATTCATGTCCATAATGAGTCATGACATAATATGGAATAATGGCATAACAGACTTTTCATAAACATATAAAGTGCATCATAAAGCGTGGGTGTGTAGAATCAGCTACTGTGTAAACAAATACAAAGTTTCTCAAGACACGTTTTGTCATGTAGGACACGTTGATTATTCATAGAAGTATCCAGTGGTTTAATTCCTGTCCAGTCAACACCTCGCTTTGGGAGCTGCTTTGGTTTGCCTTGTCCTGGGTTCTGTGGTTGTGGAAGCTGCTCTGGCTCTGCGATGAGGGTCTTTGTTTTGAGAACAGCCTTTCCCTACAATAGATACACCAACAGTAAATGTCATTTGGAGAAATTGAGCCAGTGAAGTTACTTTTTCTGAAGACATAAAACCCACCTAGGGCTTCTCTACTGGATGATTTCTTCAGGCTGGTCGGGTAAAGAGGACAGATTCCGAGGTAACCACACTGACGGCGGTAGTCAGCCAGTTGCTCTGAACGCTTCATACCAGGAGATGGCTTTATGGCTTCAAGTCTTTTCAAAAACGCCTAAAACCAATAGAATAAGCTGAGAACAGACCATCAACACAATCACATATAAATTGATTCTGCAAGGTTCTTCACAATTATATACTGTATGGTGATTATTATTAAAAACATGAATTGACAATATTCAAAGATTATAAATGTTGTTCGGAAAAAAACGTCATTTGGAAGGAGCTTCTTTATCAGGGATGTTGCACTAAAATCATGTTGAATATCTTGATACAAAATAAGTAAAGAAAAAACTTTAAAATGAATGAAGCTATCATAAAATAAAACATGCACTATAAATACTCCGCATGCAGCAACACCTTCACTTGATGTACATTATAAGCAACATTCTCCAAACAACCAAGACACTAATGTGGGAAAACATGCAAAAAATAAATAGATAAATACAAAATAAAGTGAAATAATTGCAAAAATGTCAAAGTGAGTGCCCAAGATGAGCTGGTTCCACTTGCACACGATTTAGTGGTCGCCTTACACGTGTTTAGGGTGGAGTGGAAAAGCTCATCAGATGGCATATTCAATTACTTCCCTCTAAGAATAGAGGAGGCGAAAAGCACTTGTGACGATGCAGCCAGAACAGCGTGTTCTGCACTAGACCGGAATATTCTCAAACTTCACTACTTTCAACCTCAAATGACAGTACTCAATAAATACGAGTGTACACATGCTGATATCAATACTTTCACACAATTGCATAATAACTGAAGCCTAATTTTTCGGAATCATGTCTCTGGGAATTCCTCTGGCTCACTGTCCTATCAGATGAGAAACATGGGGTCCGAGCTGCAGAGGTTGGGGTGTTTCGCGGTGCCACCTGCTGCCATCTGTCCACTTCCATGCGTCTGCTTTCAAGTGAGCCTTTCAAATACTTCACTAGTATGAGTTGTGGTTAGTGAAAGACTGAAAAAGATCGTATGACGCTACTTATAACATTTAGACCCAGTTTTAAATTGTTCAGAGACTATACTAGTTATGTCAACCAAAAAACACTTTGGGAATAAGTATAAAGTGTGTGTGTGTATGTATGTATGTATATGTGTACGTATATGAACACACACTTTTATTACAAAGTATGTCTAATTACGTTTGATAATTTTCTCACTATGTATATTTAGTGAGAGGAAAAATAACTTTTAAAATTGAGAAGAAATTGTTTGTGTCATGGGTTAGAACTCCAAACATGTTTTAAATATGCGGGAATGGTGTTTTAGGTAATCTATGTAAATAAATCAAAGGGTTTTTTCCCAAATATAATTCTCTTGAACTATTTTTTTAATAATCTGAACAAAATTATACTTTTTAACCATGCAGGATACCAACAATTGCATCGCAGTAGATATAAATCTGATTATTACAGAGCGGGTCAAGCTGCACAACTGCAACATTTCTGTAGTAAATTTGCCGAGAAAGCAGAGCACTTACTAGGTTGTCCCGCTCTATTCGTTGCTTTTCTCGCTCTCTGTTAATTGCGTTGTGAGGAAGGTGGTTTAGGAGGGTACTGCTCGCCACACTGTGTCTCTGCCCTGACACACTTCCGGGTCTGGAGCCCGAAGAGACTCGAGAAAGCTGCTGAAGAAGGCGCTGGTTCTCTCGGTCTATGCGCTTCACCTCATCGTTGGTGTAGGAGTAGTTCTTGCGATATCTTGAAGAACGAAACTCCATGGCTGCTTTACTGTCCAGTCGACTGGAATATAAAGAGTCTGAAAAGAAAAAAGTAAGAATGGTACCACTTTTAACAGTTGTTTATGTTTAAATGTTTAATTGTTAGTAGCTTAAATTTTGTTGCTATGGGTTACATTCAATCCTTTCATCTGCATAAATTCCCATTCCCTCAAAGAAATGTGATGTACATTTCAAGTTTTATCTTATCTTATGTAAGATAAAATAAGTAAAAGCTTCGCTTCAAATCAGCATTTTTCTCTCGCAGCATTGTAGCCATTGCTATTGGCACAAACAAGATCCTGTAGAGCGGCAAACCGACATCTTTTTAAGCCCAAAAGGTAAGTCTGACATAAGCAGTAACTGTAAGAGCAGAGGCCATTTCTTTTCAATGTTTTCATTGAGCAAGAACATCCTGTCCATCCCCAGTCTATGAAATTAACATACAACTATTTGTCTGCATACATATGTTGTTTGAACAGTGTGAGACATTTCTGTAAAGATTTGTAAAGAAATGATAAGTCTATATGTATGTATCTCTATAAATGTATGTATAAGTATATTATTCATTTACATTACAAATAAAGTAAACTGTGTTTACTTTGTTGGGACTGTAACCAAGTAGTCTAAAAGCCTAAAAAATAATTATAAATATGAAACTAAAACAATTCATTCTTGTCCTAAAAGACAATGCTTTGAAAAGAACACTTTTACCAAAAACATGTATTGATAAATGTTTGTGACAAGTTTACTCACACTCGTCATCGTCCTCACTGAATGTATCATGGTGTTGTGCACTGTGAACCCCACTGGAGGTCCCACTCTGCTTCACACTGTTGCTCTCAGGCTCTGAGTTCAGGTTCAGGGACATGAGGCGGCTGCTGGCAGAGGAGAGAGGACTCACATCGGTCTCTGTGACGACAGACTCCGGTGAACTGGGAGCATCTTCATCATGTGTGGCTTCAGAAAACAAGGCCATAAAGTGTTTGCTTGGATGAGTACAGTGGACCTCCTCTTTATGGTCACCTTTGTCATGCACCAAATTTGGCAATGCATTTGTCTGATTTTCTTCAGTACGATCAATGTTATCAGCAGCTGGCTTCAGCTGCATCTTGTTGCTGATTAGTGGGGTGTCTGTTGGCAGCTCACAGTCAAGTTGTTCAATGTCCTCTCCTCGTCCATCTTCACAGTCACTGTCAAAAAAGGCGTGATCTACTTCACCTTCAAGTTCCCTTGTACTAAACATGGCTTTTGGTTCTTAATCTTACCACCAGATCTGCACCAGAAGAGAAAAGACAATAAATAAACTACAGGCAACGACAAGCTTGAATTTATTTTAAAAATTGCATTTACATAATATGTAATTGTTTGATAAAAACATATTTTTTGCTAAATGTTTTTAACAACAATTGATTTCATAAACCGTAGGCATAACTGGCATAAAATCATAGGACATAGTAGATGTAACCTACATCATTTATCAGTATTATTAGTATTAGCGCTGAAAGGGGGAACTCAAAATATACCAAATAAACAAACATAGCGTTGGCTAAAGCTAGCTAGATAAATCTGAATACAAGCGCGCAAATACTGTGTGGTTTTACCTGAAGAGGCATACATCAAACTGTTCTTACTGCTCCAGATTTCCCATGTCCATCAATGATACCCTGAGGAATATACGCGAACAATATATACGTGAAAAATATAAACATTTTTAGAAGGAAAGTGAACTGCCGTAAGCGAGGCGTGACACCCTGCATGTAACTAGGTGACGTCACTTCCTGGCAACGGATCTACGTCTACCGAAAAATTACACTGTATATTATTTACCGTCTATGTCAAGGATATTTTATAATATACAAGACATTACATGGCTGTCTTCAACAGACACTTCTTGTTGTGACGCATTTGTTTTTACTTTTATAAAAGATAAACCAGATTTGTGTTTTAAGGAATTATTGGTCCTTGATGGAATCATACAAACATTACAATAGTGTGACTGTTTTTTCCCTTTACTCCTCCCAGACTGGTGATAAACAGTATTTTTTATTTTTTATTCCCACATCTCCATCAAGTAACTCAGAGAAGACATCTGGAAGCGTGTCACATCCCATGAAATTGCAATTTGTCAAGGGGCTTCTTTAAACACAGAAGTGATACACAGTAGTGACAGGTCGATGTCCTTAAATAATGTCACATTAGCTAATAATGCTATAGCCTATGTCTTGTCACTGTTGTAGAATTTACATATCAAATAATGATGGGCCATTGAGGAGTAAACACATGTTGTTACTTTAATAATAATTGAATATCAAGTACAGTAAACAATAAAACTGCATTCTAAAGCATTGATTGGCCTTGAATTCCCTTTGATATGACAATTGTTGACCTGATTTGAGGTCGAGAGGTCGTTCCCTGGAAGGATTGTATTCCAATAACGGTCAGTGTCAGACAGATCAGATCTAATCAGTGCAGTCAGACAGAGCGTCCCGCCTCAGGCGCTCGGGTTGTTCATGGGTGGCTGCTAATAACATGTTCACAAAACTAGTCATTTGACTTTGAACATCAAGAATACAACTTTTTATTTAATGAACATAGATGTCACAACCTCAGCTCTAATTGCAGGGACATGATAAATTCAGGATGTTTATTTGATATGACAGATGACAGTCTTGTAGTTTTTGTTCATGCTAGTTTTACCATTATTAAAAACACAAAATAAACACTCTTACAGCACACACGTATTAGCCACTCCACTGAAAATGTGAGACAGGCTTCTACCTTGACAATGTCCAAATACAAGTTAAAAAAACGGTCAGTTTAGGATTGTATATTAACTCTGTGATTATTTATGCCTTGCATGATTCTAATGTTTATTTTTTATGTATTTCTAAGCACTTACGTTCCGTTGTGTTTGAACTGTGCTATACAAATACACTTATGCCTTACCTTCTCTAATAAGGATAACCAATTTTCCTAGCAGGATTTCACCAAAAAAAGTGGCATCCCATGTGAGACAGTCACATGGAGCCAATTTTGCTTTCTGGCTGGCTAAGAAGTCAAATCTAAAAAGTAAACAAAAGTAATGTGACCATTACGTCTATTGTTTTTGTAATTCAGAATAAACAACGTCAACATTTTAATCAGATCAGGCCAAACATAATGTGCACATATTGTCGTTCCAGAGCCAAAACTTTGATTACATAACAACACTAACTCTCAATTGAAATTTAGTTTGACATTTTTGACAGCTGTGCATGCTGGGAGAACTTAAATGACCCTTGGCCTCTGAGGCAGACACAGATTATAATAGGCAGTTTGATCCCAAAATTCTGGGCCTTTCCAGCCACACCAGCCCTGAAACAAAAACTATTATAATTTTGTGGAAATAGACTATTGTCATGTTCTTTGGAATGTTTTCATTTCTACCTTTTCTGTAATCAGTTGCAAATCTTCAGCACCAGTGTAATGGGGGTCCAGAATGAGGTACCGTATTTCTCCAGTCGTTTCACTCCAAGCCACCCCAAGAATAGTGTGAGCTAAAACTCCCCCACCTGCACAGTTTAATTAATATAATTTTAACAAATAATAATTGTAAATAAATATGGCAAAAACAAAAAGAAGTACCAATCATTACTGGAGTTCCTTCTGTTGTGAAGTGGTTGGCGAGTTCTCTCCCTTTGCTTGCCAGCTCAGAACCTTGACTAAAGAGCAGAGGGGGTCTTGTATCCAATAATGTTCTTTTCCAGAGATGGCTTATACCTTAATTCTTATAACTCACCTTACAAACATGATTTTAGATGTTACGCCAAGAAGCTGGCTCAGTACAACCTGAACCTCAATTGACCCTATCCACTGACGGGATCCCACAAAAGCTGCTGGTTTGTCTCCAACGTCTACCAGAGCCTGCAAAAATTAATTCCCACTCTATAAAATGTCGCCAATCATTGTTTTTGCACATTATGTTAAAAGAAATTATTACGGAACTTGTATACTGTGGTCACTCAACTTTACACGATTCATCTTCCACATCATCGCTGTTTTGCAGGTTTTTTGGTGTAATTTTGCATGCATTTGTTATAGTGTGCTTCTAACGTGCCGTGCGTATACTCCAATTATCATATAACCGCTAGTATAACATGTGTTACCTTTGATTTAAAGTCAGAAGAAAACGTTTGTGACATGTGCTAACTGCAGTGATTAGTTCAGAGGACTACTTTGGTCTTCCAGTAGCCCCCAGTCCTGCTCCTGCTCCACTGCTGCTGTATTTTACATGCAGGTCTTTTGACAGCAGCAGCAGCGCTCGGACCTACATTGAACAGGTTTGAAAGCACTTCAGCAGTCGCAAGTTCAGGCGGTTAGAAAAGTGTGTGGTGAGGAGTTTTAAAACATAGCAGCTGCTACGTGGATTTAGTTTATTGCCGGTTATTTTAAAAGCGGAACAACGCCACTGTAGTACATAGTTTATATTAGATTAATTGTGTGATCTTATATCATACCTGCTGAATTTCTTTATGAGTGGGCACAGATCGCTCTTCATAACCTTGCTGCTGAAACCAGGAGCAGATGGTCTGCAGGGAACGATAAGCACAGCCCCAGCCATTGTCGTCTATTCGGTCCTGCATATAGTGATGGTAGCTGTATAGTCCTTGGACTAAATAAACCTGTAAAAAACACACACACACACACACACACACACACACACAGACTCTTGTTTTATCAACACCCACACAATATTGTTATGAAGTCTTTACCTTTCCATTGTCAAGAGCAGGAAGATTAAGTGACAGATGAGGATTTCGGAGGTATCCATCTCTATAGGGCTCGTTAGCAAAGTGGTAAGCATTCGCTCTTCTGAAATAGGGGGTGTCTTCTGGTAGATCATACTTTTTATGCAAAGTCTGAGGAAAAGGATGAGAGACAGATGCATTGTAAACTTTATTCAGCTGATGAAAATATCCTGACCTGTCGAACTGTTTGCAGTTGGCTGTCCGGTACTCCTGAGGGATAGACCACAGTGACAAGACCATGTGGCGGTGGGAGAAGGAAGTGCAGTGGTTCAGGGATCAGGACAGAAGCCCCCTTTAAGTGCTGTATGGTCACCCTTTTCATCTCATTCAGCTGATTCCATAGTTCTTCCACCAGACGGAGACAAGCGCTGACCGGACATCACAAAGAAAATGTAGTCAGATTTTTTTATTTTTTAATCACATTTGCACAATAATAACTCACTCTTGTATCGTTTCATCTTGACTTAAAAAGACGGCACAGTCCATTGGTAAAGTTGTGGAGATGAAGTGTGCCGTCTGAACGGTCCTTTCAAACACAGGCACGTGAGGATGTGGGGCTCCAGATCTGGTCACCTCCATCATTAGTTGAAGGTTTACTACGGTCTGTAAAAACAAAGTCTTCCTATCATGAATATGTGTTCAACAATTATGTCATACAATACACATATACTCCGAATAATACAATTACTTTATAGTGTATTTACTCACACTACTAGGGCCTTTTTTGCTCTTCTTCTTTGCTAATCGTTTGCTAGCACTATCCTGTTCACTCGTCCTGGGTGAAAAATAAAAGAGGAAAGAAAGTGTAAAATTGAATACATACAAAACTGTAGAAAAAATAAGTTAATAAGCAAGTTTGGTAGGGCTTACTGTGTCCATTGAGACAACACTTCACAGAGAGTGTTTGGAGTGATGCCTTCTTGAGATATAGTGACATCTTTATTTGGCCAAATGACAACCGGTCCATCACACAGGGTGAATGCACAAGAGTCTGACTTGATATCCGAGCATAAGGCGTCAAAGGTTTTGGAGATCACCTTCTGGATGTTAAGTGCTGCATAAAAGAACACATAAAAAAAAAATACAAAATGATGCACTTTCAAATGAGTTACTACTACTATTGGAAGTTGAATATTAGTGGTGGTTTGAAATGTTATTATGTAATACTATCAGATGGGGGCTAAATAAACAATTTTCAAAAGCAATTTATAATATAAATCACAAAAAGAAAAACGCATTTTACCTACAGTCTTATTATTGTTTGTTCAATTGTAAGCACAAAAAAGGAACAAAGCCAGGACAAGTATAAAGTACAATATAATATTGAAATGTAAATTAGTAAAACATTTTCTAGGTTTCTAGGGACTTTGGGATTAGAGAAAGGTATTGTCCACATACTCTTGCAATACAGGCATCTTCAAATACGATCTGCACTTATAACGTGGATTTTAGAAATTATCTATGATATATTGATTATGTTTGATCTGTTGGGAGCTATGTACATTAAAAAGATCCAAATAAAACATGTGTTGTACATGTGAATACAGAACATAAAGGCATTCCAAAGGTAACTGTGTGGGGGCATATCCAGAATCATAGTTGTTGTTGTTGTACATTATAAAAGCAGATGGATACCTCCAATTTCACCCAAGTTATCAATAGATCCAACAACAGCATCTGCGTTTACCTATATGTAATAACATACCGTCTGGTTTATCAAAGAGGCATTTGAACTCCAAGGGCCCTTTGACACGCAGGATGATGCTTGAGTCTGAGGAATGTGTGTCGACCACCTGATATCAAACAAATGTAGTTATCACCATATGCTAAAGCAAGCACCGGCTTTGTCATCACACGTTAGCTAATTGTGTTAAAAAAACATCACAAGAAAGCAATCAATAAAATAGCCATGGGCACATTTTTAAAAAATATACAAACCATTATGAAATCCTCAAATAAACACGTTTAATGTGAGAAATATAAGGTGGATGTCTGCGACTCGGAGGCTGCCATGTTGTTCTACGTGTCTCTCTCCGCTCCCGCTGATTGGTTTATTCTGAGCCCGCCTCCACGTGCTGAGTTCACGGGCCTCCTGTAATTAAAAAATTCAGAATATGTCACCGATTTGAATTCGACATAGGTATATTATAATTCTGCATCTGCCTTTAAAACATCACTATTATCACCCGTCCCCAGTTGAGGATTCTTCAGGGAAGCTAGTGGTACACCTTGATTTTGTGAGCCACTATACTCTGGTACGGACGGAACCATGCTACATCTAATTTCTTCTGCCTCAATGCCCTTTTATTATGCAATTATGCTATAGGCTTTGCATCTGGAATTATTATCGCTGCACTGCTTCGGCTAGTAAAGGCAGGAGCATGTGTGTTGTCTTTACCATTATAAATGATGAATAATTATGAATGTCTTTCCTGTAAGTTCATAACTGTTTCGTGAATATTATTGAGAAGCTCAGCTGTACAAAGATATTGATATTGAAATCAACAGGATCTGGTTCGACATATCCAATACTGTGGCTGGAGCTCTGGGTAGCATGTGGGAGAGAAAAATGTGACCATATAGTTTGAAAATATAATTCCATATGTTATACCAACTAGTATGACCAATCAAATAATATTTTTTGAATTTATACACATCTATGAGATGTACATGGGCACGAATCAGAAGTTATGTGTAAGGGTTTTTTACACCTTATACACATGATCTTAGTGAGAGCTTAAAAAGTCAAGACACCAACAAATACACCAGTTGATTTCATAGATCCAAGAGCTATTCCCTCCATTTGGAAATCTGGAGTTCTGTTTTGAACATGTTCCCTAGAGTGTCCTTGGGGGGGGGGGTTCTCCGGAACTACAAGGGTCAGTGTTCTGTACTGAGGTCCCTTCATAACTGGAGCATGACTGGAGCACGGCTTTGCTGGTATGCTTTTCTAGTACCCATAGCATCTGCCGAGACTGTCACTGTTTCTTATTATGAAATGTCAGTGGAATTATCATAAAGAAAAAAAGGCCAATAAAGATAGGGGGAGGGTTACATCTGGAGCTCAGAGTAGAGCCGCTGCTCATCCTTGTTGCGAGAAGACAAATACACACTGAGGGATCATATCTCTCAGCTGGCCTTGGAGCGCCTCTGGAATCAGCGTTTCTCTGGATGAGCTGGATGTGTCTGGAGAGAGACTGTCTTTTTCTGCTTGGACATAAATAAAGGGGATGAAGACAATAATATTCACTTATTCACTTGGTTGCACCAAAACATAAAATAAATAATATTATTAATAATAAATTAATACATACATACATACATAAACAATATTAAGAACAATAAAGATAATTATAATGCTAATAATATGATGATATTATTCTGAATAAATGTACACTCACAGTTGGTCAGTGGTTCAGTTAAAGCAGCCGCCTGTATGAAACTCAACAAGAAATATGTTGGGTTTCAGGACATAGAAAGAGAAATATGATTGTATTGTTAATCTATATTTATAGCTGAGGTTATAAGATAATAAACAAATATTCACCAAACTGAATACAAAACTTACCACATATATATTCCATTTATTTCAAACAGTAAAATGATAACGCAAACTTATCACTAAGTCTCTAATGGCTTAAAATATTTCACAAAGTATCAAATTAAATCTGACCAAATAACAGATGTTTGTGCTAATGTTTTCCACCCAAAGTTGTGCTAAAAAGCTTTGAAACGTTCAAGTGGTTGGCACCATATTTGTTTTGATGATACTGGTCAGTATCATCAAACAACAATCAAGCATGAGCTCTTTTACCAAAGAAGTCATGCACATTGAAGGTTTATGGAAAGCAATGCCATTCAAACCAAGAATAGAAACACTATGATCTTACTAAATATAGCTAGTTGAATCGTTAATTTGTCTATTCCAAAACATCACTTTGAATTTTAGATAAATCAGTGGGCAGCTCCCGTTAATTGCAAATTATTTCAAATTCTGAAAATGGTCTGGTGGCAGAACATGATTCTCTCCCTGAGGGGAAAGCATGGAGTTGTGGCACCAGCTGTCACTGTGCAGCCAGATGAGCCAAGACCTGCTCTACACGTCTTTTTGTGAAAAATGTCTCATCATTACTAGGCCCATCAACACCATCATCATCATTCTCACCATCCTGATCACCATCATCATGGTCCATCATCATAATCTTCATTATTAAGTTAAATTATAACATGATTATTATAATTATTGGTTATAATCATAGTGCACGTTATTATTGTTATCTATTAATATAACTATTACTATCATTATTATTATCATTATTATTATTATTATCATTGTTATCATCATCATCACCATCAATAACATCATAATGCTATAATTTGACAAGAGTCAGTAAAGTTCCAGCACAGACCACACTGCCTGAGATAGAGCCAGTTTTTGCTGGTCCACCAGGGGACCTAAATAAAAGTACAATGCATGCGCCTGGAAATAATGTCTTCTGCTGATAGGTTGTTGGGCTTATCTACGTCAGGATTGGCCTACTGCGTTTCCCTCCAGTTTCTCATTGGCCCTTAGTAATGATAGTCCTCAGCCATCATTTGTCGTGCCCTTTTCAATGAATATTGTATGTGCTGCTGCGAGGAGCTGCTCATTTGAATGAGCGCTCCTGAAGATGCACATGATGGAATTTGTGCCGCTTTCCACCGCAGCTGCAGGTTCGGCGCCTTCTCCCCATAGAGCCAGTTAAACAAGCGACAATCACTCGAGTGGACAACATGTTTTGCACGAAGCTCAAAGAGCTGCAAATATCTGGAGAATGTCCGTTCTCCAGCGGCGCCAGGAGCAGCGAACAGAGAGAGCCAGAGGAGCGCTCGGCAGAGGCGGACGTGCTGCCCGCCGCTAAAGAGGAGCCGCGGAGGAAAGGTGAAGATGCGAGCCATCAGAGGAGCACCAGGGCCAAAGTTAACCTCCACACTCTGGGGGATAGCGTCCGCAAATTAGCGTGCCCTGAGGTGAGTCTAAAAAAAGATCCATGTTTCACTTATGCAACTGTAGTATTTCACCTGAATTTATGCACGGACTCTACATTCACACTGCTCTGTCTCATCTGCCAAAAAAACAACACACACACACACACACACACATTATGACATCAAAGTGCAAATTAAGATCCACACGAGCTCTTATCATGCTATTTATATGATGTTGTCATAAATATCATACAAATGACATATAACGCGTGTAAGTCTGAGTTGAAGACGACCTCTAACTTGGATCACTTTATCTCACAGTTTGAAAGGCTGCACGCTGCTCTCCTCAGACTGATGCGACAGTCAAGCCAGAGCGCGGATGCTGCTGAGAGGTAACCACGCCACCTTGACAAATCACAGCATCATGATAAGTCTACCTCCTGCTTTTACACTCACTGTGTGTGCCACCCTTCCTCCGAAACCCTGATACTATTAATGATAACAACATAAAGGTGTTCACACTCACACATTCATATATTTGTCTCTCCAGTTCAGTCTGCAGCTCTGGATCATGCATGGAGCAGGTGGATCATTTAGTTGAGATGATGGACAGTTATTCAACCAAAACAGGTGAGGATTTTTGCATTTAATCAGATGTAACTGTTTTCACGGTGGAATTAACCATGTTGTTGTTCTTTCGATCAGAAACCCCCCCAGAAGCCGTACAAGTAGCTCTCGGCCAGCAGCTCTTTGACATGTGTTATGAGGAGGATGGCCACATTCTGCGCGTGGTGGGGGGAGCTCTTCAAGACTTCCTCAACAGCTTCAATGTCTTGCTGAAGCAGAGCAGTCCGGACCGGACCGAATGTGCAAACGAGCCCTCGGTTCTCTGCTTGGACAAAGACCCAGGCTTTCTCACCGTCTACTTCTTCAACCCCCGCCCCACAACTAAGCTCTTCTTTCCTGGTGTCATCAAAGCAGCAGCTGGCATCCTCTACCAAACCACTGTAGATGTGCTCCTAGATGCCCCAGGTGCCAAAGACAGCATCCTCCAAACCAGCCCTCAGTCCAGTCTTCTCTATACTGTCGTTGTCAAGGATGCTAAAAGCCTGAGCCCGAGTCCGCTGCGTGCGACCTCGGCCGGGACGCTCCCTACCTCTCTTTTCTCGAACATCTTCCCCTTCCACCTCATCCTTGATCAGAACTTGGTGCTGATGCAAATGGGCCACGCTCTCCGGAAAAGACTGACCCGGAAGGATGGACTTATCAAAAGATCCGCAACCTTTCAAGAACACTTCCACATAGTCTCCCCTCAGATTAAATGCACCTTCCAAGGCATCCTCACCATGCTGAACACGCAGTTTATCATTCGGATCAGGCATTCTAGTGCAGACAGTACAGGGAAGGTATGTAACTATCCTATATGCATTTGGAATCTCCTCTTACTGCCAACATGAAACAAACAGGAGTAGATTAACAAGGGGTAACATGGACAGCAGAAAGATTTCTTTATCAACTGAATTTAAATGTCTAAACCTCTGCAGAGAATGACAAGTGATACATTGGAGGTGCTGAGGAATATGACTTCCCGATTCATGGATTAAAGTTAATTAATTAATAGCAACTAATCGAATAGTTGTCATCTGGTAATAATTTTGAATCTTACATAGACATAAACCCGATGAGAAGAGAATTTAGGGCTCAAATCATTCTAAAATGACTGCAGAATAACATGAAAATGCCTTTAGAAAGTATGTTTTTAATCCAATGATCCAAACAAGCCAATTTTCTCAAGGAGCATCACTTTTTTGGTCAAAGGTAAAATAAAAATCTGCTGTGCTTTCAGGAACTAATTTATTAATCAAAAGAATAATCGGCCAACTAAGGTAATATTTCTTTACCAGCAAAAACTAAATGTCTCCACCTTAGCAGAGAATGACCAGTGATACATTGGAGGTGCTGAGGGTTATGACTTCCCCTGAGACAAGTGTGGATTCAAATAAAAAAGGGCTGAAAAAGTGAAAACAATATGAAGGCACAGCAGAGGCGTTGCAAGTTGCATGCCAGGGCAGAAGTGCAGATCGACAGGAATTGAGTGCAAAGACACAATATAACCCAAAGCACCAACCATATATCAATGTCTCTGCAGAATCAACTTACAATTAAAATCTAAGCTCTGACCAAAACCAGGACACAAAAACTTCAACACAGAATAAACCCAGGAAAAAAAACCTATTGTCAGACTGTATTAAAACCATAAATGTCACAGGAGTTATTACAAGCACTCTTATGAGCTCTTTCCCTGAGGTAGATATCCGCATTCTACCCCCAGCGGAGATCACAAGCAAATGTCACACCATTTTATCCATCAAAGGCACACGGCCATGCCCATGCCGTTTATAGAAGAGCAGCAATTGGTCGCACTCGTGAGGCGCCCAGAGGATCTATGCGTAAACATGACAGCATTGTAATGACTAATGCGGTAAAGGAGGACACTATCTATCGGTTTTACCTTTAAAGGCTATCGGCATGGCAAACCACTGGCTGTGTGCGTCTCCGTCTTCGCGTTTAGGGAAAGACATAAATATGGGCAACTTTATAGGCTTGTAATGAGTTAGCTGGCAAGTGGCAAAAGCAATAACATGGATGAAATGTCAACAGATATGGAAGTCGTGTTTGTGACGCTTGAAACTGCAGCTGTATTTCAATTTTATGAGCAAAAGTTTTTGGAAATCCACCAGCAAATGTTTACACAGATCTTTATATGGTGTGTTGGTTGGATTCTCAGAGTTTCGTTCAAGTATTTTTGCAGATTTAATGACAGTGTACATGTTGGGTTGACTTAGAATGTCTTGGTAGGTTAACCTGACCCCATTATACAGTACAGTAGAGATGAATTAAATTACCAACATTAGGAACAGGATTTGCTTCCAATCAATCATTTGCTTCTTGACAATCTAAAAAGAAATAGCATTAGCTGCCATAATTAATTTGTGTTACACTTGTATGATTATATCAAAGCGTCCAAAAAGAAAGTTGAGGTACCGAATTATATTTTTTCATACTAGTACATTTGATGTGACTCAACAGAATCTCGTAAAATGTTGTGAGGAAATCAGACCACAACACGCCCTCTTGTTAGAAAACGTAAGACCCCTGTGAGTCACTATTTGAAGCTTTGGGCTGATGGGCTGAGTGAGAGTGGGCCTGTTTTTTAAAATGTTCCGTGTGAAAAATGTAAATATGTGACAGAGACCTAAAGTACATGCATATTGATAGAAGCAAACTGTTTTGAGAGCGAGGAACTACTTATTGCATGACATAGTTTCATTTTTCTGTGATTTAAAAGTTAGGAACTCCAGCTTTAAAATGATCACCTTACATCCGTCTTGTATTAGTTTAAAATATGTGTTTAAAAATGAAAAATAAAAAACAATATATATAATGGGTAGACTAACCGAATGAAAGATTTTCACTGATTAGGTTTTGTCTATGTGACATCACAATATTCCAGTCATTTAAAATAGAGGTGGGAGGCATTCGAAAATATTTGTTCTTGAAAATATAATTTGGCGGGTTTATGAATTATAAACTCCTAAAATGGGAAAACATTATGGTATTTTCTTTTTCTAAATATCTTTTTTACCAAATAGCTGACTTTGATTTTGAAATTAAAAGTCTTGAACATGAACGTACGCTATTAGGCGACCACTAATATCATGTCTGTGAATCACTTTTATGAGCAATCATGAAAAACTGAAAACAACGCAGCAGCGCTAAAAGCCAATGTCATGTTTTCTGTAATGAACATTTACGATCATTGCATTTGCAGCTAATGGACCTAAAGGGCCAGATGATCTATGTGTCCGAGTCCAACGTGATCCTGTTCCTGGGCTCTCCGTGCGTGGACAAGCTGGAGGACCTGACCGGCCGCGGGCTGTACCTCTCCGACATCCCCATCCACAATGCCCTCCGCGACGTGGTGCTGGTGGGGGAGCAGGCCAAGGCTCAGGACGGGCTGAAGAAGAGGCTGGGGAAGGCCAAGGCGGCTTTAGAGCACGCCCACCTAGCCTTGGAGGAGGAGAAGAGGAAGACCGTGGACCTCTTGGTGACCATCTTCCCTCGCACCGTAGCGCAGCAGCTGTGGCAGGGTCAGACCGTCCAGGCCAAGAAGTTCGACCGTGTCACTATGCTCTTCTCCGACATCGTGGGCTTCACGGCGGTCTGCTCCACCTGCACCCCCATGCAAGTGATCACCATGCTGAACGAGCTGTACACCAGGTTTGACCACCACTGTGGAGAGCTGGACGTTTACAAGGTATGAAGTTAAAAGCCTAGAGACACCACGGATTTCACTAAAATAGATTAAGATGTATCTATTCAAGATTTGACAAAAAAAATGTGCCAGCGCTTTTTGTCGATTTTAGTTTGGTAAAGTTTGATGCTACCACCTGGTTGGACATTAGCAGCAGATATGAGGGATGTGGATATAATTACCATAGCAAGCACAGATGTGTGCAAACTATGACGTTTTAAGATTACATGAAATGTTACATGACTAATTTAACTAAAACTTATATATAAGACAAAAAAATGCAAAATCTGACTAATTTGTCATAGCTTTTAGTTTGGTAAAGTTACAAGGCTACTTCCTAGGTGACGTAAGCAGAAAATATGGTAGTTACCATAGCAACCACAAAGTAAACACGCCAAATAGAAATATATGGAGTACAGCACTTCTTGAAATAATGCTTAAACTGTTGAATAAGACTGGTGTTCTTATAAATTGACTTTGAATTTGACGAAATCACAGCTTGAAAGATTCAATTTTACAGCATTACTTTCTGTATATTGAAAAACGGTTTGTGCTGGATTAATGTAATATACACTTTAAAAAACAAATTCTAATAGAAATAGATACAAAGTCTGCAATCCTGCGATTCCTCTCATGCACTTTCAGGATGGAACCGTATTGGTGCCATAACATAAATCACATCACAGCCCAGTCATGGGAAACGTTCACTACATGATCGATCAAACAACATCAATTGTCTGCACACTTCTTTGCTATAATACCCTTTAAATGATCTCAGATGGAAAAAACTACTGAACAAAATGGCTTTTGTCTCTACAGGGCAGTAAAAGGTTTAATAAGTCACTTTTATGGTTCATCTTTAGTGCTTTCATTTATTTATTGCTTACAAGTTATGCATTTTCATGATACTGAATATAAAGTACTGATTTAAAGTTATTAAGGGATTTGTATTACCGGATAGTAGCTGTATAACAATATACAGCTTCAAATGTGCTATGACCTATGACTTAATAAAGTATCACAGCAGCCAACAGAGAAAAAATAGTGTAGAGATTGTAACTAGTAAATGCAATAACATCTGGATTTAGTGCAATTGCATTTGAAGTACAATTCATGTTGCAAAGTGAGAAGGTGGTGTTTTTAGGTTGACCTATTTAGTAGAATCAGTAGAGTGCTCATGGGTCTCTGGAGCTTTCTCTTAGAATGGGCAGACATGGATTGATGGATGTTAAACTGCTGTGAGTGAGAGGGTTTGAGATCTGTCGCTGTATGTGTTCGTGTTAAACATGTGATTAACTGGCCATTGTCCAGTGTGCACCCGCTTGAGGCCCTTATTGGCTCGGATAAGCTTCACCCACACGCAAACTCTCTGTGAGAATAAACAGGAGGGGCTCAGTAAATCAATTTAATCTAAATATTTTTAATTACGTATGTGATTAATTTTTTTCCAACACACCTGTTTGAAACAGCTGTGGCAGTAAAACAGTAGCAAGAAACATTTGATCTATTTTCCAAATTCCTTCACCAAAATGATACATGCATTGTATTTCAAGTACCACACTCGAAAGAAGAATAGCTCGAGCTACTTACTGTCGTGGTGTGTCAGCTGAAGATTGCTGTTCCACAGGGAAGTCGGATAATGTAATCAAAGTGTCACTAAACCATAACAAAGACTACGGCCTGTTTGACAAATAGCTTGTAAAACGCTAGGAAGTCAGGGGTTCCTTCAGGACCCTGTTTTTCCTCCACATGTATGGCTCTACAAATAGCCATCACTTATTCCATACCTTGTACTGATGGTGAAGTGTACTCTGGGTTAGTCAGAAGAACACAAAATAAACACTCTTTCAGATACAATGTTTCCCTTGTTGCTCCTCTGTCTCGGCTGATGATAAAATGAAAGATTCCAGCAACAGATATTGGAGCTTTCAATTATCTTCACATTAAAACTCATACCCTCTGGATGAAGAGGAATAATTGTGATGCCAATCTTTCATTCAGTGTGCAGACATGTTTTTGAGGCCAAACTGGTGTCCTCAGGTGGAGACTATTGGTGATGCCTACTGCGTGGCCGGGGGTTTACACAAGGAGAGTGAAACACACGCTGTGCAGATCGCGCTCATGGCCCTAAAGATGATGGAGCTGTCGGACGAGGTCTTGACCCCAACTGGAGAGGCCATACAGGTATCATCTTAGAGGAGTGTGCACTTTGTGGTCTGTTTGAAACGTCTTTTTGTTTATTTTCCAGATGTTCTTCCTCAGTAAAACATCTGGATCTTTCCAAAACAACTATATTGAGTATATGTATTAAAATAAATGTCTATAAGATTATATCAGTGGATGAATGAATGTTGATATGAGCCATTCTCAAAGTGGATGGTAAAAAATGCTTAGATGTCTTTTTTGCTTTTCTGTGTTTTTTTCCCCAGATGAGAATAGGCCTTCATAGTGGTTCAGTCTTGGCTGGAGTTGTCGGTGTTATGATGCCACGTTACTGCCTTTTTGGAAACAATGTCACGCTGGCGAACAAGTTTGAGTCATGTAGTCAACCGAGGAAAATCAACATAAGTCCCACAACTTACAAGTACGTTTTCAACATGTGTGTTTGTGAATCAAGTGTTTTTTACAATGTCTAAATGTAATCTTAGCTACAAGAAGTAATTCTACTTTTGAATTTAGGAACTGTATGTCCTGGTACAGTGTCTCTTTTTCCGTTGAAATGACTGCACTTCCTGGACCATTAAGCACACCTGTAGATAAACACCAGCTATACTTTTAAAAGAAAGTGATATTCTGTCCACATAAAGGCTGCATCTGAATATAAGCTGCAGGGTTAATATAGATTAATGTAACACTTAACCAATAGCTGATGTAGCAAAACACAACCAACAGATGATTGTGCTGTTTTAACGCACTTTGACAATTTTAATGTTCTTTTTATCTCCACTGGTATTTGATGGAAACAAAACAATGTAAGAAAATACGGTGGCTGAGTTGCTAGCACTCTCAGAACGGGGTCTTTCTGAGTAGAGTTTAAATGTTCTTCCCGTGTCTGCATAGGTTTCCTCCAGGTACTCCGGTTTCCCCTACCACTAAAAACGTGTGCAATAGATCAGAGTAAATGAGTGAGTCGTCCCACAGTCGCACTCACAACCATATTGTGAGTGCGACTGTGGGATGACGGATGGAAATTAGCCCATGGCTACAATCTGGAGAGGTGTGTTCATTAATATGCACTGTCCCAACCAAATAAACAATGATTAAAAAAAGAAAACCTAAAGGTCCAGCAAGTAATGTAGTCCTCTGTATTTTTAGTTAGGTATAAATTGGGGCTCTCCAACTTATGGCCCAAATGAAATATACAGACCTCTGACTGACACTTCCTGGCATCCACGGCCATATTAATTTCCGTTTTAATAGAACTGTAAAAACCCTTTCTGTTACAACATTAAAGCTGGGACACCTATTTTTTGTTGGATGGATGGAAATGGATGGATGGATGAATTGTATTTGGTCCAAACTCACAATTTGACTTTTAATTGACCTTTTCAGTTGAGAAACATAAACATTTACTACTTACTTACTACTTTCATGAATATGACCCCTTATTGAAATAAAAGTGTGGACACCCCTGCTTTACGTGAATGCTGACCCTATTCAGGAAACTTCAGGATTTCACACAGACTCTGTACTTCCTCTGTTGTCAAATCATTGCACGTTGTTTTTAGATTCATGTTTTATTTGCGTGCTCTTTGTCCCAGTTTGCTGAAGGATCGCCCCGAGTTTGTCTTCATTCCCAGGACTAGACAGGAGCTTCCGGCCAACTTCCCACAAGATGTCCCTGGTGTTTGTTACTTCTTGGAGGCTTCTTCAAAAGCGTCCGCTCTGCCCCTCACATAGAGTTCACGCGGATGCTGTTTCCCAGGACTAAAACAAGCCAAACATCATCATTTGTGCAAGCAGTGCAAACTTAGCCGATAGGTTTGTCTAAATCTTGGTGATAATTGTGTTATAGACCAGTTCATAGACATTTTCCTGTTGTGCTTTTACATCTGTACACTGTTTGTAGAGAGAAGTATTTCTGCTGTTTTCTAATTGGTTTTCTTTACATGAAGTATGAGACTGTTTGGTGCAGTGACATTTTCAAGAGGGAAAGATTGCTATTGCCAAGTTTGAAGCAATTCATTTTTCTGTGAATTGACGTAATGAACTGTTATTGAATATTTGGATGTTTCTATACGTGTCTATTTTCTGTATATATGTAATCCTGCACCTTGACCTGATGATATATAGCACAATGAAAGCACATATTCAGCTCACCTTTGAGTGGAGATCTGTGTCTCCACCAAACGATGGTTGAATTGTAGGTGCCTTATAGAAAAGCAAAGCATATATTAGTTTTGAAATGTTATATATTATATTTGATTATTTATGTTCTTTTTAAGTTATTTGTAGCCTAACTGTTTGTTTTACACTTGCTTTTAGATGGTATTTTGTGCATATTTATAAAAGTGCAGTTGGTAATTTAATTCACTTTGATTTGAGAATTCACGTCTAACAAGACACAATTTTCCACAATTTATTTCTCATTTGTTGAATTTATCTTACAATTTGAGAAAGTAGAATGATTTGTTCAACAATGGGACATTTTGAGATGAATTAGAAATGGATATTTCAATCTCTCATACTTTATTTTCTAAATTGGACAAATCATATATAAATTTTCCTTTAATTTATTTTGAACCTTTTACCCTGTATGAACACAGATGAATTTTATGTAATATTCTCATATTAGGTATTGCCATAAAAACATAATGTATTAAAAAAATAAAATAAACTTTTATTACCATCTTTGTGTGTCAATATATGTATTATATCTACAGAGAGAGAAAGAGATTAGTATTAGTATCGCACATATACACTATACTGCATATACACTATATTTATATGTGTGCATGTGTTTGTATACACACACACACACACACATACATATATATATACACACACACACACACACACACATATATATATATATATATGTATATATATATAGATATATATTTATATCTATATATATGTATATATATATTTTTTTTTTTTGTTATTGTGAACGCTTCAGCATCAGCTGCAAAGCAATCTCTGATTGGCCGCTGGATATTGACGTAGGCAGAACCGTGAGCTCCCATTGGTCAGCCGGACCGTCAGTTGTCTGCGCAGAACTGCACTGGCTTCAGCATCAGTGCAAACGATGAAGGTTATGTTCTGTGTTGGACACAGTGGGTTTAGCTTGAATTAAGATAAAGAAGGACCCGCGGTCATCATGGTAAGTGCATTCTCCTATGCCTTATTTTACATGTTAATAATAGTGAATGCGCTTTTACACGTCAGGCTATTGAGCAATATTGTCCTCCGGTTTGTGTATGCTACTGTAGCTACGCACTAACAGGTGAATTATTGCATGGGGATATTCAAACATCTGTATTTACAGTCAGACAAGACTTCAGGGAGAATGTAATTTCCACAATATCTTTTAGTTCCGCTGTCCCTCTCAAAAGAAATGTTTCTTCTTATGTATCCACAGTACGGTTTCGTGAATCACGCCTTGGAGCTCCTCGTTTTGAGGAATTACGGCCCGGAAGTTTGGGAAGACATCAAGTGAGTGCATGTGGATTTTCTTTATTTTGTCAGCTGTAGAACTGGTTACTCTCACAGCAGGGCACGGGACGGACGAGGCAGCACAACAGCTCACTGTGTGGCCCTTCATGGTCCGCTATGGCTCTGTGTGTCCCTGTATGGCCCTGTATTATTTTTAATTGACTTTTTTTCGAATTGTATACATTGTGTACTAAACAAAACAAACGCTTAGATGGCTCCAACCCCCTCCAACCCGTTATCATAATAGAGCATACTCCAACTATTCATTCAACATTTAAAGATACACACACTCGCTTAGACAAGACACAGGCCCATACACTCTCAGACCCAACACCAAAAACTCTCAGTGGTTCGAGATGAGTGGACATCAACAATATACTATATCATGTATCCTTGACACCAGATCATTGTTTTAATCACTTTCTAAGTCCTGCAGTACGTGCACAGACTCCACATTTAATTTGGAGTCTGTGTGAGCCCAGCATTAGGCTGTAGGCACCAGCGATGCATATACAAAAATGAGAGAAACACTATCCATTCAGCAAACAGCCTTACCTCTGTGAGCTCTGCACAGAAGAGCTGAATCTAAACCACATAAAGTTGTGTCTGCAGAGTCCAGTGAAACCAACACACATATCTAATCACGCAGTAAAGTGTTGTGTTCCCAGTCCAAGATTGAAACCCCTTTTAATTATATCCAGTGCTTGTTCTGTCCGTGTTATACCATGTCCATCCTCTCTCCTCAACAACATTTTAAATGAAAAGGTGTATAGCCTTTGTTACAGTTAATCAGAAGCAAATATATAATCAATTATATAATATATATTTTGCCATTTGCATGAAACCATGTGATTTTCCTCCTATGACTTCGTGGAAGATGTGTTGAGCCTGGCTCTTAAACTTGGCCTAGTGCCGTTTGGCCCTGGTGTTTCCCCGTATGGCCCTGTATGGCCCTGTATGGCCCTGCTGTGGCCCTGTATGGCCTTGGTGCGGCCCTGTTATGGCCCTGTATGGCCCTGTATAGCCCTGTATGTCCGTAGTGCGACAGGAGACATATAACCATTAACTCACACAAGAATGTGCATTCAGTTGCTCACACTGGGAATGTCCAGGGCTGTAGAGATACGCTCTGATTTATGGGGACATGAAACAAATGTGTTAATAGAAGCACCAGTAAATAATCATTTGTTACTTCTGAAATCCTAGTCTTTAAGTCCCTTTTCAGCTTTAAGCTACTACTACTATAACTTGTATTAGGTTTGTTGCGCACGTGTACGTGTTTATACAGTACTTTTTTTAGTTTGCCCTGTATTTGACCCCATTACTAAAAAGAGAAGGGAAGAGAAGCAGCTGCATCTTGTCAATGTGAAGATCCAAAAACTAAGCTACACTGTACAACAATTGTCCATGGAGTTTCCACAAAAGCAATTTGCTCGAAGATAAATAATTGTTTACAAAAACAGTGGGGACATTTCACTATTGCAATACTCTTCATAATGGTATAGGTGTCACTCAAGATAAAGACCGTAGCTATTGAAATACTTAAAAACAAATAAAACTTCTCAACTGAGACAGACTGTGCCAAATGAAGTATTGATGGATTCTGGGATTACTCTAAAGAAGAGATATGTGATGCTCAGCACACCTGAGGATCCTAAACTGTTCCTAAACTGTTGTTATTAGCTGCCCCGTGGATAATTAAACCACTATTGTACTTATTTAACCTTTCATTTTCACCAGTCATACCAGGGTCATGGAGAACGGCACATCTCATTTAGTATTTGTTTTAAATGTTCTACTTTTTACGTAAAGAGTATTTCTCAATTTCAAAATCTTAAAATCAACTGCCTTTGTACTAGGAGTGTGACGATATATCGATATATCGTGATACTTTCTCCCACGATCGATTATTGATGTGCATTTGCCAAGTATCAATTTTGAAAAAAAAAGATATTAAAATATATATATTGATAAAAATTTTATCAATACTTAATGACAACATTACGCATCTCCATTCCATTTATCATGAAATAAAGTGTATTATTTCACTTAACATTTTTTTTTTATTTATGCCATAAATTGGCATATGGTATATTTCTGACCAACATATTGTGATATAATCGCTGTCGTGAGCTTTGTATCGCGTATTGTATCGTGAGGTACCCTGAGGTTCCCACCCCTACTTTGTACTCTGGCTCAATAAATTGTTTCTGGCTTTTTCAGAAACAATTTATACAAGAATTGAACTTGGAAAGAAAGATTCTAAATATTTTTCATTTCAAAACATTAAATCATACTCGAAATCAGTTTTGTAATTCAATAATTTGTTTTCACAATTTGATTGATTGATTTCATTCATTCATTAAAAAGTGTTACATTTAACTGATATTGTTCTCCATATTTATTCCTAACTTTACAATATTTAAATTCCTTAGTTTTTAAAAAACTATGTCAGCATATCGACAATGATAATTTGCATATAAAGTGAGGGAAATGGGTTGTCAGTGAACATTATGATGCAGTTTTGCATATTTTAAGGTAAATGGCGCATGTACAAAGTAGGTCTACAACAGAAGTAATCAATGTTTAATTAAAACATATGGTCTATGGGAGAATCTCTGTTCTGCAGCTACTTCACCAATCACCTCTCTGCACTGTTTCATTATTTATCTTTTCAAAACGTAACCTATATTGTATTTGTAAAGCACATTGGTATTTATTTGCAGAGGAAACATAGTGTACAATTAAACCTTTCCATCCACATATACACTCCAAAAAAGTAACCAGACTGGACAAAGTATTCTACAGCACATGCCAAAGACTCTCAGTGAGGTTTAGGTCTGGACTTTCGATGACAAAAATCCATTTGTGAATAGGCGTATCAAGTAATTGTACCTATACTGCCTACTGTCCAAGCCTGATCATGCCTAGTGCCTACTGTACAAGCTTGATTGTGCCTATTGCCTATTGTACACACGGTAACACACCTGATTGTGTCTATTCCCTGCTGTATAGGGATCATGTCTAGGACCTACTATCAGTGTCTGGGTAGTAGGATGTATAGTAACAGATGATGAGCTGGGTGGTCCTGTCCTTACACGATGTGGTGAAGCTGGTGCTGGTCCAGGAGAGTGGTCCCAATGCTTCTCAGTGTAGGTTTTGCCTGCTGCTGGGGAGCCTGCTGCTGGAGAGCCTGCTGCTCAGCCTGGGTGCAGCTGGAGGATTATACAGGGAATCTATATGTCAGAACATTGCTGATGGCACAGATGTAGAAGTTCCCCATCAGCTGTTTAAGGAACACAAGACATTATTATTTTTTCACACAGATTTTCATGCACGAGTCCAGAACTAAACCCAATAGCACGACTACAGTTGACATCACGCATTCAGACAAACAGCAGCATGTGGGGGAGATGTGTAAAAAGAAGTGGAAAAAGGCTGGAGTATTAATAAGGGATACAATCTAAATGTTAACCTTTCTACGTGTAACATTGTTCAGAGAGTAACAAATACCTTTCTCAAGTAGTAGTTGTACTAGAAGTAGAAGAGAATTGTTATCTACTAACTAACATTTTTTTACTACTTCATGGTGGATAAAAGCATCTTGAATGGACGTGTCAAGGTGTGGTTCATTTTGTGCCCCCTACACTACTTCCTGATTAGCTCAGCTTTGTTAGCATCACTGATATGGTTTTCCTTTCCCCACTGAGAGTCGCTCTGCATAAATATGCTCATGCTCTGTATATGTCGAATCACCCTAAATAAAAGCGGCCATTTCCGTGTGTTTGAACATAATACCACTTGTGCGCTTGGATGTAATGGACACATGATTTCTAATTGTAATAAACGAGCGGACTCTGAGCCTGTCAGACGCCGGAAGTTATGTTGAAATCCATTTTTAGTCACTGTTTATCGTGTGTTTGAAAATCTTTGGGATGTTCTGGAGAGGACTATGCACAGTGGTTGGACTCTACAATAACTCTATCTACTGTATCTCCGTGCAACACTGGATGTAAATATATATTTTGACATTGCAGAAGCTTTTTACATACAGTCTAACTAAATACTGGAGCATATAGCAATTATGATAGGCATTGTATATTTATGTTATTTCCCGCGTTTTAACTGTGTGTTTGTTTTATCCAGACGAGAGGCGCAACTTGATATTGAAGGGCAGTTCCTGGTTAGAATCATTTATGAAGATGCCAAAACCTATGACCTTGTGGCGGCTGCAAGTAAAGTTTTAAGTAAGTTTGTGTAACTTCAATACAACAGCAGACGTACAGTATTGACAAGTTTGTTTGTTTGTTTGTTTTCAGAAATTGATGCTGGAGAAATCTTGCAGCTGTTTGGTAAAATGTTTTTCGAGTTTTGCCAAGAATCCGGTTATGACACTATCCTGAGAGTGCTGGGTTCCAACGTCCGTGAATTCCTACAGGTACTCCTTTTGACTTTCATTTTTACCTAATTATGAGATGGAAGGATGCTCATGTGAGGAATCTTTGCTTCTAGAACCTGGACGCTCTCCATGATCACCTCGGTACCATTTATCCAGGAATGAGGGCTCCTTCGTTCCGTTGCACTGATGCGGAGAAGGGGAACAACCTCATTCTTCACTATTACTCGGAGAGAGAAGGCCTGCAGGACATAGTCATCGGCATCATCAAAACGGTGGCTCAACAGATCCACGGCACAGAGATAGAGATGAGGGTTGGTTTTACCGTTTTGACTCAAATCACACACTTTTCTCACCGCTATTTTTCATAAAGATGACATGTAATGCAAAATTCTCCTCCAACGACAATACAATGTTTTCCCTTCTCAGTTTTTACTACTCAAAATTGTTGGTTGCTTCACAGGTATTAAAGTCAATCACATGTTTTATTGCATTACAGAAACCATCCGTTATTCTTATTTCTAAATGTTTTTATTATTATTATTTTCAATCTTTATTTCAGACTCAAGATAAAGTTGATCTATACAAAAAAAGACACACAAAAAACGGCAATGCATTCAAATATATATATGTGAATAAAATAAAAAAATAATTACTCATTTGATCTGCTGCTATGTCGTGACCATATAGAGGCTTACATTTTATTCTTTATTTGTATTATCTCTTTCTGACTGTTGCACTGAGCCAAAGCAATTTACAAGTCTGTGACTTCCTGTTACTTACGTGGCAATAAACATTATTCTGATTCTGATTCTGATTACAGTCACCCAGGCTAAACCGCAACTAGCAAAACAAAACATGCACAACTGGTAATATCCTTATCTTATCAAAATATATATTTTGCATACTCTGATGTTAGGGCCCAGTGAGTCACTATTTGATGCTTTGGGCTGAGAGCTGATTGAAAGAAGTGATAAAGGCCAAAAATACATGCATGTAAAAAGTAGTGATAGAGCTGTTTTGAGAGCCAGGGACTAATGAATTGATTAAAAAAAATTCTGAATTGAAAGTTAGGTACCCCAGCTTTAACTTTTGGAAAAGATTTATATTGACAGCAAAATATACCTAACAGAAATTGAGCAGTTTATTTTGCTGGTAGCAGATCATAGCAGCATAACTGTAAGACTTTGTAGACATGAAACTTTTCTCAAAATGGTTAGGATGGAAATGGTTAGTATGGATTTCTTAAATGGGGACAGAGTTGTATATTTGCTTAAGTCTTGCGCGTCAAAGAATATTTGCAGATGGAGTTTCAAGCTGGGAAGAACCCTTAAGATATATTCTCATACAAGTCTATTTTTAGTTTTTTAACATGAGCAAATTGGAATTGATTGCAGACGTTATTCCCTGGAGAAGTGATACATTCAACTTTCACCGTATAAATCCAATTTTATCTAAACTGTTATAAATATTGCTTACAGCTCGGCTTAACAAACCATATATCACTCAGACTTCTTTTCACTCCTGTGGATTACAGCGTTGTGGCTTGTACTCATTATTCTGACATGTAATTCTGCTCACATATTTACTCTACTAAAGTCACATTCGTAAGCTTTTCATTGCATAAGTGACATTTTCTCTCAAACCTAATCATGCTGTGCAGACAGGATAATATTGTTCATCCATTGTGTGTGTAATAAAAGAGCAGACACTGGTAGACGCTCCAAATGTGACACCCAATTTCTGGGAATATTAGCTACTGTTGCTGTGGCAACTGAGTGCAGAAAGGAGTTTGACGTCAGAATGCCTTATGCTCATAAGCCTCCTGAATTATGTTATTATTCACTGACTTAATTCCATAATACTCTTGGGATCAATACTATTAACAGCTAAGATGATTTGAAATTAATTGCATTTACTGGCCTCTTAATTATAATGGGCTGTGTATGTTATCAGCAGAGTTTAACTGAACTTAAAGCTGCCTAACTTTTTAGTTTCAGAAATAGTACATGCGTTTGTCTCAACAGAAGGAGAACATTTTACGACCAATGCTGTCTTTATCTTATTAGAAAACATACTTATTAGAATGCATACCCAGTGAGTCACTATTTGACTCACTTTGAGTCACTACTATGGGCTAAGAGCAGATTTGTGTAGTGAGGGTATAGGCCACTTTTTTCACTTTTCTGTCTGAAAAAGCTGATCTAAAGGTGTGACAAAAGCCAATAATGCACCCATGTGAAAACTAGCAGTAAAAGCAAAGAGTTTCACGAGCGAGTTACAGGGATTTCTTTTACGTAGCTTTTAATCCTGTTTATCCTGTCTGCTTCAGATGATCCAACCTAAAAGTGAGGAGTGTGACCACATTAAGTTCCTGATAGAGGAGAAGGAGTCGGAGGAGGAGGCGTTCTACGAGGACCTGGATGGTTTTGAGGAGAACGGGACCCAGGAGACTCGCATCAGCCCGTACACCTTCTGCAAAGCCTTCCCTTTCCACCTCATGTTCGACAAGGACCTGATGCTCACACAGTGTGGAAACGCAATTTACCGCGTTCTTCCTCAGGTCAGGATTATTACACAGACTGATTACAAGCTTGTCTGACTGCATCACATCACTCGAATGGGGTTTTGCCACAGTACAAATTATACGCTTCCTATTTGTATTGCACAAAACACGATGCAGGTCAAAACAAAGCTAAACAATCTTTTCACATCTCGCAGCTTCAACCCGGGAGCTGCATTCTCCCCTCCGTGTTCTCCCTGGTGCGTCCACACATCGACTTCAGCTACCATGGAATCCTCTCCCACATCAACACAGTCTTTGTCCTAAGAAGCAAGGTAAGGACTATTGGACTATAGGACTGCGCAATTTTAGATTATAATAGATTACCTAATGCAAGACAAGGAAAATGTATTTGTACAGCACAGTTCATACTCAAGGCAATTCAAAAGTGCTTAACAAAACAGAAAAAACTGCATTTTCACACATTTACAACACATTTTATAGAGTTCTAGCCACTTTCTTTTGTAAAAAATGAATGAAAAACAAAAAAACAAATGCTATCTTGTCCTTTTTTTAATCTTTTCACACTAAATTCTTGTAGTTTATCTTTCTCATGCAACCAATATTGATAGTTTTAACTTATATACAGTAAGGAAAATGTCTCATTGGAATGTGATAATGTATTCCAATGAGACAAATATCTAAATCAAGAGAAATGTTCAAGAATTAAAGTTTTTTTGTTGTTTTTGCTTATCTTTAGCCCCTTTTTTGTTTGCAAAGATCTTCAATAATTGCAGTCTTTGCAATTTGCTTGCTGCGACCACGAAAACTGCGATTTTGAGTTAGGACCTTACTGATTTTATTATTATGTAATAGACATATTTTTCCACTATAAGTTAAAACTTGTCAAATCTGCCCGGTGATTTTTGGCCTAATTTGGAGCGGAGGAAAGCTAAAATATTCATTAGTGTGATGTAATGCCGACAGGAGGGCCTTCTGAACGTGGAGACTGTGGAGAATGAGGACGAGTTGACGGGTGTGGAGATCAGCTGTCTGCGATTAAAGGGTCAAATGATTTACTTGCCCGAAGCTGAGAACATCCTTTTCCTTTGCTCTCCCAGGTAAAATAACCATATCTCATGTCTGAGGCACACACACAAATCCGACGGCACTAAATTCCTACTAATCCACTCATTTTGATTTGAAAACTGGGTCACGCATTGAAAAACATTTCTGTCTGCAGCTTGTAATTAAATGGCTGTCTAATCTTTGCTGGGGTCTTTCATGATAGTTTGTACAACAGCTTGAGCTTGTGTGCTATGATACGGGAAGGGATTCAATTGAGACTTGTGTAATGTGTTACTTGTAGCAAATACATTGTTTCACATTGAATATAATACGCTCTTGTGTTTGGGAGTATTAAAGCTGGGGTACTTAACTATCACACCACAAACACTTTCAACAATGTGAAATATTGATTCAAATCCACTTATGTTCTTACTTCACTAAACTTTGGTTCTATAAATTAAAATAAAGCTGGGGTTCCTAATGTTCAAATCTCAATGAATTATAACTATAAAAACTAATAAAAAACACATGTTACAACGTTTAGTGCGACCACTTGTGCTTTAGCCTGGCCGTAGCCATCCGTACACTCCGGTCAATCATCATTTCACTGCATGTAACGTCTGGGTCTGGTCCCTGTGTTTGCGGTTGAATTCCATCCAACCAATCAGCGAGCGCAGAAGGCGGGTGTTGTAGTTAGATGTGGGTGATGTCAAGACTTTGCGCCGAACGGGCAGGTTGTGGTTTGGCAAGGGTGAAGAATGCGATAGTAAAGTAATCCGGTCTGGTTCTATCAAGAAACTGAAGCAGGAGCAAGAGGAATGTTTAGCAAATGTAATCTTTGGCAAAGATTGTGGCGCTACTCCCCACTAGGGTTGCCAACTTGAGAACAAAAAAATAAGGGACACCATTTGGGTGGATCGGGTTGAGCACTTTTTAGTCCTAATTTCAGTCTACACAGTAATCATGGAATTTCATAATCACAGTTTTTAGATTGTAATTTATTGACTACATATAAAAAATAAAAAAAATCTTTAGTCAAAAATGAAATTGAATAAATAGGTGGAACTCTTTGGCTGGTTGAGGACTTAATCCATTATTAGTAATACAAAAATATAAAAAGACAAATACTGTAACATACATTATTTATGAATGTTACAGTAAAGACCAATTTCTGTAAAAGCAAATAAAAGAAAAACATATGTATTCATTAAAAAAACTCACAAATCAAAGTCTGTAGCAGTTCGACATGGTCATTATTTATATTGTCTGAGTTTTGTGCAGGTACTGCAGGTTTGTGGCTTCAGTAAAAGCTATTGTTCGTTTACAAAGCTGGTCTGGATATTTGTTGACGCTCCCTAAGTGCTTTTCTCGGCGCTTGCAGTGCATTGGATTCAGAGGATTTCTCTGCATTAAAACAGTGCATTGAATTTGTAAAATCGACGTAGAGATGATCATTTTGGCACAATTACTTTTGTTTAACAAAGTAGTTTTCGTGAGCTATTGACCGCGGAAGTCCGAATCTGGGAAAATGACGCTACTTTACCAAACTTCTGCTGTGATGATGCTGCGGGCATGGCCCATGCTGGCGATTGTCAACATTAAACCAACGTATGTGATGAAGCCTACGCCCCTTTGACACTGATTGGCCGAAAGGTAGACGCTTAAACTGTGATCATTACTGTGTGTTCTACGTCATGGTGCTAAGTCCCATAGGACTTCGCTAGTGGGATATCACTCGTGACCCCCAGGTCACACGCCAGAGAGATCAAAATAATTTGCTCCAATCACCAGCCACCCTCCTCTATAAAGGCCCCTGCACAAGGCCGCACCCCCTCTTTCACTCTGGCACCGATTGAGATCTACCACAGTACGTACTTATTCCAGAGAAAGATGTCTTCTGATGCTCGTCCGAGTTCCCCTTCGCCCTCCGGCGTCGGACGTCGTCGTTGCTCGACGTGTCGAGTCAGGCTCCAGCGCACGGACCAGCACTCCAGCTGCTTCATGTGCCTGGGCCCGGGCCATGCGGCGTTGAGCGCCACCTGCACCTCGTGTCTCGCTCTCCCCAGGGAGGAGAGCGAACGCAGGCGTGCGTACCTCGCCGCTGCAGCGCCCCGTCCAGACTCCTCTCAGGACGAGGAGTCTGTGATTGACTGGGCCCCACTCGACCTTCCACCCGTGCCCGCGGAGTGGGGTGACTGCGAGGACGGAGAGGTTTCGGAGGTCGGCTCCCTCCTCACGCTGGACGAGGTGGTGTCGAACCCGGAGCCGGACCGCTTCCCACTGGACCACATGCCTGGGCTCTACTCCTCCGCGGCGGCCATCATGGATGCCCCCCTGCCACCGCAGCCGACCCAGAGGGCGGAGGACTTCACCTCTGGTTACGCCACCCCTCGAGGGAGGAGGAGGATACAGCCCTCGTTGTGCCCGCGGATGGACCCGATCGTCCATTACGCGACACTTGAGTGGCCAAAGCCCCTAGCGGCCAAGAGGCCCGCTTTGGGCTACGGCATGTATTGCAGCGTGCAGGACTGGTCCTGGACCGGCGGGGTCCCGGACATCGAGGATTCGGTTCGAGCGGCCCTGCACCCCTCCGCATCCGTGTGGCCCGGCACCAGACCTCTCCTTCCCTCCGAGCGGGACAGGACGTCTTTGGCTATGCTGGACAGATGTTACGCCAATGCGGCACAGGTCGTCGCTGTGGCGAACAACATGGCCTTCATCACGGGGGCCCTGGATAGGTCGCTCTCTTCTGGCCAGGCGCTCAGTGGAGACACCTTATCACAGGCGAGGACCACCTCAGCGGCGATCCTGCGCATGTGCCAGGCGCTAGCTGTCAATGGCGGCCGCTCCATGGCAGCAGCTCAAGTTGGGGCCAGGCACCTTTGGCTTGGGCTAGCTAACATCAGGGAGGCGGAGAAGAGGCAGCTGCTGGACCTGCCTGTTTCCCAGACGTCCTTCTTCGGTCCGGACATGCAGACCCTGGTGGCTAGACTGGAGACCGCAGCCAAGGACTCGGCTAGCCTAGCCCAGCACCTAGCGCCGAGGCGCGAGGCCCGCCCACCAGCACGGAGCGGGACAGATGCAGGGAGCGTTCGCCCGGGAGGCGCCCTGGCCCATATCCACGCTCTGTGGCCTATCGTCCCCCCTCGGCGAGGCCCCCGGGTCCAGACAGGCCCACGGGAGGCTCGCGGGACCAACGCACCCACCGCCGACCTCCCTATGGCAGAGGAGGTCGGGGTGGGAAGAATTCTTTCAATAAAGGCCGACCGGCATTTCATCATTACTCGCTGTCTCATTTGGGGGTATGTAACATGTCAAATAATCTTGTGAATTCTGATTGTGTTACTTCTCGAGCACATAACGTTGCTTCGCTAGGCCTGCAGCCCCCAGAGCAGGGTTTGCAGTGCGCTACGCGAGCTACGAGCTCCGGTTCTCTGGTTCATGCTATGCCCTCCCAGAGAGAGGTCAGGCGGAGGGATCTGGTGAGTAGTGGTGTGTGTGCTTCGGCCGAACGCATGTTAGCATCTCTGAGCTACAAGGCTAACACGGGGTCTCCCACTCCAGGGGCTCGCCCCCCCCCCCTCCATGAGGCAAGAGCCAGGGGGGGGCACAGCAGCCGAGTCACCGAGTGACGCAGGGGGCCCCCCGGCCCTTTCGTCCACCCCCCCTCCCTGCGAGGAACACCAGGAGAGGGCGGGGCCGTGACGTCTCGTGTTCCAGCTCCCGTTCCGCCCCTCACAGACTTCTACAGCATCTGGAGGGAGCAAGGTTTGCTGACAGATCTATGGCTGGAGAAAACATTGCGCAGGGGTTACGCACTGCAATTCTCCCGAAAGCCACCACCATTCCGAGGCGTACGGGCAGCACGCTCTCAGGTACGGGGATCATTAGAGGCACTACAAGCGGAGGTCTCCTCCCTGCTGAGTCGAGGCGCAGCAGTGGAGATAGACCCGCAGGACACCACCAGGGGGCTGTACTCCCCTTACTTCTTAGTGTCAAAGAAGTCAGGCGGGGTGCGTCCCATTTTGGATCTGCGCGTTTTGAACGAGTGCATTTCCAAACGGCAGTTTCGGATGCTGTCCACAAAGCAGCTCCTCGAGTGTGTCAGGCAGGGAGATTGGATGTCCTCCATAGACCTGACAGACGCTTACTTCCACGTGCCGATAGTGCCGGAACACAGGAGGTTTCTGCGCTTCGCAGTGGGAGAGAGGAATTACGAGTACTGCCGTCTCCCCTTCGGCTACGCACTCGCGCCTCGCACTTTTTCCAAGTGCGTGGAGGCAGCACTGGAGCCGCTCAGACGCGCAGGGGTAAGAATTTTAACCTACATAGACGACTGGTTAATTCTGACCTCATCCAGGGAAGTGGCCGTGAGTCATACGCACTGGGTCCTGTCCCACATACAGCGTCTGGGCTTTGTGGTAAACAGGGAGAAAAGCAAGCTGCAGCCCGCTCAGCGCATGATTTATCTCGGCCTGCAGCTAGACTTTGTGACATTCCGTGCTGCATTGCCCGTGGACAGACGGATGAACATTACCCATCTGGCCAGGGAGGTTCTGGCGGGCCCCAGAGTCCCCGCTCGGCGCCTCAGGTCCCTGCTGGGAATGATGGCGGCGGCTCATGCTGTGGTGCGGCTAAGCCTTCTCCACATGAGGAATTTTCAGAGGGGGTTCTCACGCCTCAGGCTTCACCCCTCCCGGGACGGGGGGAGGCTGATCTGGGTTCCCCAAGTGGCAGCATCGGACATCAGGTTCTGGCTCACTCCGGGTCTATTGCGGGACGGAGTGACTCTGGCCTGCGGCGTGTCTCACGTGGAGGTGTTCACGGACGCGTCACTCGAAGGATGGGGCGGGGTCCTCGGCCAGAGCTCTGTAGGAGGCTGCTGGTCGGACTCAGCCCGTCACATCAACCTGCTGGAGATGGAGGCAGTGCACAGGGTACTGCTGCACTTTGCTCCTCAGCTGCAGGGGAGACACCATAGTGGTCTACTATCTGAACAGGCAGGGGGGCACCAGGTCCCCCGCTCTCCATCGCATGGCGACGGTGACGTTGCTGTGGGCGGCGCTTCACCTCCTGTCTCTCAGGGCGCGCCATGTCCCGGGGGTCCGGAACGTGGGGGCCGACAGGATGTCCAGGGGGGGCCCACTCCAGGACAAGTGGGGCCTGGCCCCACGGGTAGCTGCGGAGATCTGGCGGAGGTTCGGCCGTCCAGTGGTCGACCTTTTTGCCAGTGCAGAAAACGCACAGTGCCCGTCCTGGTTCGCCTTAAGGGCCGCGGACGAGCCGCCCCTAGGCGTGGACGCTCTGGCTCATTACCCCGGGCCAGAGGGCCTGCTGTACGCTTTCCCACCAGTGCGTCTCCTGCCGGTCCTGCTGCGGAGGATCGAACAGGAGAGGAGGTCGGTGATCCTGGTGGCTCCGGACAGTCCGCATGCCCGGTGGTTCCCCTTCCTGAGGGGCATGGCGGTGATGGAGCCCTGGGCCCTCCCGGACGAGCCGGGGGCTCTAGTCCAGGGGGGGGAGCCCTGTTTTCACGCCCGATAATCGGCCGCAGGCTCTGGGTTTGGAGGCTGAGAGGCGGAACCTCGTAGACCTGGATCTTCCCCCTGCGGTGGTGGAGACCATTCAGGGAGCGAGGGCGCCGTCCACTGTGAGGGCCTACGCCACGAGGTGGAGGCTCTTCAGCGACTGGTGCGGTTCTCGTTCCTGGGATCCCAGGCGTTGCCCGCTGGAGGGGGTCCTGGGATTCCTACAGGAGCTTTTTGACAAAGGGAGGGCTGTCGCCACCTTGGCGGTGTTCGCGGCAGCCATTACCTCGGGTCACGAGGTAATGGCTTCAGGTCGCATTCCACGCGTGGGATGGCGGCCTCTACGACCCTTCTCAGGGGGGCGTCAGTCGAGGACGTCTGCCGTGCGGCTTCTTGGGCGTCGTCCTCTTCTTTCGTCCGGTCTTATCTTTTGGATGTGTCGGACCGGTCGGTGGCCCATTCCGTGCTGAGTGCAGCGGACTGAGTTAGACCGTTAGGTCCCTCCTCTGAGGGGGCCTTCGGTTGACTTTCCGCCCTGGTTCAGGAGCTCTTGGGAGAGGCGTCCTACAGGTGCGGTACTTATATGTGTGTTTTGGTCGGTCAGGTAGTCCACGTCAGGAGCTCTTGGGAGAGGCGTCCTGGGACTACGGGTGACCTACGGTCTGTGTTACGTGGGGGTATCCTTGGTAGGAGTGGCCCGGTAACACGCTTTTGCGGAGCTCCAATCACCCTTCGCTGGCCTGCTGGAAGTACATGTTCCTACGGCCTCCGCGTTGTGTCCCACTAGCGAAGTCCTAAGGGACGTAGCACCATGACGTAGAATTAATAGTTACCTAATGTAACTTAAGTTAGGCGAATAGGTGCGTAGTCCCTTAGCTACGAGCCCATCAGGCCAGCCCGGCTTGGCAGAGTTCAAGAGGGGGTGCGGCCTTGTGCAGGGGCCTTTATAGAGGAGGGTGGCTGGTGATTGGAGCAAATTATTTTGATCTCTCTGGCGTGTGACCTGGGGGTCACGAGTGATATCCCACTAGCGAAGTCCTAAGGGACTACGCACCTATTCGCAGAACTTAAGTTACATTAGGTAACTATTAATTCGCGTGTGTGTGCGTGTGTGTCGCGCGTGTGACATACAGTGAGTGAGTGATGCATTTAAGGTGGGTCTGAAAATACAGGACAAAAGCCGTCCCGTATCAGTTCAATACGGGACACACAGTTTTTCTATAATACGGGACAATTCCGTATTTCAAGGGACGGTTGGCAACCCTACTCCCCACGGGCTCAGTTAGCGGCAAAGGAGATGGCTAGGCTAAATACTAAATGCTAACGACTCACCCGGGCACATTACATACGTCACGGTAAACTCAGATTCAATCGTTTCAATCTGCAAAAGGAGTTAACCCCTCCTACCTCAGCCACGGTGGCTGAGTAGTTAGCACTCTCACTTCTCAGCAAGAAGGTCCTGGGTTTGAATCCCGGTCGGAGTAGGACCTTTATGAGTGGAGTTTGCATGTTCTCCCCATGTCTGCATAGGTTTCCTCTGAGTACTCTGTTTTCCCCTACCACTAAAAACATGTACAGTAGTTCTGGCATGCGCCTCCTGTACTGGTGAACCCGCTCCCATCTCTGTGTGGAGTGAGAGAAAAATGCCCACAATTGTATTCTGCTTTGTGACTCTGGTCTGTGAAAGGTGGTATATAAATAAATATTACTTACTTACTTACTTACTACCTGTAAACGGAGCTCAATGGAGCACCTTCAGACCTTAGTACAAAATGTAATTTGTACTATGGTGTGGTACGACCACGCTACTCATGCTCTATCACATTTTTGGACATTATTTCAGACAGAAAAGTGAAAAAGAGAGGACCGCCTTCTCTCAGCCAATCAGCTCTCACCCCAAAGTATCACATCACAGGGCTCTTTCTTTCAAGTATGCAAAAGATATAATGTTCTGTAATAAAATTAAGTGTGATTTGGTTTTAAAGTTTTTTTTAATTCTTTCTATTTTTGGGACAAACAACCTAAAACAACAGTTAGTTTCCCCAGCATTATACAGTAACGACTATCTATGCCTTGACAGCCTTTCTCAACGTTGACCTTATATTCAACTGTTTAATGAACTCGATTTTTTAGTAGCACAGACACCTCACTATTCTTTGTTCTTTCACAGTTTAACAGCATGAGTAAGAACACCGTCCTCCCACTTACAAACTTATTTAGCATTTAGGCCTCTTAAAAATGCGTTGTGTCACTTTTTGGGTGGAGGCTCTGCCTTCTGCTTGTCTTTGTGGAGATGTTTCTTTTGTTTCGATGATCCATGGTATAGAAATAAACGATTCTATTAGCCTTCCTTCATTAGGGATATCTTTATTATTTGTCACTTTATTATATGTTTCCCACCAAGTTTAAACATTGTATTTGTTGACCTGTCAAACCATTGTTTCATTAATAAATTGTAAACACATTTAAACAAAGCAGTACAAATCAGAAATTGCTTGTTAATTTATTGATATTTTTATACATTAATGTTGCTGTGACTAAAATTGAGTGGAGTTCGCAAGTTCTCCCCTGTCTGCTTAGGTTTCCTCCGGGTGCTTCGGTTTCACTAACACAAAAAATATATACAATGGGTAAAATCATCCAGCTTCGGTGGTCCTGACCAAGCCAAGTACCAACCTCTGGAAATGGGCCATGGGGCTGTACTATAAAACATACAATACTACAATACATAGTAATTATCCCTATTCTTATCACACTACACTGTTTTGAAAAGAAAACGTTCTGTTTTGTGGTGGCCTCAATAAAATCCGTAGAGACAAGTCCTTTAACCTTTTCGTCAGCTGATGGAATCTTTGTCGACCAACATTTGTATGAGGTGACACTATAAGGACTACAGCAGAATGTAAATATATATGTTAGTGAGTTAGAATAAGATTTAGTGGTTTTTGAAGTGAATTCAGCCGTAGTGGGCGAGTGCTGCTTGGAAGAATTTGTCGGATGAATCAGCACATGGTGGTGGTAAACTACTACTGCTGGTGTCTTCAGTAGTAGTGTATCCACATTTCATACTGTGGGTGAAATGTCCTGCATAAGGACAATTTGCTGTCATAGATTGTATGGGTGGTCATGGACTCTTTCCGTGGCTCAAAAGAGAAGTCCATCAGTACATTGCGCTACAGAAGCTCAACAGGGAAGTGCTCATGGTGAAAAGTTTTACTCCAACTCGCTCTGGCTCCTATTGATTAATCAGTAAACTCTTCTAGCTCAGTAACCTTTTGTGTCACACTCTCCATTTTGGGCTTACCAAATCTGTAATCTCTCTATGATCCTTGGGTTTATGTTTTTTGATCTTGTCTTTTTAAATCCTGATGTGAGCCATAAGTATTGACCAATTAGATGCCTTAATTTGGGAAACTCGAACTTACCTTAGCAACCATGTTAGCAACACATTCATTTGCATCACCCCATTGTAACAAATGCCCATATGTAATGACATTGGCTCCAGCTCGCTTATGTTCAAAACGTCTTCTTTAGCATTTCCCAAACATTATGGGTGACGTCAGCGCTCGGTTAGTCTATGCCTACTGTGTATGATATCAGTGTGAAACCTGGTAGGACAGCGTTCTTCCATCGCAGTACAAACCAGGCCCTACACTACTTAGCTTCTGACATGTGATGAGATACTGTATAAGCAATCTATTTTCTGTAAGATATGTTTTGCATTATATTTGTATGTTCTATTTACAATGAGTGTATTTGTGGTTATAGTGTGATGAACCTGGATGATTTGACGCGAAGGGGCCTCTACCTGAGTGACATCCCGCTGCACGACGCCACTCGAGACCTGGTGCTGCTGGGGGAGCAGTTCCGCGAGGAATACAAACTGACTCAGGAGCTGGAGATCCTGACTGACCGACTGCAACACACACTCCGAGCTCTGGAGGACGAGAAGAAGAAGACTGACCGGTATGAACCTGTATTAGGGCTGTCAAACGATTAAATTTTTTTAGTTGATTAATGACATCACATTGTCATTCATACCAAATGTACTTAAATCTGTTTGATTTGCTCACAGCCTTTTACTTTTGGGCACAAAGTTAATGAAACGGAAAATGTACGTACTCCAGCTTTAATTTAGCGAGTTTAGTTGCGTTTCAGGAGAAGACACGGACACTTCCTGAGGCTCCATAGTGCAGCTTAAGCGGTGTATGTGAGTGCACAGGTTACGCAAAGACACGCACACAACATGCAGAGAATAATTTGGATCACGTCACCGTGGCACCATTTGCCGTGTTGTTGTTAGCGGCTCACAGCCCGGGTCAGAACACAACAGAAAGTGCCCCTCGGTCGCGCGAATATTTTTTTTAAACTTGAATTTCCTAGAGACCTGCTCTGTTGCCATCTCACACACATGCGTCCACGGCATTCTGAGTGATATTATGGGATATATGCGGACATGCTATAAACGCGTTAATTTTTTAAAAATGCGATTCATGAAAAATGTAATTAACGTGCGTTAACGCAATCATTTTTGAAAGCCCTAATCTGTATCCAAGAAGGTATGAAGATTTTTTCCTTTAGTACAGGGGGGTCAAACTCATTTTGGTCAAGGGCCGAATAAAAAAAAAATAGCAACTGGTCAGGGGTCAGCTCCTTTTCTTATTATCGTTTTTTACATTATGAATTACATCAATGTGACATCTGGTTGATTTTTCTGAAACCAATTTTTTTTGTAAATTTAACCATTTAAATTCTAATTATGTGTTGGGTTAAAATGTTAAAATAAATTAAATTGAGTTGTTTTCCTGATAAATTAGATGATGCCTTGGTTTATGAGCATTGATGCTCATAACCATCAATGCTGCAGTTTATTGATAATAATTAAGATCATTTTATGGGCCACTAGAAATTGTCTTGCGGGCCGGATTTGGCACATGAGCCTGAGTTTGACATGTTGCTATAATATGATAGGTTTGCGGTTTTTCTGAGATACAGAAGTTCAATATTCTGACTATTCATAAGGCAGCTTTTGTTTTCATTCATTTTCTGATTTATTCTTTGGTCGACAACATAAAAACAAGTCCCAACCCAAGTAACTATGAAACAATTTCACATTAATAAATCAATAATTTATCTGACCAAGAGTTTAGCCTCAAGTTTGACCCTTAGTTTAGCCAATGGAAAGTATTTGGATTAAGTAGACACAAATAGATTAGATAGAACATTGTAAATCTCAGGGGACGATTTAGAGATGATGGGGGGAAAGACAGAAACGACAGTCTGCAATCAGTTATAATTCTGTCTAATGTTATCATTGGAACTACTAATAGCCCTGTAATTGTATTCATTTTCCTATTACATGTATTACTTCAGTCTAATACATTTTTGGAAATTCTGAGTCACAGATTGATTTGAACAGACTGAAACAGCCGAACAAGGGCTGTCATGTGGATTGTCTTTATTAGGTAACATACGTAAATTCCAGTCTTCTTTTAGAAATAAGCCATTATATGTAAGCTGTCTGTCTTTCTGAGCCAAAACAGAACAAATAAGGCTTTAAAGGTATATATACAATTGATCATTATAAAATCTTATATGTAGAAGAGAAAATAATTATTTAAATGAAATAATCAGATAGCTAATGTTCCAAAGTGAAAGCATTACGTTTAGACCTCAAACAATACTAAAAACATTATTGAAATAGTTATGACACATTTTTTTTTACATATGTATTGATCGCAAAAGAGCTCTTTATGTGATGTGTCCTCAAATTAACTCTCCACGGAAGCTTTTTTGCTTTTAACAGGCCTCCATGATCTAACCAGTTACCATAGAAACACCACCCTCCCATTTTAGAGCCGCTTGGAGAGCCAATGACCAAAAGGTGGTGGGTGAGAAAATAAATCAGTGATCCAAAGTCTTGATTTTGGCTGTCCCCTCGTCCTGCTATTTTCAAACACGCGCTCACACACACACACACACACACGCACACACACACAGACACACACACACACACGCACACACTCTAATGATTTGTTTTCCTCATTGTAGGCTGCTCTACTCCGTGTTGCCACCATCTGTTGCCAATGAGTTGCGTCACAAAAGGCCCGTCCCTGCCAAGCGCTACGACAATCTGACCATCCTCTTCAGCGGCATCGTGGGTTTCAACACCTTCTGTAGCAAACACGCCTCTGCCGAAGGAGCCATCAAGATCGTCAACCTGCTCAACGATGTTTACACACGCTTTGACATCCTGACAGACTCCAGGAAGAACCCCTACGTGTACAAGGTCTGCGTTCAATGGAAAACATCATATTATTGTAGATATCTGGCTGTCAAGTGGGATGATTATCATAATGGAATTGTACACTCTGATCACTACCACATAGCAATAGACTAGCTATAGTATCTTTCATATTTGTAAAAACAGATTTACTGCCTGAAAGATGGGGTTTATTTTGAAGAGTGAGGGTGGTCTTCTCTTCTTCACTTTTTTGTCTGAAGTTAAGATGTGTGTGCGGCTAAAAATGCATGAATGTGTGGTTTAGTTCAGCTTTGGAGCAATGAGCATCAGTGATTATTACGCGTGTCACAGCATCACAACAGTAGGTTCTACTTCAGGCCACATTCAAACTGTTTTTTTTTTTCAAGTAAAAGTGTCTCTAATCTGCACAATGTTATTAAGAATATATATTATTACATTTTTTACATTAAAAATTAAACTCACAAATTAAAGCTGCGCTACCTAAGTATTATACATAATACTTTTGTTTGTCCCAACAGAGGGTCTTGAAAATGCGAAACGTTGTGAACAAAAAAGATCACACCATGCCATTTTCATATCATTAGAACACATGTCCAATAGTGATCCATTAGTTTCACTTTCAAAAACTGACATGACATAAAATATTTGTAATAGTCGAAAACGGAAACTAAAAGGAACTAGATAGATATGGGTTTTATGACAGTTTATTGTTTATGTTTATGGTTTAGAATATAGGTACCCCAGCTTTAAGTACATAGTAAGCATAGCATTGTGCCATCCGACCACCACCAAGCATTTACTCACACAACTACTCAAACTTAGGCAATGTGGGAGAAGTGTCTTGCCTAAGGACACAAAAAGTTTCAGCACTGTTTTCATGCACACACATTAGGATAGAATATAAAAAGCGGTCTGAGGAAATCGGAGCCTTCTTTCTGTTCAAACATGTAACATTTCCCAAGAGTCTTGTGCCTTATCTCATTCATCTCAATTGACTTTCCGTACAGCGTTGCCGGACTTGCTCCAAACAGCGGTAGTTTTACAATGGAATAGGAGGATTTTATAGGGAAGTGCAGCAGATTTACGCACTAGGCTTTCAGACAAGAATGCTCTTTGAGAAGTCAAACAGATTTGTGCACATCCCGGAGATCAGCCTTAGGCACTGGGTCGCCAAAAGAAGTAATATTTACTTTAGGCACTGAATGGCTTGGTGGTCCTTGGCTTTCGCAAACTCAAAGAGGCCCTGAATGTCTTTAGGGTGATGTAAGTGTGCAAGTGTTTATCTCAGGGTGTTTCAGTTTATTTCTGGCTACAATGTGTATGTAAAAAAAGCCTTTGTTGACTCGTAAGGTCAGATTTTAGTGCTACCAAAGCGCAGTGAAATTGATGATGATGTCACTTCAGTGTTGGTGAAGAGCAGGGCGCAAGATATATTGTATGTATATAATCGGATCAAGAGTGCAATTGGTTTTTCATTTATATAGAAAAAAATAATATTTTCTAGCATTTATCTTGATAACATGTTCATCAGGGCTTTGGGTTCAGTGTGGTCTCGATCCTGCAATGAAAAAACTCAATTTTGATACTTACTCAAAACCACAGTCATTTTTAACATAAGTAATAATAGTTCTTTTTATTCTATTTTATTTAGATAAAATGTATTCTAAAACCCACTTTTAGAATGAATTTCTATTCTTTCTCAAATGTCTCATTTTGATAAAGGACTGAGTATCTTTCAGACCCGGCAGATACGCATGACACAATACATAGGGGCTTTTTAATTATATATTTATTAAGTCATACTTTTAAAATGTACAAAAGGAAATATTTTTAAATGAAATATATAGTATCTAATTAGAAAAAAATTATATTTATCTCAATGATAAATATTTTGATGTTATTTTGACGTTATTGTAACCTCTGGGTTATTTCTGTCTTTCATTACAATGTAAATGATTTTTATATTTTATAACAGCACAAATATGTAATATATTTTTAGATATTACAAAACAAAATAGTGTACAATGTTCAACAAAGAAATCATAATAATAATAACTATATTTGAATAGCACTTTTCAAGAAACAATGTTTACACAGTTCTGCAAGTCAATAAAAAACAATACGAGTCAATAAAAACCTATAGTCTTTTTGTAATATGAATATTATAAAATTATATATTATATATAATAACAAAAACAGGAAAAGAAAAGCAGAGAGAGGGCAAGGAGTGGGAGGTTCTCCTAGATTGATATAGTATAAGAAATACTGTGTTGAAAAATTGCCAGAAACGTGGAGAAATAGGTTTTTATCTAATAATAATAATAATATTGCATCAGTTTTATATAGCGCTTTTCTGGACACTCAAAGACGCTTCACATGTCATTATTCTTTCACTCCATACACGGTGGTGATAAACTACTACTGTAACCACAGCTGCCCTGGGGCACACTGACAGAAGCGAGGCAACCAGTATTCACCAAATTCACACCCCAGACTCATTCTAGGCAATGGGGGTGAAGTGTCTTGCCTAAGGACACAACGGCAGTTTGGCACTTTACAGCCGCAGCCGCTCCACTGTGGCTGGTGTTCCCAGAGGTTAAGTGTCTTGCCAAGGACACAACAACAGCAGACATCAGTGGGAGTCGATGTTGAAGGTCGGGCTCGAACCCACGACCTTCTGGCTCAAAGGCCAATGCTCTACCAACTGAGCTACTGTCGCCCAATCTAGAATTAACCTAACTTGAATTTGTGAATATAATGGTCATGTTTATCGGAAAAATCATATTTGAAAAGTTGTAACAGAAATTCTTTGTCTATTGTGAAGGTGGAGACAGTGGGTGATAAATACATGACTGTGAGTGGTCTTCCAGAACCCTGCACGCACCACGCCAAGTCCATCTGCCACCTGGCGCTCGATATGATGGAGATCGCCGAACAAGTCAAAGTGGACGGAGAACCGGTCCAGGTTTGATAAACTTATGTTATTTCTGCATCAATATGAAGTCAGCATCTAAGCCGACAGAGTAAATGTGTTGAATGTGTGGAATTGTACATTCATACAAACCACCAACACTACTTCTCTGTCAGAATAGAAGAACAAAAGTGAAATTGTTTCTTGTTTCAGCTTGTTAAGTTATGTGCGAGAATGTCAGTATCATGATACAAAATGTAATATACAATATTCCATACTTTGTGCACATTTATGTCACATGTTGTCATCAGAGCGTTGTCCTTTCTCTGAACAACAGCAGATTCCTCAGAGGGCTTTACAATGTTTTCGATTCCTCTACAACAGATCAGAGAATTAAACAGTTCAAGCACAGGAAATGCAATAATAACAAACACATAGATTTGTTTAGAGCCTTTGGTCCTAGATCAAGGGCGGATGACTAATTTCTATAAATGTTAAAAAAAAAAGGCCATAAATTTGTGAGAGGGCCACTAACGTACACCAAAATTGTCCAGGGGCTAACAAGACACAGATTGGATTTGGGCTTTAAAATGAGGTATGGTTTGTCTAAATAAGGTTCATATTTGATAGAGCTGAAGTTGGCTGAATGACAAATATTGAATCACTCCATTAGCGTTATATATTATAAAACAAATGTAAGAAGTCACACAAAGTCCACTACTGGATTCCAGAGGTCCTGAACTTCACAATAAATGTATAACATTTTGTCAGAGCTGGAGTTGGCTGTATGACACTGTGAACTTGTGTTTATGGTTACTTTGTGTTAGTACCAGAGGGCCACATAACATGACACAGAGGGCTGCAATTGGCCCACGGGCCTGAGTTTGGCCAGGCCTGCTTAGACATATAATGTAAGGATTACCATGACAGGCTGCAGTAGATATCTGGATTGATCTGGCAAATACTATAGTACTCTACTAGTTGTATATTGAAAGACCGACTAATATATATTTTTTATCAAATTGACCAAAGCACCGAATATGTTTTTACTCATTCCAATTGTATTCTACAGTAACTATTTTTAATTTTGTATGTTTTTTTTTATTTTTATAAAAGCCGCCTACAAATAAAAAAGATACAAAATAGTTTTGATTAAAAATATTGTCTGTATTGTTGCAATGTTGTGTACAGAATAGTGTTTAATAAGGGTGATTCTAGTTTTCATATTGACATAATTTATTTTCCTAAAATTGTGTAGAAAATGTCCAATTCTGTCTTGTTTGTGTCTTTTTAAAATAGCTCTTTGCATTTTTTTATATAATTGACAATCCTAATTTTATGAAGTATTCTATTCCATCCTTTTTAACTATTATGTATTTTCATTACAGCTCTATAAAACTATTATTCAATTACTAATTATAAGACAGCTACAAGTGAATTATGATTCATCTGTTATAGCCCTTGATGACAGTACATTTTGTAAAGTGAAATTGAACCTGTACAAACTAGTGAGAGACCGGGACGTTGGTGCGTTGAGCATCCTCAGCTTCTCTGCAGCAGAATCAGTTTGAGTGATTGAGTTCTGAAGAATGATATTTGCACATCTGCACATACCTTTACGCTGAAGTCCTAAACAGTGAAATGTTGGAAAGAACGCAGCAGACATATTGTTTAATGGATGGTTTGAGATTGTTATTGTATCAATGACTGTTGAGACTTAACGTAGGAAAATCACGTCTGGCAAACAAACGGTTGTTTATTTTGAGCCGAAGCCCCAGATGAAGAGGCGTCTGCAGTCGGAGCAGAAACAAGACTCAAATCATCTCACGATCCTACAGCTAAAAATAGACTCTCATTTGTTTCAGGCGTTGTTCAGGCGTGTGCATGCTCCCTGGACAACAACTATGAGGCGATTACAAGTTTAAACATAAACATTGCTTTAGAGAAAGACATCTTTGACTGCACCTGTTTAAAAAGGAACATGCCCAGAATAAAGACACATCTAAATCTAAACAGCGTAACCTAAAGTAACACACTGTGAGTAACAACTAACACACTGTCTCAAGGTGTCTTCACACTTTAGTTCACTATATTTGTGGATTTAAGAGCAGAGGAGCTGACAGTGTTTGGCTTCTCTTCTCACCCCTGGTTGGCCAGTGTGAATGTCCATGTGTCGTTGGGTGCACTGGTTCATTTGGCGCCCCTTCCACTGTTTCCCTGTTAGCTCTGCTTTGTGAGCGGCACTGTTATTGTTCTCTGTTGGCTTCTTATAGTTACTCTGTATATTATGTTCAGTAGCTTTAAAATGTAGTGATCCAGTCACTGCCTTGGAATGTGTTGTCACTTGAGCAAATGAAATGAATGGGATTGAAACTGTGGGATTTCCCATCCATATTATTCTGAGCCCAAATCTCAAAGTCACGTTGACATCCTTTTTTGGATGTCCATGTGATATTATGTATTCAGATATTATGACTGAACCTGGTACAGTGCTGACTACAATACACAGATTTAGACAGACAGGTGTCTGTATCTTCCATCCATCCATTTTCTGCCCTTTAATCCATTTCTGGGTCAGGGGGGTGGCAGTCAGAGATGCCACCCAGGGACGTGCAGTCAGGGGAGGCAGGGGAGGCAGAGCCTCACCTGCCATTATTGGAAACTAATAATTATTTTAGTTTAAATATATAATTTATATCCACTGTCCTATGCTTTTAATGTATATTCAGCACGGTTCCCATCAGTTTTGATCATTTCTGAAGTCAAAATCGCCGAAATCCCGTTATTCCTATTCAAAGAGACGAGGTGAGGCAGCGCTCCTGCGTGCCTCACCTCAGACCGCACCCTCACAGTGTGTGTGTGTGTGTCTGAGTGCACTCAGCTCGTGCAGTTGATATATCACCGTTTGTTTAAATCTTTTGATTGTAGATGAACACACAAGGAAAAAGCTTGGCGTGAGGCAGGCGGTATTTGTGCCTCACCGCTAGGGGTGATAGTGAGCATAAAGTTCATACCAGAGTTGCTAACAAACAATCAGCCCAAAATGCTATTTCTTTTGCTGGAAAATGGATGATTTGAATGAAGATTTTTTTTCTCAATTGGACTTTCAAACAAAGAAAGAATTAATATAGACTGGGAGACCACCACTGGACTTACGAGGTTAGTCCGGCTGCGGGGGAGGAGTTTGTTAATCTGTGTTTTATGTTGAACATTGACAGATACCGGCAAAGTAGTGCTTTTCCGAAAAACACTGATTCAAACACTGCTCAAGAGTTCTGCAACTTGTTTAAATTATTGTTTATGTTCCTCGCGTCTCTCTCTCCTCGCGTCTCTCTGCTCCTCGCGTCTCCGTCTCTCTCTGCTCCTCGCGTCTCCGTCTCTCTGCTCCTCTCTGTCTCTCTCTGCTCCTCGCGTCTCCGTCTCTCTCTGCTCCTCTCTGTCTCTCTCTGCTCCTCGCGTCTCCGTCTCTCTCTGCTCCTCTCTGTCTCTCTCTGCTCCTCGCGCGTCTCCGTCTCTCTCTGCTCCTCTCTGTCTCTCTCTGCTCCTCTCTGTCTCTCTCTGCTCCTCGCGTCTCTGTCTCTCTCTGCTCCTCTCTGTCTCTCTCTGCTCCTCTCTGTCTCTCTCTCTCTCCTCGCGTCTCTCTCTCCTCGCGTCTCCGTCTCTCTCTGCTCCTCGCGTCTCCGTCTCTCTCTGCTCCTCTCTGTCTCTCTCTGCTCCTCTCTTCTCTCTCTCCTCGCTCTCTCTCTCCTCGCGTCTCCGTCTCTCTCTGCTCCTCGCGTCTCCGTCTCTCTGCTCTCCTCTCTGTCTCTCTCTGCTCTCTCTCTCTCGCGTCTCTCTCTCCTCGCGTCTCTCTCTCCTCGCGTCTCTCTCTCCTCGCGTCTCCGTCTCTCTCTGCTCCTCGCGTCTCCGTCTCTCTGCTCCTCTCTGTCTCTCTCTGCTCTGCTCTCTCTCCTCGCGTCTCTCTCTCCTCGCGTCTCTCTCTCCTCGCGTCTCCGTCTCTCTGCTCCTCGCGTCTCCGTCTCTCTGCTCCTCTCTGTCTCTCTCTCTGCTCCTCTCTGTCTCTCTCTGCTCCTCTCTGTCTCTCTCTCCTCGCGTCTCTCTCTCCTCGCGTCTCCTCTCTCTCTCTGCTCCTGCGTCTCCGTCTCTCTCTGCTCCTCTCTGTCTCTCTCTGCTCCTCTCTGTCTCTCTCTCCTCGCGTCTCTCTCTCCTCGCGTCTCCGTCTCTCTCTGCTCCTCGCGTCTCCGTCTCTCTGCTCCTCTCTGTCTCTCTCTCTCCTCTCTCCTCGCGTCTCTCTCTCCTCGCGTCTCTCTCTCCTCGCGTCTCTCTCTCCTCGCGTCTCCGTCTCTCTCTGCTCCTCGCGTCTCCGTCTCTCTGCTCCTCTCTGTCTCTCTCTGCTCCTCTCTCCTCGCGTCTCTCTCTCCTCGCGTCTCTCTCTCCTCGCGTCTCCGTCTCTCTGCTCCTCGCGTCTCCGTCTCTCTGCTCCTCTCTGTCTCTCTCTGCTCCTCTCTCCTCGCGTCTCTCTCTCCTCGCGTCTCTCGCACCTGCGCTTCTTAAAGATGTTGTTTGATGCGGAGCAGAGTCAGCAGCTAGATTTGTTGTGAGATTATTAAAAGAAGCTGGTTCTCTTATCTTTACAGTATATAAAGTTTGTGGATGTCATTGCATTGGTGATTAAATGCTATTTTATTTGAATAATGATTGTAAATCTGACTTTTAAAGTCAGTGCCTCCCCAATCACAAACCTCACCGCACGTCCCTGATGCCACCCAAGTCTCATAGCACCAGCCCCTCACTGACCCTCTGCAGGTGGTGAGTCCACAGGAGGACGGCTGCTCTCTGAGTGTGAGCATAGCCTTGATCTTTCAGTGGGGGCTTTGGGCAAAGTGGGGTTAAGTGTCTTGCCCAAGGACACAACGACAGCAGTCATCAGTGGGAGTCGATGGAGAAGGTGCAGAGGTGGGAATTGAACCCACGACCTTCTGGCCTTAAGGCCAATGCTCCACCAACTGAGCTACTGTCGCCCTGGTGTCTGTATCTTATTGGATAATAATGAATTATTGTTTTGCACCAATCAGGAAGCAGTTTTATGTAACCATAGAGTACTTAGGATATGTAGAATTCAACCAAAATGTTGGAATAACAAACACATATTAATTTTTAGGCCCAGTGTACATTATGGTGTTCTTTTAGAATTATTTTACAGTTAAGACGTAACATTATAGATACAAAAACCTATAGAACAGTGTGTAGTACTTTAACAGTGTGTAAATATTACTTGTGATACTTACTGTACCTTCAGGGTCACTGAAGAAGGTTATTTATTGAACAACACAATTCACTAATATGAAAAACCAAGTGTAAATGTAAGCATTTCTGAACAGCTTCTGTCTCTGTGTTTGTAAAGGACAGACTGAGGCACAAACAGTGTTGGGGAGTAAAGGAATACATTTATCGCCATTACGTATTCAGAATACTCTTAAGTGTATTCCACTACAGTTACTACTTTAAAGTCTAGTATTTATACGGTTACTTTTGGAAAATCACGGTAATACAGTATTCACAGTACATTTTTAAAAGTTGTCTAAGTATTCGGAATACAGGTACTACTTTTTCCAAAGTAACGGAATACTCTAGAAAATACCTTTTAGGTCATGTTTTCGCTATATTCTTGAACGGAATACATTTTCAAAGTATTCTACCCAACACTGCAAACAGCTCACATGAACAATAATCATGTTTTCTTTGCAGATAACTATCGGTATCCACACAGGAGAAGTCGTCACTGGAGTGATCGGTCAAAGAATGCCTCGATATTGTCTTTTTGGGAACACAGTCAATCTCACGAGTCGCACAGAAACGACCGGTGAAAAAGGGAAAATTAACGTTTCCGAATACACGTACCGGTGAGTGACCATGCACACTTTTCAGATCATGATTTTCTGTACAAAGTAGTCGTAAATATATCCACATTTTGAAGAACAAACAGCATGATACTCCCCTCTGATCAGTAGACAAAGAGAGAAGAACATGGACAACCTTATCTTGTGTTAAATATTTGCTCACGTCAAAGCCTTTAGATTTAATGACCGCACGGCACAAATCTTCCCGGACTGCGTTTTATGTGTGATTTGTGAATATGTTTTCTTTCAGGTGTTTGCAGTCTCCGGAAAATGCCGACCCGCAGTTTGTCCTGGAGTATCGAGGCCCCGTCTCCATGAAAGGGAAGACTGATCCCATGAAGGTGTGGTTTCTGTCCAGGAAGTCCAGCGAAGCAGAGGCCGGCGCCGTCAAAGCCTGAGCCACATCTGCTCCATCTGTTACACCAATTCTACTCCTTCTTTTAGCAAAATTCTTTCACCTACTGTTGGTTCTGACTCCAAAAATGACTAATATGACTTCATTTGTAATATTCAGCTATAATAGAAATAACAGGAATTTTACATGTAATATTCAGCAGAAAAAGACGGTATGGTAATTTTGTTTTTTCTCACGCATTTCATTAACAGTAAACACTAGGGCTGTAATTAATTTATATTTTGATAATCGTTTGTTGGGGTGACTATTCTTTTGATGAATTGTTTATATATGGTGAATTTTTTTATAAATGTGACCAAAACTAACTTTTAACCGATGCCACTCCATGACATCTTCATAGACACATGTGAAATAATTGGTTGTTTGATTCAAAATACAATTAAATGTCAGTCAGTGATAATTTTAGCTCACATAGTCATTAAAAACTCTTCTTAGAATCTTTTCATCCAGTCATGGTTCAAAAGCAACTCATCCATGACTAATTTATTTGACAACTGTTTTAATAATTGATTGAATTTGTCAATTTGTTACAGCCCTAGTAAAAAGACACACATCGCTGTATTTACAGGTTGTAATGTGACGTACTAGTTATGCTAATGATATTTTGAAATAATGTGTTTTATTTACATTTCTTTTGTATTCAATAATATATTAGTGCTCATGTCACTTCCTGAAAATAGTAATGTTTGTATAAGATTGATATTTTACAAAGCCTTATGTAGCTGTTGTATAGATCCTTGTGTGTAATAGAAGGCACAGTTTTTCATTTAAAGTCACAGTCACATGTTATTTACTACAGCAGTAATTTAATTTTATATACATATACGTGACAATGTTTTTAACTGACTGTCTAATCTGAAGATGTTTCCAATAACCTATTTATTATAGACACATTACATGATATTGATGATATTTATTTTTCACAAATACTAAAGTGATTATTATAGAAGCACATTTACAAACATTTAGTCACAGAATATTGTTGTGCAACCTTTGTTTCCATCATCTATATTTTATGTTTATTCTCCTGTGTTGATTTTGGATTGGAAATTAAATAAATCTTAATTATTTGGAAGCAAAATTCCTTGTGTAAAAACATGGATTTGTAAACAAAACAACATGTATTTATTTTTAAAAACAATACAGTAAGTTTTGTAGACAGCAGGGGGCAGTAGCACGCCAGAGACACTTCCTTTGCTGCAGAAGAAGAGCGGTCTAAATCATGGAAGTATGAATATTCTCCACGGACCTATCCCGAGGATCGTCAGTGGAACAGTCCGAGCGAAGTCGCTTCATGGACGGGGTGAAGGACGAGGTGGACACGTGGGGCCCGGTGGAGCTCCTCCTCAGGTGAGAATCAGACCAGATTAAAAGTTCAGTGCAACTCTCTGTGACAAACACGACCACAACAAACAGGGATCATCTGTGCCGCACTTTAGTGGATGTGAGATGTTGTTTGTTGTGCTCATGTGCGAGGGACTGAGTGTGCTACAATTGTGTTCTCATGAGACTAAAGCCAGATGTCTTATTCTCTTTGTTTAGTCAGAACCAAGGCTCTGCTCAGCTGCACACACGAATACATCCAACAATCAAGGACGAAGTGGCAGGTAAGGCTTCTTTCATAGTTTCAGATTCAGACTACTCTATTTATCCCACCAGGGGCAATTCATTTTTTGCAGCACATAAAAATATAACATAAAAACACAGGAAATTATAGTTGACATAATTGTTTTCTTTTGACAATTAACAACATAAACTATTTGTCTTTTCCTCTACAGAGACTGACTCGGGCTCAAACTGTGAATATCCCGAAGAAGGCCACACTGAGGAGCATCTATGCATCCATCGTGTGGAGCAGCCTCCAGGGGCGACAGTGACCAGTGTCTGTGCCTCTTGTGTACAAGGTGAACCTCTGGAGGAGGAGCATAAAGACAAAAGGAACAATGGGGAAATGGAAATTGATATCATTCACAGTAGCTCTTTTGATGCAGAAGACTCTGGGAACTGGGACAGAGAACCAGGAACTAAACTCTGGACTGGACGAGTATCTGACTGCAGCTTAGAAACAAATGACAATAAAGCAGCTAAGGGGCCAGAAGACTGGAGACAGATAAGTAAAGAAAATGACTATTATCCAGCACAAACTACTGGACATTCAAAGAGTGATCAGAATGTGCACAAGTGTTCAGAGTGCGGAAAGACATTTACTGATAAGTTGTACTTAAAGAGGCACCTGATAAGACACACAGGTAGAAGGCCCTTCACCTGCTCGGTCTGTAAGAAAGGTTTCACACAAAACGCCCACCTGAGGAAACACACACGCTGCCACACCGGAGAAAAGCCTTTCACTTGTCCCCGGTGTGGAGCCACTTTTGGTCTGAAGCAGAACCTCCATCGACACATGGCCAGTCACAGTGGAGCCAAGTCTTTCATCTGCTCCGTTTGTAAGAAAGGATTTACACAGAAATGTCATCTTAGGAGACACATGGGCCTTCACCTCGGAGACAAACTATGTACTTGTCCAGAGAAAACATGTGAACACGTGGAGTCTGGAAACGGTCAGTTTATAGCACTGACTGCAAAAAAATCTTTGGTGTGTCCCTTCTGTAGTAAAGGTTTTACGCGCAAGGATCATCTTTCATCACATCTGAGCACTCACACTGGAGACAAACAGTTTGATTGCCTTGAATGTGAAGCTAAGTTTAATCTCAAGCAAAGTTTAGAGCGGCACATGGCGGTGCATAGTGGAGAAAAGCCTTTCAAATGTCCAGAGTGTGAAAAGCGCTTCACCAGGAACAGCAGTCTCAAGCTGCACATGAGAACTCACACCGGAGAGAAACCCTTCAGCTGCTCAGAATGTGATGCAAAGTTTAATCGAAAGGAGAATTTCCTCCGCCACCTGGGCGTCCACACTGGGGAAAGGCCATACAGCTGTCCAGTTTGTAAGAAGGACTTTGTACGTAAACCAAGTCTAGATAAACACATGAAATCTCACTTTCATTAACCGTAAACAGGTTTTTAAATATCCAGGTTTAAGCAATTAGCCTTTGTTTAGTTTGTAATACATTTAGCATACCATAGGCAACACCATACTAGGAATAACTGCACTATTTGATGTCTTTTTCTCCTGATATAGATGCCTAATAAATTCCTTAAATATTTAAAAAAGAAAAAGTGTGTGAGACTTATTAAACATCAACCCTCTTCTCATGAATATAAAGAGTTTTTAGATTACATGATTATAATACGTCGTCTTTGAGAAAGAGTCATGTGCTGTTGAAGAGCGCTCTCTACTGGTGGTAAGCGGTTTTACATCGTATTTTACCGCAAGCGCACAGACCATGGCCTTCATCCTCTTCATGCGTGACGTTGATAAAACAAATCTGTAAATGTAGTCAAATGAGCCCAAACAAATATGTTTCTTCTGCTGTTCCTGTCACAATAACTATCGTTCAATAGCTGATGGATGGAACAATGTATTCTGGGCCTCAGTATTTATTAATTGGACTTTTTCTAGTATTGGAATGATTACTAAAACTTCAGTGAGTTTGAAATTTTATTTGTACATGGTCAAATAAGACTAAATAATACTTAGATCTGCTTTTTATCTTTTTAAAATTTTAATTTTAATGAAATTCAATGATTGAGACATTCCTCCTGTTGTACTTGCATCAGTGGCATAAAGTCGTTTCATTTCTCTCATTTTCTGAAGCAATATATCGTCCATCAAAATTTAAAGTACAGATTAAAATACAGAATTTGTATTTTGATTTAAAATATGTGACTTAAACGTGTCCATGCTCACATTACTTCTTTCAGATCTGTGTTGTCAGTGATAATACCATGCACCTGAAGGCGTTCTAGCTGCATATTGTGTCCTTTAGAGCTCAAACTTTACTGAATGCTGTGGTCTCTTCTGCAGATCTATGGTAGAACTGAGAAAGACAGAATTACAAAGTATTAAGATGGAGCACCTCTCTTGTCTGTTAATTCATCTGAAAGCCAAAGGTCTCCAGAGATAAGAGAGATCCTGGGGGAGTGAAGGTCAATGATGAGCACTTAAATTACACACAACTGTGTGTGTGCGTGTGTGAGAAAGAGAGAGTGTCCGTGTGTGTGCGCGTGCATCTGTTGTATTATCAGGTGTGACCTGTTGAATGGAAGGTTACACAAAGGACAAAAAGAACACTTTGTTTATGAACTGTTGATAAGACTTATCAACTCTCTTGATAAGAATCACAACTCGGACTCTTGCCTTTATTCCTTTGGGACTGTAGCACTAATTAATTTTTTTTATCACTTCTTTTATTTTATCAATACACCAGTTAATGATGTACATTTCAAGTGCATTACTGATACTTTCTGCTCTCTTTGCATGATTGGCCTGAAGTGAGAGTGCTATGGTGGCTGAGTGGATTGCCCTTCCACTTCTCAGCAAGATGATCCCGAGTTCAAATCCTGGTAGGAACAGGGCCTTTCTGAGTGGAGTTTGCATGTTCTCTCCGTGTCTGCGTAAGTTTCATCCAAGTGCTCCGGTTTCCCCTACCACTAAAAACGTGCTCTGGTGGGCTTGACCAAGCTAAGTATCAACATCTGGGGATGGGTCCCTGGTCCCTGCTGTACTGTGGTGTCCACTGTTCCTGACAGAGGCCCTATAGTGGCTCTGCAGGAAGGGTCAAATGCAGAGGACAAAGTTCCCGACGTGGATAAATAAAGTGCATCTGATTCAGTTGGTAGAGCATAGGTCTTTGAGCCTGAAGGTTGCGGGTTCGATCCCACCACGAGACCTTCTCCACCAACTCACTCTGCATTTGTTGTGTCCTTGAATGAGACACTTAACCCCACTTTGCATAAAGCCCCAGCTGAAAGATCATCCTCCTGTGGACTCACCACCAGAAATGGATTAAGGGGTAGAAGATGGATCTTGCTCACTAGTGAATCCAAACTCAGAACAATATGGTTCCATCATGGGTTTTTACATGCATGTATTTTTAGCCTCTGCTTTTTCAGACAGAAAAGGGAGGACCACCTTCATTTGACCAATCAGCTCCCAGCCCAAAGCATCAAACAGTGACTTACAGGGCTTGTTTTTACAAGTTGGAAAAGATATAATGACAAAAAATATTTTTTTAATGTAATTATAATTATGTTACCACAGCTTTAATTAAAACATGCATTCACTATCAGATGCAGAAGAGATACCCATTTTCCCAATAAGCACACAGAGAACCGGTTGTGCACCAATTCTATTTGCTGTTCAAGATTCAGCTGTTCAGCTGCTATTTGATTTCAAGCGTGCAAAGAGTATTCTTGTGAATATTGTTGTATCACCTGGCCTCAGGGCGTGTGTGAGCTTTAAACAGCCACATCATCATTGAGATAAATGAGGTGATAAGCGTCAGGTTTTAAAAAGGCTTGTATACATGGGTTAGGTGCACTCCCTGTAAAGTCCACCGACTCTGCTCGCCTTCACCCACCCTGCCACCATGACCTTCAACGGCAACTGGAAAGTAGACCGCAGCGAGAACTATGAGAAGTTTATGGAACAAATGGGTTAGTGGGGGAAACTATTTATTTATTATTCCACAAACTAGTCGTGGAGGCACCTTCATGTTGACATTTGACGCAGTTGCTTGTACTAACAGTATGTGTGTGTGTGTGTGCATGCAGGTGTCAACATGGTGAAAAGAAAGCTGGCGGCTCACGACAACCTCAAAGTCACCTTGGAACAAACTGGGGACAAGCTTCACGTGAAGGAGAGCAGTAACTTCAGGACAATTGAGTTAGACCTTACCCTGGGAGTGACCTTTGAGTACAGCCTTGCAGATGGAACAGAGCTATCCGTAAGAAATCATTCATTATCTGGTTTTCTCTGGCTCACTTTAACTGGACTCATTCTGGTTCATTCTGGTGCATTTCTGTGAACGTGCAACCACCCATCAAGTGAATACATTGTCCACTATTCAACTCTTTTATTGCATTTTATTTTTTCAAATTCGAAAATTACCGGCTGCAAACATCCCTGTAATTTCACATGAGAAATTGCCAAAACCGATATGTTCAAAAATGTGTTGTAAATGGTTGAAAACTGCTCTTAGTGTGATGTCATAGTTGTACAATGACATCACACTATTGTACGTTTGAGGCTGGAGCTTTTAGACCGATAAAGTTACATGCTTGTGCCTGACGTTCCTGATATTAGCGTGGTTGGATCTTACTCCAGGTCTGTTTCTGATGTGACGATGTAAGGTATGGTAAGGTAACATGGTTAAAATCTCCAAAAAAGTAAAATTTGAAAAGTATGTGTCTCTTTCAGACTCGGTCCAGTTAAAGTGAACGCAGTTTATGACTGTTTTATGTCATTGTAAACATGTACTTCTCCAAACGCTGTAATGTTATATGATTTACAGGGCTCGTGGGTCATGGAGGGAGACACAATGAAGGGAGTTTTCTTCAGAAAGGACAACGGCAAACAGCTCACCACCACCAGAGTGTTAGTCGGAGACGAACTAGTACAGGTGCGGTAAACTCATCCTTCTTTGAATTCCTTTGAATGTATTTACTTTGAACATGTACTATTCTATCACTCTTTAACAGACCTACCTCTACGAGGGTGTGGAAGCCAAAAGGATTTTCAAAAAAGCCTAGACGAAAGAGCCAAACAGGTCCTTATTCCCAGAAAGAAGCACTGATCCACACTAAGTATTATTCACCTGGTTTTGATACTCAACATAATAAATTCATACATGTGACGCAAGTGCTGTTGTGTTTTCCTTTGGAGCTAGTAAAGACAGAACCCACCTCATATTGATAGTTATTGAATCTTTATTTAACAATGAATAAAAATAAATATTTTTTATCTACAAAAATATAAGGTGTTGACAATTTGCATTGGAATTTGTCATTCAGTCAATCACTGAAGCATAGTATTGAGAACCAAATGCACACACAGATGTGAATGTGGGCTTGTGTGGATTATAGTTTTATTTTCCTGTGTACTGCCAATTGTTTTCTGTGCCTGTTGGATGTGAAATGACAATACTGATGTTAACAAAATGCATCGCCAGCTCTCACTTTGAGGGATCATTTCAGGCCATTAATTCATAAAGCTTTACCAGATGTTGGAAGCAGTAACTGTAGTCTAATTGTGTAAAATGCAAACCTTTGAAACTTTTTTCTGTATTTACCTCTTTACAATTACTGAATCATACTTGAGATAGAAGAGGCAATAGGATTTGACTTGGGTCCCTCTTTCTTTGACCAAGACACTATATTAAAGATGGCGCCACTAGATGTCACTGTTAGTGTTGCATATTTATATTTGCATACTTCATTTCCAAAGTCTCTGTTCTCATTCAGAAATGGTTACAATGACAAGGCACTTTTGACACACCAATAACAAACTCGTGTTTCAAGTGAGAAGACAAAAATACGGTATATGTATACAGATGAACCACACACACAGTGTTGGGGATGAAACAGACACCCAGAGGAGGCAAATGTACTGTCGGGTACTTCAGTAGTAGTATAGATACCAGTATACACATCTACGCTGACAAAAGTATAGAAATCACACTCTTGCTTAGTGTTGAAATGCATTTTTGTTGAACGCACTTTAAGCACTGCCTTTGAAAAACGTAAACATTATACTGTTGACGTGTTTCATACTGACAGAGAAAATCACAATAAACAAAACATGTGGAACTGAAGCCAAACGGTCTAGACTTAGAAGCATGGTTAACCACTTCAAATCTACTTTTTTTTGTGTGTCGCCATCTACAAAATAAAAGTTAGAATCTAAAAGTTGTCCAAATAAATTAGTAGAAATAAGTTACCACAACAAACGGGTCCTGCTCCACCTCTGCGGCTGTGGCCTAAAGGGCTATTGCTGATTATTTCAATTGTGTTTTTAGAATGATCAATTTCATTTTTATTTTTGCTGCTACTGGACACCTGAATTTCTCCTACGGGGGATCAATAAAGTATCTATCTATCTAAATATCTAAAATGTGTACAAAATAGTTTCTTGCCACTTCTGGGTCCGACTATACATACTCAGGTTACTCATGTGAGGTGCTTTTCAGAATACAGTTACTCGACAAGGATCTAAGGAAGATCTGAGTGAAAATCGAAAGTGCATTTAGTCTTCAAATGGCACAATATTATAAAAAGAATAATGCAAACCTCACAGTCAGTGGTGCATGAGTGTGTCTGAGGAACAATTACAAACGGTGCAGAAACAATCATGTAAAATGTCTCATGGATGTAAATATGTTCATTATGCAAATCCACATATTAGTAGTAGTCTGAATGCAGTACTCGGATGGGACCAGGTTACAAAATACATTAGAAGTATAAGTAATTCTGTACTTAAATGCATTTGAAAGTTCTCTCCCCAACACTGCACACAAGTTGAGGCATTGTAAGCGTCACATGTGATTTTTATGATTGAAACAACATCTTTAAAATCTATCAAAATAAGGAAAACACTGTACAAACACTTGCACAATCTACATTAAAGGCATCTGTATTTTGAGTTTAGTACATGTGACGGAATACTGTGTGTCGGACAAACAAATGAAACCCATGGAGCAAAGAAAAACGTTGCAGGTTGTGGCAAAAGACAACAACAAAACAAAATCTGATGTTTGGATGTTTCTGGTCTCGTCATTGTATCAGTGTCCCTTATTTTTACAAACAATGCAGAAGAACAATCGGAATTACAAATACAAGTTATTTCAATAATTTACTTGGTTAAAGTCCAATATAATGTTTCTTTGTTCAATAATCCATTACGCTCATGCTCATGCTTCGTAAAGGCCACATGCAGAATTGCGAACAGAAAGAGGCATTTCCTCACGATGGCATAAATAAGTGGTGTACCTGGAGATATATCTGCCCACTGAGTGCATAAAGAATGAATGATAAACTTAGTAATATTATCTAATTACTAGTTTAATGCTCGATCAAGATAAGAGTGAAACACCTTTGCCATAAGATAAAGTCGGCCAATGGCAGGTTTGGCAACAGGCCATAGTCACTTATTAACCAAATGTAGTAAAAACGACCTCAGAACCTTGATTTTTATAAAGTGAGTGAGCTGCCAAAATCATTCTTTGCCTTTGAGAAAATGTGTATAGTATTTCACATTTCTTTTGCGTTTATAGTTACTGCACACAGACCGCCATCTCTACATTCAGATACATTCTCATTTCAGCAGCACAATTCAAAATATTGCACAAAGTGTGTTTGAGACGAGGAGTAAAATCCTTTTTGTGCAAACGAACATTTTGGTGCAAACTAAAGCCCGCAGCAGGACAATGGAAGACAGTTTAGGCTCTACATGTTAAACACGGCTTCAACAGACTTCTTGCATAAATACTGTATGTTCCTTCTATGGGGTTAGTAACATGTTCTGTCTGAACTCTTTGGCATCACCACCACTGTAAACACACTCAAACACCGCTCATAAGAAACCTTGTTCATCCAGTCCTTTGGGTGACACTGGGTTCCATTTTGCTGTGGGTTTATTGCTATTATGGCCTGTTAAGAAAAAAGAAAATAAAAAAGAAATCATAATTTTGAAAAATATATGTGTAACTTAAAATAATAGGTGCAAAATGCTCAAAAACATTTCTGTGTTTGTCATTATAGTATTTTTGGCTTTATAATTATGACATGTTTATAACTATGTTAGTCTGTTATAACTTGGCCCAGGTATTTAGTTGCACATTTGTGTCATGAAGGATACATGATATGACGCTCGGGAAGGCCTAGCTTTATAAAGTGAGTAAATGACATGCAATGTATGATTGCAGACAAACATAATTGTGCAAGTCCAGAATGTTGGTAAGCAACCACTCATATTGGAGTTAATTAAAAATAATAATACTAGTAATAATACAAATCTTTGTGTAGTAATTATCTGAATAGTTGTTCACATGAATGTTCTCTGTCAGCTTATGGAGTGAGAGCTGTGTCAGGACACTTACTTGTATCGGGCCTGGCTTTTGGCACGTCTTGTGAGTGTGTGTCAGTGTTATCTCTGCGCTCACTGGGGACAGCAGTCCGCGGCACTGTGGCGGAGAGGACCAGCGGCCTCTGGTTGTGGTATTTCAGACGGTATGTCTCTGTCATACAGTTATCTACGTTGAAGTATGTGGTCAAAGACACCTCCTGAGCAGCACTGGGCTCTGCACGGGGAACACTCAGCCTCTCCTCGCTGTCACAGGAAGACGGGGTGCTCCTCTCCATATCCGAGCCCGACTTGGAGCTAGTGTCTGAGAAGGTGCGGTGTCCTGAGATGTCACTTTTCATGTGAGGACTGGTGTAAGATGCAGTGGAGAGGTGGGGGGACGAGAGGTGGGCTTCTTGAAGCATCCGTGGACGAAACACAGCATGACTGGTCTCCCCTGGGTGAGGGGCGGCCCGCGGGGCCGGCCGGACATGGGGGCACCCTGCAGTGTTCTGTTGGCTCTCTGAACTCCCGCTGCTTGGCGGAAAGGCCAAGGTTAAGTGGGGACACTGGCAATCAGAAGTGACAGGCTCACTGTTGGAGCGGTAAGCACTGTCTCTGTCCTCCGGCTCGGACAGGACCAGGTCATCAGAGCTGTTCCACTCAGAGCTGCTGGTTTTGGCCATGTGCCTGAGGACTGTGCTGTGCTCCTGCGCCTCACACGGCCTGCTCTCCCAGCTGCTGCTGCACTCTTTTTCAGAGCAAGACACTTTTCTGGAACAATTGGGCGGGTGCTTAGACTTTCGTCTGTAAAAACATATAATATTTTAATATCAAAATTATGTTGTATTTTTACTTAAAACATATCACATAGAATAGTTATTTACCTTAAACTTGGACTGCCTTTTAGATGTGGATGAGATCCCTGGTCATTGTTCTTTCCCTGAGGTTTGGCTTAATTTATAAAAAGAAAACATGCTTAAAATACCTCTGAACAAAGACAAACAGTAAAACATGTTTGCAAACACAGCCTTTAGCAAGGATTTAGTATAAGAGAACGTCTTATCCTTGTATGTTACACAATGTGTAATATACAAGGATAAGACGTTCTTAAGATTTACTGAGCCGTTCAGTTGTTATGTTAGAACAAATCAAATAGGCCTGCTGTTTGCTGTGATCAGTCCTAATCTGACTCACTGTATGTAGATTATGTAGAGCAGACATGACAGCGAGTCTGGGTGAGGCTGGGCTGCATTAACAGGTATATTCGCCATGAGAAATATATGTACATTGGAACAAATGGATCTATGAAGAAGAAAAAGAAACCACTAAAATTGCACATGGTTTTTTACTTAGCACCCGCAGTTTAGCACTAGTTACCTATTTGTGTTTAGGGGTAAATGTTTATGGTCATATACATGGCGTAGTTGTTTTCTTGATAAATTTTGCTTTCAAGTTTTGTATAATATGCCATACTAGCCCAGACGCTAAGTCGGCCACAACTAAACTTTACCATCCACTACAGGGCCACAAGATACCTTTTTGCAGCACTGCCGCAGGTTTGAATTGAAGATGTAGAAGAAGAATGTATTTGCATGGCACATTGCCATATTATTAAAGATGCATGGGCACATTCCATAAAATAAACTGGAGCTCTCTGGGCTTAACCCACTCACGACTGTGAGGAATTAAACTAAATGTAACATTTTCAATATTAAACGGAGCCCTGTTGTTGACCCCAACATCACATCAGTGGTTTTGGTTTCACCATCAAAGGTATTAACTAATATTTCCGTCTCCTGTTCTCACATCCAGCTCTGCAAATCCTCATCATACCCACCTGGCATCAAATCACATCATATCATATACAATTGAAGGATTACATAAATGTTCATCGGCCTTGGCGGGATTGTGTAATTTGAGTCAATCCTGGGCATAACCTGCCCAGTACTGTTATAAACCCAGCAGGTGGCATCAGGGAGCTGCCTCCACAGCTGCAGTGAGCAGTCTAAACTCTGCACAGCAGGTGGCAGCAGAGAGCTGAATTCCTGCCATTTAAAAATAGGTGCGTTATATTTTCTTAGCTGTTGCACTGGAGAGGTCTCCACACAGTTAAATGTGGAAGCGTGTGGCTGCAGACAAGCATTTGTGAACCGTACATATAAATGACAATAGCGATGGTCCAGCTGTGCCATCGGAACAAGCTTTGAAGGATTATCATCAGATTACTGCCTGTGCCAGGCTGACTGGGTGAGGAGGTTAAAGGGACCAGTCCAGGCTTAGAGATCACACAGAAATTAATCAACCTTTAATAAAACGTACTGTCATCAGCAGCTCACCTCCTTTTTGCACATTTAATCTAATAAAGAAATGTACCCTCAATTATCTAAACAAATTTCTCTTACTTCACACAAAAAACAATGTCCTGGCAATGTACTAAACAAGGAACTACTTACTATTGTACGATGGTGAAGAAGGACTTGGCTTTGACTCTACCCCCTTTTGGTGCACATGGCTGCAAAAGACAAAGAGTGTGAGTTAGTTGGGTGTTTGGACGCTTCCGGGGAAAACCATTGGAAATGAACAAACATGTATTAATATTTAGAGTGATTGAAAGTACAACGACAATCATTTTATCCTTTTTACCTTTTGAACTGTGCATCTGCCGCTCGTGGGTCTTTTAACACGAAGCCGTCCACACCTGGGGAGTCTGGGTTTGTGGAGCCGCTGCTGAGCCGGTCACTGCTCTCGTAGCCAGACTCAGTCCTCTGGATGGTCCAGGTCTCACTGCGCAGCAGCGTCTTGGGCGCCCCCTTCAGGCGGCTGCCTCTGAGTTGGGCCCGGCTCTCCGAGTCCACAGAGCTGTGGCTCTCGGTCTCGTGGCGCTGCTCATCTTCATAGATGGTCATTAAGCTCTTCTGTTTCCGCTCATCTCTGTGAGGAGTGTCCCGCTCTCGCTCTCGGGGGTCAAGGTGGCCCCTGTCCTGGGTCAAAGGCTTGTTGGGGCTGTCGTGCTGTTGTTGACGTCGTTCTAGCTCGTTCAGGACAGTGTCCACATTCAGAACCTCTCGAATGGGTCTCCAAGTAGATTTCATTTTGCTCCGGTTTGCAACACCCTTATCCCAGTGTTCATGACCGCTGTCCTGGTCTTGAGGGCGACTTGGGGAGGGGTTGGTTTTGCGCAAATGCCCTGACCCTTGTGTGCCGCGCAAGTCCTGCCCGGCTCTGCTGGAGCGGTTGGACTTGTCAGAGCGAGGATACGTCTTCAGCTTGTGATCAGGAGCGAGTCTGGGTCCATTTTCTGGTGGAGAAGAAGATCGATCATAAGCCATTTCTGAAGAGGAAATATAACAAACCAACTTATAACTAACTTTACCCTTCACATTTTTGTACAAGCGCAGTCGATGTTTACCTTTGTGTTGTGTGGAGTCGCTTTTACGATGTCCTCTGTCCTTGCGGCTCGTGTCGCTTGGTCTCTCCATGTAAGATTTGTTTGGACTGCCCAGAGGGTGCTTCACTGGGGATAACAAATTGAGGTTTTAGTAACTGTGCTGCCATTACTGTTACACACCACCATTTTTATTTTATTTTACAAAATCTAAATACTAGTTGTAAAAATATCACCATCTTAATAAATAGAAATGCGCTACTGCCCTGATAAAAGCATGTGAGACACAGCTGAGGACAGTGCGAACATCTGTCTCACATCAGCATTTTGTACATAGCATTACCATTAACAGCTTCAACTTAAGCACAGAAACTGTTCTTTTCACTAAGACAGCTCAAAGACAATTATACACCTACAAATGATCTAATACAAGACAACACACTTTTTCAACAACTGAAATTAAAGAATGAAGAAGACTGTACACAAGCAACACATTTTGAAACGCCATATCTAAATATTGTTATAGATTTCATGTGAAGAACAAGAGCGTTTCTCTGAGGGTTTTTCTTTGCCGAAGCAAGAAAACTACCATAACAGTTATGTAAAACAAACACAATCCTATTTATGCCCTTAAACAAGATATAACATACAAATCAATTAGATATATACTCACTCTTACTTTCCAGTCCCATGTTAATCAGGATACCACATTAAAACTAAGGTCAACCACAAAACAAATGGCCTGGCATCTCGCAAAACCCAGACAGAATAGTGAATCCATGTGAATGTGCAGTGGAAAAGTGAAGGGAGGGACACAGGAGCAGGGATTAGGGAGAAGGCGTGGGTGGTAATCTGCATGCAACAGAGGCATCATCCTCATGTCAAGTTCAAGCCAGCACACAGGACAATCTTTCAGCTGGCACAAGCGCAGCCCAATCCCAAAGCACCACTGGCATTCACATCCCAGCGTTCTGCACTTTCATTGACATACTGATACAACTATTTGGCAAGGTGAGATATTGACCAAAGTCATTATCTATTACCAGTACCTTTTGAGACGTCCCCATTGACTTGACTTTTGTAGCGTGGGCACATAGTGGTCTGTCTTGGGGCATCTTCGTTTGTCACAGGGGTTCCCTCTGGATTGGTGTAAAACAATAGCAGTGGCTGAAAATGCCCTCTGATGCATTTGGTTGCAACGTCTTTCCACTTGGATCCGATCTAGAGAATATGAAGGTAAATACGAAGGTAGCTCAGAGCTGCACAGAATCATGTGATGGAAACAGAAATTATTTAATATAAAATATCCCAACCTCCTTTACAGTAGCATCGTCAAAAAACATCCATTTGGAAGATTTGGTGTGATACGCAAAGGCGGAGTAATGTTTACTTGAAAAACAGATCATCCCCACCAGATGTAGCTCACTGCGTTTGGCATTTTCATCCGTCACACGGTTGAACAGCTGAAAGAGTAAAGCAAGGTTGATCTGCAGACACAGCTCATAATCGGACATTTCAGAAACATGTTTTTCCCTCAGATTGACTGATTATTGATCAGACTACAAATAACAAATATAGCCACAAACAGCGATGAACGGCCCTCGCTTCACCAAACCGTGCATACGACAATATGTGAATGTGACAAGAGGCTGAGTGAGGAGAGGGTTAAAGCTAATTGGAGCCAGTTTAGCAATAGACATGACTTTTTCCTCATGATTTTACAGTAAAGTGAGATTCTGTAGTAGAGGGGGAGCTTTCTCTGACTCCCCCTCAAGCTGTGTTTGAGTTTGTCACAAAGTTGTTTTCACACAACAGATTTTTATATTTGTTGTATGTTTTTAATTAAATGAATGAGATGAATTGGAAAAAAAACTAAAATGTAGGTTCAAAAACCACCCCTGTAAACCAAATCAAATGAAATGCCATGTTTATATGTGGAATGTTCTTACCCCGGTCAGGTTCAGGCGTGGTCCTATAGCCCTGATGACATCATCCGTTAGGTCGGACTGCTCTGCGTCCCACACAAACCCAATAGTGACGATCTCAGGACAGTTCATGAGGACTCTGCGGATCTTAATGCTCTGCCCACAGTCGCTCTGACAAACATAGGACACGCTATTACACACAGCAAGAAGGTTTGGTACAATCCCACGACTGGACCAGGCTCTTCTATGTGGAGTTTGTATGAGAAACATGCAAACACGGAGCAGTAAGCGCTGAGTGACATTGTTATAATCATGACTTCAGTGTTGCATGTGAGAGGCATCTCCAAGGCATTGGGGTGTATCTTTTATTATTATTATGTATGGAATAACTCGAAAATAAGTGCAGAACAAGACACTGTCAATGTTTGAACAAGCCACAAGCATATTGCTTTTATCTATTTCTGGCACTTCATAAAAGAAAGCTGGGCTGAAAGTCTCCAAACAATCGCTCTGAAGAGAAAGTCACTTTATTATCTTCAGACTGAAACTAGGCATGTTTGTCAAAGTGTAATTTTAGAACAGAGACTGATGTTGATATTATTTTGGCCAATTTTTGTTTTCTCCAAGACTACAAGTAAAATATCCCCGTTAATCTTGCCAGAGCAAACAAGCAAGAACATCATTGACAGACTTGAAAAGTATCAAAGCCGATTTATAAAATATATATTTAATAACCCAGCGCGACGACGGCCCTGTCTGCTCCAGTTTACAGTACACCATGAACACGGAGCAAGATTACATTACATGCACTTTGTCCATCTCTTTTCGTTTACACACTAACAATGTCTTGACAACAGTTGATGAGAGATTAGAGTTGTGAGTACCGGGCAGCTCCGGAGGTCACCAGTGTTGTTTGCCGCCTGCAGCACTTCTCCAAACATGTCGGACCTCAGACGCTCAGTTTTTCCCAGCAAACGCTCAACTTGTTGGCTGCACACAAAGAACCGTGCATTGTTTATATCGTTAAAGCGGTACCTGCATTTGTATTCATAAAACAGACGCAATAACAGCATATTTGAAAATCTGTCAAATTCAATCAATTTGCCCGGGACTAGTGCCCTTATCTAATACTTTTAAATATTTAAACCAGGATTAGCACGATGACCTGATTTTAATATCCTGATTTTCGAGCCACGGCCCCAAATCCAAAACTCACCATAAAGCAGTAGTGGAGACATAATGAACAAACTCTGTAAACGGATGAGGGTCAGAAGAGGCCCCACAACATCGACACACAAACTGAGAAAAACAACAACAACAAATAAAGTTATCAAGTGAAAACCTACAAACACACCTTACAATGTCATTACCTGTTCATAGAGCATCATAGCAAACTTCTGATGTGTGATGCAGGATTTGGAGGTGCAAGAATCGGTCGCTGAATCGGAGTCGATGTGTAAATGGATTTTCTCCAAGATGTTCTCCTAATGTCAGAACACAAAACATCATGTTATCATCGCCAAGAACGTCATTTGTGTGACGCAGGAGGAGGGATTTTTGAGACCAATGTTTCCCAACTGGGGGTACATGGACTCCTCAGAGTATGCAGGGATGTTAAGGGGGTACTTGAAATCATTTAAGACTTACTTACATTGATAGTAAGAGGTTAATATGCGGTACATCAAGCTAATATAATTAATTATATTCTAATAATAATAATATGTTTTCTCTCTGTAATTACAAGCTTTTTATACATTTGGGCCAGTTTCGGTTCAGTCCTAGCCTGGCCGTAGCCTTCCGCAAACTCCGGTCAATTATTATTTCCCTACATGTACGTCTGGGTCTGATCCTAGTGGCTGCGGTTACCTCGGTTGTATCACATTCGACCAATCAGCGAGCGAGGGAGGCGGGTGTTGTAGGTAGGTGTTGGTGACGTTTAGAGTTTGCGCCGAATTTTCTGGTTGAATTTTGGCTAAGGCGAAGAATGCGATAGTAAAGTAATCCGGTCTGGTTTGACTCCAAATATCAATAAATTGAAGCCAGAGCAAGAGGAATGTTAAGCAAATGTAATTGCTGGCAAAGATGTTGTGGCTCTACTCCCAACGGGCTCCGTTAGTGGCAAAGGAGATGGCTAAAGCTAGGCTAAATGCTAGCCTATCGTTTCAATCATTTCAATCTGCAGAAGGAGTTAACCCCTCCCACCCGTTAACGGAGCTCAATGGAGCAAATTAACAGCTTAGTACGAAATGTACTTTATACGATGGTGTGGTAAGACCAGGCTAGTTCAGCACGTAATCAGTTTGTTCAGAAAAATCTAAAACTCGAGTTAAATAGAAGTAATCACTATTATGGTCAAAATAAAAAGGATAAACAAACGAAACTCAAATCAATAAATGCGTTAGAAGGTATAAACAAAATCTCAACACACAAAAAACAAATGGACTCCTTGGTATTACTGTAAAGCCTAAAACAGTTGTGACCCTAGACCAGAATGACCCCTGGGTAGGTGAAACATTATATCCCCTGAACAACAGGGGGTTCTCCCGCCCTGTATCTGCTGGTGAGGGAGACCAAAAACCCACTGGACTGGGAACCACTGATCTAGTCCACAATAGCACTGGACTCCTAAGTGAAATACAAAACCAGTGTTCACGTACAAAGCACTCGGCGGCGTCGTCCATTAGGCCCAGTTGAAAGCGCTGCTCATCTTTAAAGGTTTCAGCTAAGGCGTTACGCAGGCTGTCCGAGGGCAGGACCCGCTCCCTGCTCTGCTGGAACTGGCTGAAGATGCTCTAGGATAATCACATCAAATATATGTTTTTCAAATGTCTGCATACATTCAACAAAAAAACAAACAGAAATGCACAGTTTAGGCTCGTGAGCAAAACACCGCCTGCGAGACCTTAGTGGCCCTTGAAACTATTATTATTATTATTACAGTAACTTGCAGCATTGATAGTGATAATGATACTGATACTGGAATAGTATGGAATGTTATACTTTTTTATACATTAGCTACATTATGAAGCTTATTGTGTCAGGAAAACAACCAAATAATTGAATATCCATCCATCCATTTTCTTCCCCTTAATCCATTTCTGAGTCAGAGATGCCACCCAAGTCACTTAGCACCAGCCCCTCACTGATCCTCCTGTACTTTCAGTGAGGGCTTCAGGCAAAGAGGGAGTAAGTGTCTTGCCCAAGGACACAACGACAGTAGACATCAGTGGGAGTCTGTGGAGAAGGTATCGTGGTGGGCTCAAACCCACGACCTCCAGGCTCAAAGGCCAGTACTCAAATAACTGAGCCATTGTTGCCCACCATGATTGAATATGTTCTAAAATATTAACACATGTGTTGTTTGAAGCTAGGTTAAGGCCAAAGATTTATGTTTTTATATTTAACTATGAATCTTAAATTATATAGCTCTTCTTGATATTTTGGTCTAGTTGTGATTGAATCCAAACTTACAAGGAAACAATATCCAAACTCATGTCAAAGAAAATTAATTAATCAAAGTACAAATACATGTTAAAATAGTAATAATAATAGAATCACTTTTATGCTTTTGGCCCCAACCGGTTCTTATGTTTTTAATCGGGGCCCCGACCGATATGAGTTTGACCTCCCTGCGTTAAAGGAAGGAGAGAGATGCCCTTCTCACACATCACACACAAATTCTCAAAAAAGACACTCTCTGGCCCTACATCTCTCTCCCAGCACTCACTCTAGCTGAGGACATCACTCTCTCCCCTCCAAGTAATAATACTATAATTAGCAGACTTTTTTGCGCAAATCATAATTGTTTATCATCAAAGTCAATGTGTAAAAGAACCAACCTTTAATGCACAAAAAATACAGGCATCGCCAAGACAAAAGTGGCCTGAGAGCTGCCTCAGACTCCTCCTGAAGATGTCCAGCTGCCACAAAACCTGTATACACACCAAACGAAGGCAGGATGTCACAAAAAGTGCTATTATACTAATGTAAACACTTACATAACAGCCTCCCTCAGTAATACATTGAGTAAGTAAGTATCCATCATTTTAAAATGTGAATGATGTTTACTCTTGTTCCAGATGTTGTACCTGAACGGCACTGTTGAGGAAGCAGCTGTTCTGTCCGGGCTCATTGATCAGGCCTTTGGTGAGAGCCAGAGACAGCATGCTACCAGGCTGGTAGGATTTCTTCAAGCCTCCGCCGGATTTTTTGAACATCTTGGCCCATGTCTTGTTGTTAGAACCTGTCATGACAGAATTGGTCTATTATGGTCAGTTATGAATATTTTTCAAACTAAACTGTGATGCTTTGATCAACAGCGTGCATAGTTATTCAGCAGCATGGATACCTTCTCCAGAGTTGGAGGAAGACTTGTTGCAGCTGGACATAGTGGGAGATGGCAGCTGGTGTGGAGCTCAGACCATGGGAAGTGTCCATCTCAGCCCCACGCACCCACACAGCAGCTCACACAGCGCATCCTTCAGCCACTGGGCATCCTCAGCCAAGAGCCACTGGGCATGGAAGTGAACGTGGATTCAATCTAAGTGAATAAATACATTCAAACGATAATGTAAAAATAATAATGATCATCATAAATAATAATAAAAAATAAAGTTATAGTAGTAATTATTCAAGTTCAAGCGCGCAACAGATGAAATGTATTTCAAATAAACGTAGGCTACTAAAGAAAAACACACAGAATGATCTGGTATTGAAGAGAAAACCAAGTTGAATGGTAAATAACCTAAAAGAACACGAGATTAAACTGTTTTCCGTGGAGAACACGTTGTGCCATATTTACATTGCATGGCTCCGCAACGTTTCCACATGTGTGCACCATCCTGGCTCGCGCGCACACGCGCCATGTGATGCCATTATAGGCTTAGGCTACTGTATGATATAAGCATTGTTTTCCTTTCTGCTGGGTTTTATAAAGAGGACATAAATCCTTTGTTAATAGCGATTAGTGCGTGGTTCGGTCGCTTTGACACAGCAGTAAGCGGACACTGGCAGCACTTCTCTGTACAGTGAATCTACATTTGCCGCAACGCTTTGGACAAAACAAGCGCACTCACCTCACAATAATGAAAACAGTGGTCCAGGATCCAGCTGTCAGCGGCGTACAACCCTGCTCTTCTGCCGAAACCCGAGCGTAGCAAAGGCTTCACTGCAGCGCTCCAGAAGCATGTAGACTGTCTGTCATAGTGCACCACTCAGAGCGCAGGCATGTGCTTCAGCCCCGCGTCCACATCACCGTGCCGTGGCGAAAACACACCCAGAATGCTGCTGTTGGAGCGGTGCAATATGTTCCCTTTTAGCGCTTCAACGGGGCCAGCGTCGGCGGCCTGTGCCAGAATGTCCGACGCGGATTAGTGATGTTTTGAGACTTGGTGAGGTCAAACTCCGCCCCTAGTGTCGCCTCGAGTGCACTGCTGCTCCACCACCACATCTCAGACTGTGCGTGAAGTGCGCGCTGGTGGAAGGTCAGACTTCCAACTTGTCATGATGATGATGAGAGAAGACATCACATGACTTCAGTGGTTTCATAATCCTGCAGCACCGTGGGTACTAAAGCTTCCCCCTTATACTGCCTTTGTCTTAACCCTGAGCACAACTTGGCAGATATTTTAAAAAACTAACAAACAAAACATGGATTTGTTTTAATGTGAACATTTATCCTTTTCATAATCTACCTACTTCCTGCTGTGAAATAAATATAGAGTTATTTGGATTGCTTACAGTACAGCAGTAAACAGGCCACAGAGTCACAAAATGGGGGCAGATGGAGGGCCTGGCAGGGGAAAGAGAGCCCAGCAGCTTTAAGTGCACACACATGAACAGGCCAGTCAGCAACATTCACACTCTCTGGCTCTTGTGTGTCATCCGGACTGAGTCTTTCTGCATGTGGCTGGTTTACAAGCACAACTCTATGTCATATACCTATAAAGAAATCAATACAATAGGTGGTGTTCATTGTTCTAGCTGGAAGGCAGGTGCACAACTTCATGGGAAAGAAGAGATTTTGACAAAAAATATGAAAATGAATTTGTTCCCAGGACATTATTCGATAGTGGTGAGATTCAAAACCTGTCACATTATTCTTAAGTCTGAATGTCCTTTCTACTAGTCAACATCATGCTTGTTATTGAAAATTGTCTCCACTTCTACAGACTTTTATGAGATAATAATTAGACCATAGTTGTTCTGACAGAATTTCGGGGACAATTTCATACATCCATGGGACATTGTGGTTTTTCATATGGATTGAGCCAGGAATTATAGAAACTGGCTCTAAACAAGACTAGTGCCCTGACTTTTAACAGTTGCTATAGTTAAAGGAACAATCCAGCTGCTCTCCACCACACTTATAAAATAGGCTCTTTGGAATGTTGTGATGTCACATTAACAAAATCTATAATTTTGAGACTTAAGAGTGAATTACATTTCTGCTATAAGATCATTTTATTCTTGCTCCTTTGCTTCTGATCCTGAATCATGCAGCCAAAGACAATAATATAGATTTAATTAATGAGACGCCTGTTGTTTTTGTTGTTTTGTTATGTATACATTTGCAATGTTATACATTTTCCTTGAAGCTAGATGTGGGTTTAAAATGATTAATGGACAGAATACCAACAGGAGTCTGAGGCAGCACAATGCGCCTTCATGCAGTGAGACAATCCCTTGAGACACACGCAGACATCCATAAAAAAAAAGAACAAGATAAAACATCCCAGTCCTGTTTTTTTACAGTTCAGATGCACTTTCAAGATATTTTTGGGAATGTTATTTTTGATTCTTCTTTTAGTTCCTTGTTTAGTGTGGCAAGTTTCTAAAAATGACATCAATGGCTTGTGCACAAGAATTGAACAAACTTCTCCAGAATGAAAGAAGCAGCTTCACCGATGGCCAAATGTTACACATGAGAAAAGACAACTACACATTAGCATTTGTCCTTTTATTTACATCCCATATCACATTATATCATTTACATTTGTAACTTTGCATAGCTAGTTTTATTTATGTACATATGCAGTAAACACTCTTATCCCTAGAAATGTAAGACAACTAACAAAATTGTAACGGGCACTATGTTTGTTGATCTTCGTCGGAGCCTTGTGTTCACAGGTCGTCAGACTCTGGCACTGCGGGCGGCTGAAGAGTGATGGTGGGCACGATTATGTGGGTGCCCTCTGAGATCCAGCCCTGGGCCGTCCTGTTGAAGGTGGGCCGCCTCAGCCCCTCTTGCAGCTCTGGATAACTGGGCGGGTTCAGGTCCAGCCCTGGGAGTTTAAACGTGATTCCTCTGGGAGCCTTCTCAAACCCCCCGAATGGTGTGGCCACTCTGGAGTGTCAAATTCATGTTAAAAGTCATCGTGCACAACAGCCCTGGACCAATCAGTGTGCCTTGAGCTATTTTTTGGAGTGCCTTTGGAAAACATCCACCTACTTATTCTATAAAATGTGAAAAGAAAATAATCTATCTGAGAGGTAAAGGTGCACTTTATTTATCCCCATAGGGGAATTTATCCACTGCATTTGACCCATACTGATGCCAGTAGGGCGTCCATGAGGAGCGGTGGTCGCCGTAGTACAAGGACTGGAGGATTTACCTACTGCGCATGTTTTTAGTGGTGGGGGAAAACGGAGCAAACTTACGAAGGCACAGGGAGAACATGCAAACTCCAGTCAGAAAGATCCAGGACCTTCTTGATGAGAACCGAGAGTGCTGTCCCTTCAGCCCCTGTGCCTCTCCAAGAACATTAGAATCTTTTTGTTGGATTTTTTATATAATACACTTTGATGAGAACTACTTTTCATTGTTAATAAAGGCTGCAGTTTATTTTGTATGTGAGTGGCGTGCCCTTTGAGTCTTTCGTGAAAAAGGGCTGAAAAAGATTGGGGAACACCTGCATTAACGACCTATTGATCAGAAATGAATAGACAGCTGTACATTCATTTATACAGACACAGACCAGCATAAGTGTGTCTCTATTTCATATCTTTTACTGTTTGGCTTCAGGTTTGATAAGACTGGACTCACTTGATGAAATAGTTGCAGTCTAGACTCTAGTGTGTTGCTGCTGGAATGAAAACCTGCAGCCACACGGCTCTTTTAGGACTGCTTTGAAGACCATGTATGTTTTAGACATACATGCACCTCACTCCCAGACAGAATGAGTGCTAAGACTGGTTGTGCTGTGTCCACCTGTTCTCTGTTAAGCATGTCAATACTGACCGGTTAAAGCACTTGTACTCAGGCAGCTCCAGGCGGGGGTCAGGGCCAGGCATTCCCGCTCGGAGTGTTTCAGCCAGGTCAGGGTCACTCAGGATGGCCTCCTCCCAGGGAGAGTGGTAACACTTGTGCAAAGCATCAGCACTCAGTTTCTCTGCTGCAGAGTCTGACAAACACAAAATAACAAACACAATATAATTCAATAAGGAAATTAAGAATGCCTTGAAACTGCGGTGCACAGATGAGTCTGTGAAAAGGGACTTAAGGAACACTTAACTGAGACGTCTGTCATTACATTCAGTGTCCGTAAATAGCACATAGTTCAAGTGCACACTCATCATATAATATGTTAACAGGAGATGACACCCATTGCAGAAGAAGCAAATCAACATAAGTTCTTTGGTATATCGCAGTATTTCAATGTGTATTCATGATCCTGTTAACTTATTGTGCCGTCATTGTAAAACTCTATTGGGTACAATATTGATTAAGTTGCCAATGTATCCACAATCAACTTTATTTATAAAGCACACACACACACACACACACACATACACATGTGTGAGCTATCAGAGGTCCCCATCCAGCATGGTGTCTTTTACTGTAGTCATGGATGAGGTTCTGTATCCTCTCTGATGGTAACGCTGCATATTCTTCTTGATAAGGAGGAGGATCAGGAGTGACCAGTCAGGTGCTTTCATTCACAGTGGAAACTCAAGCTTGGCTTAGCAAACATCTTAGCAACACAACAACACCCCAGTCAGGGGTGAGAGTTGTGCTAGTCAACTGGAACCAACTTTCTAGCCAAAAGCAAAACTGCTAAAAACTCAGGGAGCAAGGACAAAGAGAGGAATATGGTCCGTGGTAATTCCTTTTAAAGACACGCCTTGCAAATTTCCTCTTATTCAACAGTTGTTAGTTCCTTTTGTACAACGTTCAGTGAACTTGATTCACAACTGTGTGGTTCTCTCTCTCTCTGTTTGTTAAATGGGGAATCCCATCTTCTCACTAACTTTCCATATCAGAACACATTTTAAATATGGATTAAATGCCCTTTGGAATCTGACTTCTGTCAAGCCGGAGTTTGTAAAATTACCAATATGCCCTAAATCACAATAGCTGTCGCCTTGGATGACTTTACGACGTTGATGATACAACAACAACAGATCAGATATTCAAACAGTTCGAACTCAAGAAATACAATAATAACAAACACACAGGAGTCCGTTGGGAGCGGGATGACCCCTGTCCATGATTGTTAATACATGAAATATCCTTAATCTTAGTAATCTTACTTTGCAAACGTCTGCATGACTCCGTCGCTGGTCAGATAATCAGACTTGATAATGGTAGGATGGTCCTAGCAACACTGTAAGGAATCTTGGATAACTCTTCCTCAGAGCACATATTTCCATCTGTATTCCAATATAGGCAAAATTAGGAATATCCTCAAGGGTTTTATGTTTGGACCTTTGGGGCCTGGGGTTTTGGGCCTCATGACACCCCATGATGTAAAATAGGACACACAAACACACACACATACCACTTGCACACACACGCTCTTGCGTAGAACTCAGAGAAGTGCAGGGGCTGGGAAGGTTCGTATGATAAGTTCTGACAGATACGGCTCAAGACAATTCAAATAATGTAAGACCAAGAACCTCGAAATGTATCCTGAAACACACGCAGAGCAAATGCAGCGATTGAAGGACTGGTGTCATGTGGTCATTGCTCCTGGTTTGGTCAAGGCACAGCCCTCATGGGATCTTTATTTACCTGAGACGCTGGTTGCAGAATTTGTATTTTGCTGGTCGGGTGCGTCAACTGTGATTTCCACTGTGTGAGTATTCATATCTATGAAGTCGTTCTGCAAAACAAACAAGTAACTTATTACAAACAATTTGCTTATCTTTGTGACTTTCTGCACGCACACACACACACACACGCACTCATACAACACAGACTCACACACACTTGCACACACTCATACAAACACACATGCTCATAACCGCACCATAGACTGTAAATTGCCCGCACACACTCAAAAAACACACACACTCACACACATGCACGCACACACACACGCACTCATACAACACACCCACGCACACACACACACACATGCACACACACACACACACACAAACACACACATACACGTTTTTGTTACCTGGTGGGTCCCTTTGACAGGGCCGTTCAGAATGGGACCCATAGACATAATCTTTTTTTACCAAGACTTTAAGTAATACAAAACAGTCAATAGAAACCAAACAACTATTTTAAAGGAATTTTATTTTAGATTTTGTTTTCGAATTGCAGTGATTCTATTTTTGACATAGAATTTAATGCCACTCCATGTCCGATGTCTAAGGTCATCTGGTGAGGCATTAATGCAGGCCAGGCAGTGAGACTTCCCAGGGACCTTTCCAGTCTGTATGAAAGGTGTCATGGTCTTCTCCACAGCCTTCACCTCAGATGCAGACCATGGCTTTCTTACACGTTCTAGGGAGAGAAATAAAAAATATATTAGCAATATACACTCCCAGGGTGAGGACCAAGCAGCCTGGCTGTAATCCCCCACCTGGTACACTTACCAGAAGGGGCACTGCCACTACCATGGGGTGCATCTGGATGAATGGTTGAAGGTTCTCCGCTTGAAGTTTCTTTTAGCCCGTCCGTTTGTGAGAGGATCTCTACTGCTCTCCCTGTCGCACAGAAAATAAAAATACAAGTGGCCTTTAGGGGAAAAAAATCATACATATTTTAATAATATCAAGAATTACCTTCAGGCTCAATTTGTATCTGGTCGAGGCTCTTTCCTTCGAATTCCGTCACTCTTCCCTGCTCCATGGCCATCAACACTTTGCTGATTTTGGCCAGCTCCAGTGTCCCCTCTGGTAGTCTGTAATATTGCCTGTGGATGCGAATGTCATGGCCGAGGAAGTTGGCAAGTATGTCCATCTCATTCTCTTTCATATTGAGAACTGTAGACATAGTAGCTATGTGCTTTCTAAGTTTGGTTGAGGATAGCATCTCTGGATGCACCGCACCACATTCTTTGGCTACCTGGCGTAGGGAGTCTGATCCCCTGATGTGGGTGTCTGCGCCCGGGCGGGAAAAGAAGTATGGGTTATGGTCAGAGATGGAACAGGCCCTTCTGTTCTCCACCAGCACCTCCATCGAAGCAATCATTTCAGGAGTCAAAAGAACCGGCACTTTCCGACTTCTTTTCCCTTTAATTTCAATGCGTTGAAAATGCTGACACAGCTTTTTCTCAAGTTGGGACAGTCCCAGAGCAATGTCAGAATGGATCCCAGTCTTACTTCTTAAGGTAAAGGCTGTCAGTGGCATCTTTGAAACCTCACCTTCCCTTCTTCGATTGAAAATGATGACCTCACAAAGAGTCAAAACTGCCAGTTTAGACCAATGCTTAGACGTTGGCTCACTTATTAGGGTTTGCACATATTCAGGTCGACATACCTCAATATGTGCATGCATGGCTCTAACGTCCTCAGTCAGAGGGAGCAGGTCCGGAGTGTTCCACTTGGCTTGCCGGAGGGTCTGTAGGGCAGCAGAAGAAACACAGACGTCCCACCTCTTCTCAAAAAGCAGCCGGCTTCGTTGGAGGTTTTTAATAAATAGTTCATCAACACAATGCTCCATTTTTGAGTCACATTCAAGAATATCTGCTAGCTTTCTGAGGCTATGGCCGAGTTTGAGGGCCAAGGATGGAGTCTTGTATTGATTTGTTTCCTCATCATATCCAGCCACAGACCTGACTGCATCAATCACATGGTTAAAGTTGGAAGGAATAAAGAAATCCTTAATTGTTTTCAGTTTCCCTGCGGTTTTTTGCTTCGTTAATTAACCTACCGACTTCTCTCATTTTCTGCCTAATGTAATCATGCTTTGTCTTATCATGCCCGTGTTTTAAGTACAGGTGCTCTCCGAGTCTCAGAATCCCCTTTTCTGCTTTGACAACACCCGTGACCTCATCCTGATGCATTGCCGAAATTAAAGACCACAGCTTTTTGCTGATGCCCTCCGGTACAGGCTGGGCTAGGGAGCAGAGGGACTGGACCCTACTTCTACCTGGTTTAGCCTGGGCATCTTTCTGTGAAAGCCGGCACCTGGCCACATGCCTCCACAGCGACTTTCGCTTAAGCAATGCCCCACAGTCTATACAGTGCAAAAACTCACTGGATTTAACTGGGGAATTTGGCTGTTTAGCTGGGACTAAAGTTCCAATGCCGGCCTTTAAAACCTCAAAATTGTGCTCACGGTTTCCACTATTCCTGATCAAATCAAACTGAAGTTTACGTGCTTTAGATTTCACAGGTAGAGCCAATGCTCTGGCTACGTCACTTTCATTTCCATGTTTTCTAGTCAAATGACGGGACATTTTGTGGCAGGACATTGAACAGTAGAGGCAGAAGTGTCTCTTGCTGTATACTCGCCCCCCATTTTTCTTCTTTTGCAGCTGCATGATAACAATCTTATTTGCCTTTGGTTCGTCACTTTCCGAGTCTTGAAGAAAAGTGTTTTTGATTTTTCTTTTTCCATACTTTTTTACAGGTTTCTTCTTGACAGTTAAATCGTCAGAATCTGAGTCGACTTCATCAATTAGGGACTCTTGACTAAGCTGCACAAACAACAAATAATTTGTAATCATTCTATATAACAATTTGAAGTCATGACTTGTAGTCAGCACTTACCAGTGGTTTGTAAGCGTGTGCTTCAGTGTGCTCCTCCATGATTTCTTGCAGCCTAATGAACCACACACTTGCACCTTTTTCTAGCCTGACACCTGATTTCCTCTGTTGTGCTGCTCCATGATTGGCTCCAGCCTGCTGGACTGAAATTGCCCCAGTGTGCCCCTCCTTGATATCCCGCAACCCACCACCAGGGTTCCGACACATAACACACTTTTTTCAGGAAAGTAAACCTCCAGGGGTCCTTTCCATATTTTTACAGAGACTGCATAAGGACCGTTAGAAAAGCATTACCCATTGATTATTAAGCTTGGACCAGTGGGGTCCGGTGTTCGGGCCCCACCACGTAAAACCAGTCCCCATGACGTGAGTGGAATCTCAGGTTATGGAACCCACCAGGAGTTGAAAACAAGTGCACAATCACTCACACACACACACACACACAATCACTCACACACACACATACACACACACACACACACACACACTCATACAACACACCCACGCACACACACACACACACACAAACAAAAAACACACACACACACACTGATAAGCCTCAGTGCAGTGGCATGGCGCCCCGGCAGACTTGGCTGCAGGATGCGAACAGCACGAGGCTCTTGTGTCTTTTATCACGGAGCTGGGACACTTTATCCAAGAGCATATTTTCTGGTACATATGCTCAGTGACAAGTGGACACATCTCCGCACACAGAACACACAAGCTGTACATCAGAACAGGCTGGAAGAAGACTTACATTGAGCAGGGAATTAGCCTCATTTTGGATACTTTCAAACGTATATTTGTCTGATCTTCTTTGTCGCATTTTGAAAAGCCTGGAGCCTCTGTTGGAGAGCAGAGATAACTCCTCCAGCATGATGTCCTTTGGAGTGCTGAGTTTCTTTCCCAGGTCTAATGTGTCACCTGCAAAACACAACGGGCACATTGTTAGATAGGAGAAAATGAGGAAACACTTAAAGGGCATGTCAAGCATCTTGGAGGGTCACATATTCCAATTACTATTTTTTTAATCAATGAACCAAATCAAAACAGAAACTTTGACTTATAGGAAAGGACAGGAGATGCTTTGTTAACAACAAAAAGTAAGTGAGTAAGTCAGTAATGTTTATTTATATAGCCCATTATTACAGACCATGGTCCCCCAAAGCGCTTTACAATGTTCAGAGTTCAGATATTTTTCCATTCTCTCCACACACAGTGATGATGGAAGTGAGACACCGAACACACTTAGGGCATCAACCTCCAACCATCACCATCCATTCACTCACTCATTAAGTAAAAATAAAAAAAATAAAAATAAAGCTAATATAGTCCCTCCTCGTGGCATAGAATACAATTTTCTGAAGGAGAATAGCTGCTCAATGGCAAGGATTTCATTAGATTTTGTTCAATCAGGAAGCTGTGGGGGTGAGTATGGGCGGGTCTACTAGAGGTGGTTTTTAGAGGAGACTATGAGATGAATGTTCTATTGCTATCTTCACAATTTGAGTGGAAAATTGTGTTGGGATGGATGAAAAATGGAACGATGCATGATGAGAAATATTCAGGTTTGGAATGTATTTTGAAAACATTGTACCGTATACTTGATAACAGTGTCCACTATTCACTGGACACTGTGAATAGTGGGCGGCACGGTGGCTGAGTGGATAGCACTCTCGCCTCTCAGCAAGAAGGTCTTGGGTTCGAATCCCGGCCTGACCAGGGCCTTTCTAAGTGGAGTTTGCATGTTCTCCCCGTGTCTGCGTAGGTTTCCTCCAGGTACTCCGGTTTCCCCTACCTCTAAAAATATGTACAATAGGTCTGGCATGCGCCTCCTGTTCGGCGACCCCGCTCCCATCTCTGTGTGGAGTGAGAGACAAGTGCCCAAAAAAATAACAATTGTAAACCGCTTTGAGACTCTGGTCTGTGAAAGGCGGTATATAAATAAAAGCTTACTTACTTACTTACTTACTGCCAGAAAGCCCATTATAAGCAAGACATTTTATTTTACGACTGTTCATAAATAGTAATGCAGATTTGTAACAGTGCAGCAAATCAGGAATATAAATCCTCTGTGCTGTCCCTCAGGCCCTACTGTGTGCAGGGAGAAACCTGAACGCTGAATATTAACATAATAACATCCTACATGTAGCAGGAAGATTCTATAGGGAGACTGGTGTCTTCTTAAAGAAAACAATGAACAAAAACATGATCTTTTGCAGGATATTTGGAAACTCAAAGTCTACAGCCGAAAGAGTGTTAAAATTATATGGACAGCAGTGAATTGAAAATGTAGACAAACGTGTTAAGAAAAAAACTTGACTGTATGAGCGAATAAGAGGCAACATGCCAAAAATATATATAAAAATAACCCCGCTTTCGCAAAGGAACAGAATCAGAATTTCACTCGGCGTTTAAAGAAGTGAATTTAGGAAAACTGCCATGGTAGTATCTGCTTGATATCGAAAAAGATTGTGTTGGAGATCACTGAATGCTTCCTCATCTACTGTATGAGCCAATAAAATGTCCCAGCTGTCACTTGCCATCACCTTATCCAAACAGTTGTCTTTGTGGCACCTCCCACCCCTCTCGCACCCACCCTGAAATAGACTTTGGAAAAGAGCAGGCACAAAGGATTATCCAGCAGAGGTATAAATCATCCCATTAGCTTATTTATGGCTGGAACTGGAGTCCAGCCAAGACACATTTTGAACTCACATCGGCATGGATGTTGTGTGAAACTCACCGTCCGTGCCGCGAACCTCTCGGCAAATAGCAGCGGCTCGTTTCTTCCTCTCGCTGGTTGACATTGTGCAGAACTGTGACATTTTCGATTGGATATCTGAAAATGAAATTGAAATAGATGAAGGCATGTGATCAAACAAACAAGCAACAAAACATCTAAGAATAAGTCTTAATATTTACAGTCTAAGATGTAGAGTTATGACTGGAAGCAGAAATGAATTGACAAAATGCACGTATGTTCTGAAACTGAATATAGTCTATAACGTGGACAACAAAACTACAACTCTGCATTTAAAGCTGCGGTAACTTAACTTGTTTTGTTTCCTAAATAATACATTGATAATACAGTTTGTAAAAGCAATATGACTGCAACATGTTATAAGTTCATCTTTTTTGGAAAACAGGATTTAGTTTGCATACTTTAGGAGATAGAAACTTAGAAAGAGCCTATTTGACGCTTTGGGCCGAAAGCTGATTGGCTGAGAGAGAGGGGTCCTTTCTTCATACAATACGCACATGTGAAAACCAGGGATGAAATCAGATTTGAACGCAAGGAACCAGTTAAGATTGCTTTTGTAATAATATAAAAAATAAAAAAATTGGTTTGAAAATTAGGTGCCCCAGCCCCAAATGCAATGCAACCATTTTGAAAGAACAGCCTTTATGTTGAAGATGATGAAATAGTTTTAAAAGACATGATCCAAATTGAATATTTATTTTTAACGTGCAAGTGATCAATTTCAAGATAGTTGTATGATGGTGTGACTTGCAAGTTTTTTGTGGCTTGCAAGTGGCTTCCTCTACAGGTGGCCGTCAGTGAGGTGTGGTCTTACCTGTGCTCCTGTCTCCAGGTGAACGCAGGTCCAGGGGTCAAACCTTCAGCCGCTGCTCTGATCTTCACTGATCTTCACACTCCCGCACACTAAAGCCAAACTCTGTGACAGTCTTTCTCTGTGTCTGTTGTGAATGGAATGCAGCTTACATCAATAGGCTAAATTTAACCTGCCAAACACTCAAAAGCACTCGCTAACGCCACGGGCCAGGGGAACGACCGCATAGGCCGAGAGGGGATGATGGCATGTTACGGAAATGGCCGTGGATGTCTTTTGGATAAGGATCACCCCGATAAAGATGCGCCCCCATTGCGGAACATTCAAAATCTTGTGTTTGCCTCTTTAAACATCTTTAATAAGCAAAATGTGTGGCATCCATCCAGAAAGGAATCGTCACCAAAACATTGTTATGAAGCTTTCCTAATGCCAGCTTAATCCACAGTATTAATGTCAACCATATGCTAGAGACACAGCAAAAATAGTAAGAGCAACCTAATGTGTTCCCTCTTCATAAATAATACATTCTGTTTCACCCAATATAGATCGATAGATATATAGATAGATACTTTATTGATCCCCGTACGAGTGATCAATATAGTATCTTGTAAGTATATTATTGTAAGTATATTATTGTAAGTATATTATTGTGATGAAATTGGACCACAACATGACTCTTGTTGAAACACATGTAATCTTTTGCATACGTAAAAAAGAACCCTGTGAGTTACTTTTTGACACTTTGGGTTTAGAGCTGATTAGCCAAGTGAGGGTGGTCTTCCCTTTTCTGTCTGAAAAAGATGAGTTAAAGATGCGACAAAGACAAAAATACATGTATATAAAATGCATGTAAACAGTTAAATGGATTTTAAGCATGTTCAGTGTACACATAACAATAATTTAGACACTGTTTCAGCATTAGGACGGCCGAGTGTTTAAAATAAAATGTTAATATCCAGTTGTATGTAAATAAATTGTGCATATTATGAATAATAAGTAGTGTGTGTGCTATTTTAGAATGACCATCAATAAACATCTGCATACTGTATATATACTGTATATACATATTTACATATATACAGCCGAGTGAGTTGGACCCAAACTTGTCCATAAGCACATCCCAGTTACATACAGTCTATGGTCTTAGCTTCGTTTAAATGTTTTACCAAAGCTGGGCATTTTTGTTATTTTTCAAATATCCAATAGTTATGTGCATGGGGTGGGATATGTTTGTAACTATCCCTGCTCAAATGGATGAATAAATGAAAAAGAAATTAGTGTCTTAAACAACCATTAGAAACTTGGTTATGAACACATACATACATTTTTAAATACATGTTTTATTTGTAATGGTCCAAACAGCGCAAACAAGTATGTAATTTCTGAATCACAAAAATAATTGTGTTGTGACAGCGACATTTCACCACAGTGGCTCACAGCAACTACTGATTCGATCACTATTGTTGTTATTGAGCAAGACACATGGCTTATTTATGATTGGGCAGGACATGAGTGAATTGAAAACAAATGTTGTGGAAAATATGAATAATGATAAAAGTGTAGCATATAAGAGTAAATAGATGTGCATTTGTGTATTATCATCAAAGTGGTGAATTATAGTCTAGTCTGTCAGTGTACTAGCCATACAACTGTGATAAAACCATGGTACTGAGATTGTTGCTGTGACTCTTGTGTCTCAGTAGAGATTTCTTATTGGGCCGTATGAGGCAGAGCATGGAAAAGTTAAATAAGTAGCGCTAAGAGGCTGTACTGATTTAAAGGGTCTAAAGAAAGGCCTTCCCTCAGGTAATAGTGATGGTGCATGGAAAGCTGAGGCAACTTGATAATGACCTCTCGTGACAGGTGTGGGATCAAGAGAGACCCTGCGCTTCCATTCTTCCGGGGGCTCTGGCAGAGACTTGCGGTGCCCGGCTGCTTTCACACTGGACACAATGGATGACGAGCCGCTCGGAAACATGAAAGCTTCGTCCACAGAACCAATGGGGCTCCGGGATGCGGCCTCCCATGGAGTGGGCGGCTTGAACGACTTTTCCATCATGGATGCCTGTCTCTGGGGTACAGCAGAGAGAGAGGACATGGATCTCTGTCTGGGCAAACTCATGGAGAGACTTCGTCCAAGCACCTGAAAAGAAAAAAATCTAATTCACGGAAAATTACATATGGGCCTTTTTACTGCAAGTCCTGCATCTGCTTTTACATTAAAGCTGTGGTACACTTTCAAACTTCAAAACATAATGAATGTTATGATAAAAGGTGTAACTAGTTCCTTACTCACTCACATGCATTTGTTGACCTTTGCCACATTCACCCTATCGACACAGGGTGAATGCTGTTAAAAACTACTTTATCCATATGTAGTATATCAAAGATAACATATTTTCTAAGATGAAGAGACAGTATGTTATGTAAATTTGGCTACAGGCCCTTTAAAGATATATATATATTTAAAGGGCCTGTAGCCAAATTTACTTCTTTACTTAATGACACAATCCTGCAGCAGCCCAAGTATCTATCTTCCTCGTGCACCTGCTCAAAGGATGCAGATCATTAATATTAGATCTGCTCAAGGATGTGACTGATTCGTCACATCCTAATTACATACTGTGATTTTATCAAATGCTTGTCACTTTAGCAGTGCATTTCCATCTATAATTTGTCCGCAAGATCAAATAAAAAACAAATAATTTAATATAACAATTTCTACAGCTATTCTAATATTTTTAATGTGCAAGATCCATTTAAAATTGGATCTTTCATTCACATAGAACATAAAACAATTATTTCAACTTGAACTCAACACTATAAGTAACTTGAATTTGTAAAATGTGTGTTTTTTTTCATATTTGGTGCTTTGTGCTGAGACTTGAAGATGTGAAAAAGGCCAAAGAAAACACATGCATTTGGAAACAGGTACCAAACCTTTTGAAATTGGAAGTAGTTCAATGAATATTATAGGAGAGCTGCTTTTGTGCTTTTGGTACCTCAGCTGTAGCACAAAGGAGAACTTGATCGTGGCTCCTGATAGGCTAAATGTTCCATTTTCACAGGCAGAAAGTGAACGTGATCGTCCAGGTGTTTTTAATCTTACCTATTGCTTCAAGTTACAACCACATGAGGGAAAAATACTTTACTCCTAAATATAGACAGACATATCTATATATAGACTGACAGGACTAGGTTTGTTTTTAAATGTTTTGTAGCCGTCATGAAACCAAACTGCTGCGATAAGATCTCCATCTAGTGGCCAAGTCCAAGCATTCTACATTTATGAAGAATTTGACTATATTAAATTTATTCAAAAATAAGTCTACATTATTTCGATATTTTTGAGTAAGCTCTAGGTGCGCTTTATAATGCAGCATGCCGGCTGTGCATAGTGAGAAAGATAGAAAAAGAGAATGGTTCATTACAGCAGTAGAAAAAAGACAGACAGAGCAATTGAATGGTGCTTTATTAGTGCTGAGAAGAACAACAAGAAGTGCATGTGAACGGTGGACATTCCTTACTGCTTGAGGTGAATGCCTTGTTGATAAGATTCTCAGAAGCCTATTCTAGTAAATCAACCTTACTTGCAGAAATTGGCCTAAAAATGATCCTAACTGACTCTTGACACTCATCAGGGTGGGCTGTCGTGTCACTTTAAGACTGGAATGAGACTGAAGCACAAACTATTTCTATGCATTTCAACATAAGTGCATTTACAGTAACTATATTCTAGGAGTTTGTGACCTCAATGATAAATTACAAAAACATTTTGTCCGGGGCAAAGGAGCTGGGCTGCATTCATCGATTTCATCAACAAAACTATAAATAAAGACTGAAGGGAGCAGGCGATATTGCACATCCGTTTCCTGAGCATCATAAACCATAAATCCTTACCTTAATTTTAAGTCACCGCTCTGGATTCAATGGATCTTATTATATTTACATAACACAATACATTAATATTAGATCTTGAAGTTAGATAGCAGTGCCACATGATTAAAAGTGGCGGGCTGCAACCCTAAACTGTCATCCTATTCCTGACCGAATCCCAAACATGACCATATTCAGAAGCCGACCTAGTGCAGCATAGCAACAGGCTTCCACTGTTTTCCTTCTGCTTCCTGCTTCTTGGCTGAAAACTTTGGCCGCGGAGCCATTTGACGCACACCTCTAGCAATGAGAGACGCAGGGGAAAAGGCTGCAGCTAAATTGTCACTGATAGAAGAGAGGGATGAGTGCTGAGAGGTCGTGCTGGCTGGGCGGTTGTTGGCCACTTGCTTGCTTATGTGGTTGAAAACAGGAGATGCAGAAGTAGAAAGCTTCAATTCCATATTGTCAACTTTGAGAACATCAGGTGACTTTGGGATTTTGGACTCAGCTGAGACCGGGGAACTTCCTAATCCTAAAGACTTAGATGTTTCATTCTGAGAGATATGCTTAATCAATTTTCTAGGCCTGGGCTTGGTGGGGGTGGGTGAGGGTTTGGGGCTAGGGCTGGCACTGGGGCTGGGTGCTTTGGTCTCAATGACTTTTTCATATTTAAAAAGGGACGAGTCCAAATGATAAGGCTGATGTTTCATAATATCTAAAGCATTAAGGTGCTTTTTAGCTTGCTTAGGTTTTGCTTTGGTCTGTTTGGATTTAATTTTAGGGCTTGTCGAGGGAGGTTGCTTTGCTGCAGCAGGTGGATAGAAAGGTGTGAGAAGGGGATTGTATGCTAACGGTGGTGGGGCTCTGATATTAGATGAATATCTCCAAGTATTTGGGAGGGATGCAACTGGGGATGGGGCCCTAGGTTGACTGACTTTCTTGGATTCGGCATCAAACACAAACTTCTCCATTCGCGTCTGTCTTTTGGCGAATAGTTCAGCACCTCTTCCTGCCATAGTGCCAGTTTGAGCTCTACACATCTTCTCGGTCTGAAGGGGGTAAGACGCAATAGAATTTGGGGCATTAGATGGTGGAGGGGGCTGTAGGCTGTAAGTGGGGGGGCAGGCCTGCATACTCACGGGAGATCGAGACTGCTGCAGACTGAAGCTATTTGTAGTTGGCTGGGCATGAAGCTGAGAAGATAGGTTGGTGGACATTTGAAGTCCCACTGCTGTCGTTTGATCTTGTGCCCAATGGTTTGCCATCTGCAGGGGTTTGGCTCGGTCATGACTATGTGGTCCAGTAGAGGATGGTTGGGGTGAAACATAGGGATCATCCAGGTCACTTTTAACCATCCAAGGTGGGCAGGCTGAATTGATGGTAGGTTTGGGTGCTACTGGAGGTGGATTCTTGAGTTTGATGGTCTTAGGTTGCATAAAGTTGCATGCTTCAGCCCCCAGACTGAAGCAGTCTTCCTCATATTCAATGAAAGATCTTCGGTCATCTTTGTTTTGAAGGTTGGCTTTTTGTTGTGGTGGTGATTGCTTACTAGCGCCTTTTCTTTTTGCTTCAGGTAGAATGCAAGTTTTGATGGCTGGCACAGATATTCTTTCATCTCTGGAGGCTATGATGTCACTGGTTGGGGACCAAACATGGGGGGTTATGTTGCTCGGTACAGGCACAGGAACTTTGAATTTAGGCTCAGACTTCTTCTTCACGGGAGTAACTGGCATGATTACGCTATGCCTGGCAGGCGGTGCATTTACATGAAATCCAAGAAATGGTTTTGCGGTTCTATTGGGCACCAAGGAGGAGGGGACATTGGAAGTATCCTGGTAGTCGACTGGCTCTTCTGAGTAGTTGTTCTGGGGGCTGGACACATCTATGGGCAGATAATGAAGTTCTTTAGGCTCATGAATTGTTGTGGGTGGTTTAGACTCTGATTCTGGTAGTAGACCTTCCACTGGTATTCCTTTGCTCCTCAGTTCCTCATTCTCAGACTCAATTTCGTCCATGCGCTTTCGGCGTTGAGCAAACATCAAAGCCCCTTTTCCCTGAGTTGCTGGCAAACCTTCCATCTCGTGCTGACTTTTCCAGTTACAACAATTTTCAAACTGCGGCTGATGAACAGAATACTCTTCCTCTAACTCAGAATCACTTGTTGATACAAAGTTGTACTCAGATAAATCTTCTGCGTCCTCTGTTTTGTTGTTGGTTGATTTGTTCTCACCGGTTCCGTAGCTTGTGAAGGTATATTTCTCAACCCTTTGGCGACGTTTCTTGAACAACAAGGCTCCTTTATTGCAAGGGTTGGGTGCATGAGTTAGAAGAAGAGCAATGCGTTTGCATTTGGACTTGGTCTCCTTGACATGTCTCTCTGATTGGCTGAGCCCTGAAAAAAATACAAGCGTAGTGATGATTCAACTCGCTATGGGTTTTTTTTTTTCTTAGAACTGATTACTGAAAAATGTGGTAGTATATAATTGATAAACAAATAAAACATTGTTACTGTAGGTGCACCAATAAAAGGATCATATTTTCTTACAGCTAACTAAGGTGGTCTCATGAGGGAATGAAAGCAAGGAGCACCACGGGAGAGTTACGATTGGAAACGGGATCAAGTGACAGGCCAAGGGACACATGCTGGTGTCTGTCAAAGAGTTTCTGCTACCCTCATCATATGCCCATATTTTATTCTTATCCTGCTCTGGCCATAGCAGCAATGGGAATTCTTCCTGTATGTCCACCCTAAATAGAACATTTATTAGTACATAAAAATATCTAGCAATCGTAGAGCTTTTTATGTTTGTAAAAATGTACATATTTTATATACAGTTTATGCTTCATTGTACTCACATATCAGGCAATGCCATATTACTCATTACCTCTATGATGCATACAATTGTAACTTGTAATAAAAAAACTAAAACAGCAGTTTTTTGTCACATTTGCTACTACTGATTTTATATAATTATGGGTCATATCACATAACAAAGATTAAGACAGGTACTCACGCGTGTGCCTTGCCCTGTGTTGGTTTGGTCTGCACAGAGCTGTGTCAGACCCCGAGTCCCACCTCTGTGCCTGCTCAGCACCCTCTTCAGAGATTCCAAAGGAGACACAGGCAGGGGCTACGTCACTGCTCCCTCCTCCTGATGATGATTGCACTCTTTGGCTCCCCGTCCCACCAATATGGCTATTACCGGCTTCTCCTTGCTCTAAGTGAGGTCCAGTGGTCCGGGTCATGTCAGGGTCCAGACCTGGAGGAAGGTACATGACATTGTAGAAGATTCCTAAACATAAAGGTGCCATTTTGACTCACTGGATTCACTCTTGTCATCTTCTTGCTCCCAATAAGAAGCATCCTCTTCTCCTTCACTCACATGTTCATCAGTTTCACAGCATTTAAAGGGTTCTCTATCAGACTGGGGAATGAGAGATGTTGAGGCCTTTGGGAAGTTCACAGCATTTATGGAACAGCATTCTGGCCTCAAATCAGGAATACTGTCGTCCTCCTGGGAGCTGCTTGACCCAGACCATGCCCCAGTGTTCTCAACATTGCATTGGTCTTCAAAGTCTGGATCCATTTGAAGTGATGTTTTCAAAACAGTTGCTCTCTGATACCTGAAAAGAGGTACTTTTACAATGTATACTTCACACGGATAAGTATGTGTTTATGTAAGGCATTTTCCTCACTAGGAAGAACTGATTGGCTTAAGCATCACAGTCAAGCTGCCAACACTGTAAATGGAATGGTATGTCATGGGGAAACAGCATTCGTATCCAAGAGTATTAAAGAAAAACAATCGGTGGCTGTTTTCTGAGGTCAGAGAATTCATCAAACTCTTCCTCTCACTTTCATGGTCATGTCCCTTCTATGGCCACATAAGTCACCAAGTGCATGTGATGTGCACTGAAATACATACATTTTATTTTTAATGTTAGATTTTAATTGTATATCGATTGTGATGAGAATTGATAGTTAATCTTTTGAATTGAAAATGTACTGTGCTTTCACATAATTTAAAAATGACTGAAAGTTAACTTTGATAGCATGTTTAATTGTTTACCAATTCCATTGGACTATGGCATGAGGGTCATGGATTGATCTCCCCATGATAGCTTCTCCCTAATGTTTAAATTAATAATAATAGTTATTATAAATTCATAGATTCTGAATTAGCACTTCCAAAGTTAGAGGGCAAAAAGCCTTTATTTAGATAATTAAATTGATTAGTTTAGGTGGATTGGATTCTGCTTCTTTGGCATAGCCTCTCCACCATGGTTGGTAAAACTAAAATGGGCTATAATTAATTTGGTCTACTGAGTTTAATCATAATGTTTAATCATTGATATTACAAGTGAAACACAACTAAATGTAAATTTGATAATGTTCCTTCAAAAAGCAACACAGCCTTAGTTAGAAGAGCAACAAGTGCAGCCACAAGATTGCAAATGTGTAAATGTCAACAGCAAAACTACATCTGCAATCTGCTACAACAACGCAGATTTAAAATGCTTCTTGTCTGTTGCAGATGATGCTTTTGATTTTGTTCAGGTTATTGCAGTGAACTTGAGGCTGCAAGGCAAAGGCTCACAGGGGATCAAGTTGATGTGAACCTGAGTGGGGTGTGTATCCCCATACATCACTAAAGTAATGTAAGTAAGTAAGTAATCTTTATTTATATACCGCCTTTCACAGAGTCACAAAGCGGTTTACAATTGTTCTTTTTGGGCATTTGTCTCTCACTCCACACAGAGAAGGAAGCGAGGTCGCCAGTACAGGAGGCGCATGCCAGACCTACATGTTTTTAGTGGTAGGGGAAACCGGATTACCCGGAGGAAACCTACGCAGACACGGGGAGAACATGCAAATTCCACTCACAAAGTAAGCAAGCAAGTAAGTAATATTTATTTGTATAGTGCATTTTACAGACCAAGGTCACCCAAAGCGCTTCACAATGTTCAGAGTTCAGATATTGTTCCAATCATTCCACACACGGTGATGACGGAAGCGAGTCGCCGAACACACTGGACCATCACTGTGTCTCCCACGGATATCTTTGAGCGGCTGGCAACAAAATTTGCTAGAATTTTACCGTAAAATCTACGGATTTTTCTTTTGCTGTGTACAATTTATCTATAGCATATTCCAAATGTTGTATTGCTCTTGAAGTGAACATACACACACAATCACATTCTAAATTATTTATATTAAAGTATCTTCCATCTACCCATCCATCCATTTTCTTCTCCTCAATCCATTTCTGGGTCGGGGGGGGTGGAAGTCAGAGCTGTACCCAGTGCACTTAACACCAGCCCCTCACTGATCCTCCTGCATTTTGTGAGTCCACAGGAACTTCAATCTTTCAGCGGGGGCTTCGGGCAAAGTGGAGTTAAATGTCTTGCCCAAGGACACAATGAGAGCAGACATCAATGGAAGTCATGAAGTTGGTCTCGGGGTGGGCTCAAACTCATAAACTTCGGGCCCAAAGGCCAATGATCTATGTGAGGCTACTGATCCATTGGACCCTCAGACCACCACCAATAATGGATGCACCTAAATACACACATAAAAACACACACATTTGTTCAGCTTTGTCAAGGACTGTGCTGAATCTGTTCATGTTTTTCCTGAGTCCAGCAGATGTCTCCCCTGAGTGACAGCTTTGGCCCGTCCACATGATATCACCTTGTGCCCCGAGGTTCCCCTTCATTGTTCACAGAGAACATTGTCAAGACTAATTTTAGCTCGAACAGACTTGTTTCCATTTAAGGCCAAAACCTTAATCAGTTGCTGTGTTTCTATGGAAACAGAGGTGTCTCTTTGACCTCATGTATCTGTAGTGATCTTGTGTGGATCAGGTTTAGGCCAGGTTAGAGCCAGGTCTGAACCGCCAAACCAGTTTTGGATCAGGTCTGAACCAGGTCTGAACCAGGTCTGAACCAGGTCTGGACCAGGTCCGGAGATCTCACCATAGCATCCATTAACCATCTAAAGTGAATGTGATAGTTGCAGTTCACCCCAGCTATAAATTTGGGATGGACTTAGACTTTATAGTAAGCTAAAATGTAGTGAACTTTAAATTGTATGTTGGAGGACTTTTCAAAGCCAACCAGAAGTTCATAACACAGAGCTGAAGAACTGAGTGTAAAACTGAGAGCTAAATGAAATCCCTCCACTTCTGTCATATCCAAATTGTAAAAACTATTGACTCATTATGTAAAAGTTATAGTTTAAACGATACATTTGTAAATTTCATATTTTTACTTCATCTTGTTTTGTTTATTGTATTTTCAACAAGTTTTGAAGCATGTTTACAAATTTTGTCCATGTCCGATCAGGAAAAAAAGTATCTTAGATATTCTAAACTTATAACTAAGCATATGCACCTTCACTACTTCATGTCACAATAAAATCAATAATGTACTGGTGATTCTACAGTTGAACTTTTCACAACATACTGTAGCATACAAGCATGAATCGTGAATTAAAGGTCTCTTATGTTTAGGTTTATTTCCACTTTTTCCACTTCTATATTTAAACAGTTCACATTTACTAGCAAAAAAAGCTATGGAGCCCGAAATAGAAAACGTTTAGAGCAGTAATAATTCACTTTAACAGCTTTGTATTTTATAGTTGCTTGCAGTGCAATGTTTTCCCTTTACCCATTATATATTATATCCATTGATTAATATTAAATGATGCTTACCTTTGGAACTAACCCATTCATACGTTGTCATCTCTGAAGCTGTGAATGTTTCCTGTGGGCAGCGGCGTCTTCTTCTGCTCCTGATCCGGCCCCTTCTGTCACCACCATGTCTCTTGGGGAGAAGCAGCCAAGCCTGAACGGCAGCCTGGGAGCATAGAGAGTTACATACAGACGCATAACGCAAACTTTCATTCACTCTCCATTTAACACTCTCTGTTAAATAAAATGCATAGGCAATTGCTATGAAACAGGCAGGTTCTGACCATTTTTGACGTTGCCTCTACGCAGGCAGTAGCCAAAGTCCCACCTTGTTCACACTGCCTGTACCTGTCCTGGTCTTAGACTCATGTTCACCAAGCAGGTGCACATAAGCAAGGGACTCTTTCTATTGTCCACTTTGTGGAAAGTTTTCTTAAAGCTCTTCTTTTGAATCTGTGGTTATTGTTCTATATTTATTTAGTTTTTAAGGTAATTCTGTCAAAATACAAATTGGTAACTCCATGGCCTTGGATTTGGAGGTGCAGCCTAAGTGGGCCTTAGGTTGTTGGGCCTCTTCACCAGGACTCATTGGAGCCTAAAGTTGCTCTGTTGGTTCAATCCCATGAAGCATGAGGACAATGCTGCTTTTTCCATGATGCAAAGTGAACTGTATTATTCCATTTCTGGAACATGGTCTCATTGTAGATGTGCAGAAGATGGCCCATAGTGATAAACAGTCATATATTAAAGTACATGTAAATGACAGAATGCACTACGTGGGCTTCCAGTTTTAATTAATTTTGTTTTGCTTATACATATTAGTAAGTCTTGCCTACAGTAAAACTCTCGGAGGAGGGTGCTGTGCACAGCTGATCCTCACGTGTACTTACATGAGCTAAAGTGTCACTGGGGGAACATCATAAACTCAAGGCGACCCACACAGTTTGGACATTTCTGTCGAAATATCAATAATCTTATGGCTAAATCATTGACTTGTGAGGTTAGACCTCTGTTTCAGTGTCTTCATTAAACTGAAGCAGTTCACCTCCTGCGTGTCCTGGAAAAGCAGCAACATGAAATTTGATAATATACTTTCAGATATAAACGGATTTGGAAAATTTCAAATAATTTTAGTTTTAATTCAAGTTCTTTCTCGCGTCACTGTACCATGCCATTTTCTACTAAATAACTTTATGGCAGCAGTTCCTTCTCATCACTGCAACCTCAGCACTCTGGATGATGGAAATCTCTTCAAGAACTTAACTCTGGACGAACAATTCACTGTTGCTGTTCCACTTCTGAATGGGGGGGCTAAGAGCTCCTGCGAGATGTTTCCAAAACCTCAGTACCAGTATTTGTCGAGATTCAACAGCAGCAATTATTCACAAGCTGTTGAGTGTCAGAACGGATGGGTTTACGACAACAGTACTTTCAAATCTACTATAGCCACAGAGGTAAGAGGGAAACAGAAAAGTCCATGTGTCCAAGTTTAGAATTACTGGAGAATCAACGTGTATCTCAAATATTGACTTTAAATGATGAGGTTAAGGAGCAAAACGCAACTTTTTCTACTTAACTCTATTATGTTGGATTTAATCGATGAAGTCAATTAAGAGTAACTCGATTGCTGTAGTTTCTTAAAACCCTTAAACCCTAAAACCGCTTTCTTCGGGTCAAATATACCCACAACAGTGATTCAAAAGTACCCTAAATCAAACATTTTTTAGCAGAATTTTGATGATATTTCTGACCTTGACCAGCCCTGAGTCATTCAGACCCTAATTTATGTATTTCTCTTTTACTACTAATCCTCTGTGGTGGGTAATCTTATCGTGTTTTCTTTATCAATTTTGACTGTATTTGTCGAAGTAGAACGGATTAACAAATGATTGAAAAACATGTTCCAACCTGATTTAAAGAAGTACATAGAGGAATGAGTGATCCCTTTAGCACAGAATGGGGTGTAGGGTCGGAGAGAGTTTTGGCTTGTGTATGAGTGTGTGTTGTTTTGTTTTGTCCTCTTTGTGTGTAGTTTTGTGTCGTCATCTTGAATGTCTTTGTCGTGTTGAAAGGGTTAGGGGTGGAGTTTGGATGGTTAGTATGCATTTGCACTTTATTTATCCCCGTAGGGAACTCCATTTTTTAAAAAAATTTTAACTGTCTTTTATTCTAAAAATATGCACTACAGGTTTTGATCTTGATTGAGTCTGGATTGATGGAACACTAAAGACTTTGCATTGAACCCAAATGACAGTGTTTTACCTGCAGTGGGACCTGGTGTGCAGCCGAAAAGGAATGAACAAAGCCACGGCTACTTTCTTTTTCGTTGGGGTGATGTGTGGAGCTCCATTATTTGGATATCTGAGCGACAGGTGTGTTGTACAATATGAGACTTTTGGTCAAATAGGCCTAGAAAGGGAACTGACAAAGAAATACCTTGATCTAGAAACCAAATCAGACAAGTTATTTGTTTATTCTATATGCTCAGTGGACATCTATAGATACAGTAATTCCCATCCGATTTTGCCATTTCTTAATATTGTCAAATGCTTAATTGCGTGTTTGTTCTCTCTTTCATTAACAGATTTGGCCGCCGTCGCCTTTTGCTTGTCTCCTACTTCTATTCTCTGATGTTCGCTGTTTTGAGTGCCTTTTCTACGTCCTATGTAATGTTTTCTATCACGAGGTTTTTCACTGGAATGTCCCTGGCTGGAATAAGTATCATTTCTATCGTTCTGAGTAAGTTGGAGTTATGATATTTTGCACAGGCAAAAGTATCAGCCTTAAAGCCAGAGTTTTTCATGACTTTTTTTCCAAAATAAAACAAGTTGTTTGCCCCAACAGTCTTCTCAAAAAATGTTTTGAACAAATAAGACCAATAAGATGCTGTCATTGTATTATTTTTCAAACTTGTAAGAAAGATACTTTGTGCTGAGAACGGATTAGCTGAGTGAGGGTAGTAGTCAAATTAAACGTTATTCATTACAGTATGCATTATATTTAAACCCCCTGAATTTCATTTCTTAGAGTTACTGTAGATGGATTGAATCACATGTTTTTGTGGTTTGAAAGTTAGATACCCCTGCTTTAAGTAAAAGTAAAGAAACATGTATAAAAATCAACTCTGGTGAACACAAAACTACAGCAATCATTCCCTTACTTCAGTAAAATTTTAAAAGTACAATCTCACACTGTACATGTACTAGCAGTTAAAAAAGTTGAATAATTGACAGACAATGGAGGCGACACAGTGACTGAGAGGTTAGTACAGTTACTTCTGGTCGGAACAGAGCCTTTCCATAGTGGAGTTTGCATGTTCTCTCCATCTCTGTGTAGGCTCCCCCCTTATACCCTGGTTTCCCCTACACCTAAATTCTCAGTCCTGATCAGGAGCTGGGTCACGGGAGAGTAAGACCACTGCTCCTGCATTGCAGCAAATTTAATTCGAAACGATAAATAAATCTTGATTATATGATGATTCTTCAGGGTCATATGGTCAAACAAATGTATCAATGTAAAAGAGTGTGTTCACAGTAAAGTGACAATTGAAGTATCTGGACTTTAAAAGGTTATAACTTAAAAACTAAAATTACTTTCATAGATTGGAAAAAAGATTTCAAACACAGACAGATTGAAGAGATAGTGTGGAAAAAATCAAAAGGAAAGATTGACATTAAAATGTTTAGCAACATTTTAAATGACCAAATTAGCCTCTGATTGGACCATTCTACTGTGACGCCAGTTACATAGAAAATAAAATGTCCTCAGTCTGAAAAAGCAGAAGATGAAATCCCACAAGATTTACATGGTTAACACAACAAAAGGAAATCACTTGATATAAAAAGGAATCGTGAATAAATAAAAATTAATTAATTAATTAAATGACCCCTGAAAAATGTATAACGGACGTGATGAGGACGGTCCTCTTTTCTCTAAAAATTAAACTTGAGAAAAAAAAAAATCTGGTCTGTTTTCACATTTAATTGCTTGACAATATGAAAGTATCACTTTGCATCTACTTTGTGTAAAAAAATAGAATCTCTGAATCAAATATGGACATCTGAAAATACCTATCAAACTTCCACAAAGCCCATTCCGTCAAATCATCACGTCCGTTAGATAAAATAAACAGGGCGGCTATAGGAAACGTGTCTAATGTATAAAACACTTATGTTCTAGCAACTTCTAATGGACAGAGGAAGTGCTTGGAAACATGAAAAACATTAAATATCTTCTGATTATTAAAATCTCATTTTTGGCCTTTTGTCACACTTTTGTGCCCTTTAGTGTGAACAAGCCCAAAACTAAATCACAAATGAAGTTGTTTGATTCTAATTGAGTTTATTCATAGAAAATCTGCACCTTATGTACTTACACATATTCTTACACGAGAAATGTATATGGTTTCAAATACTCTACCATCACGGTTATTTGGTTCAGAGTTATCTTTGCCAGACGTCTGTATCTATGGTGTCTCTCTGTTTCAGACGTGGAGTGGTTTGGGATAGAGCACAGGACTTTCTCAGGTATCATCATCAGTTTGGATTGGACCATTGGAAACTGGCTCCTGGTGTTGATGGCCTACCTGGTGACCGAGTGGAGAACGCTCATTCTGGTGGTGTCTTCACCGCTGCTCCTGGCTGTGATTGCATGGAGGTATTTCACACAGGATAGACACTCTGGGATAAAACTGGACCCGTTTTAACTTCAAACTCACACATAAAATAGAATCCAACGTTTAAAATAGATAAATGTTTACAGGGTTTTTGCTTGATTGCAAGTCCATTCTTCTTAAATGTAAGTAAGTAAGTAGCGTTTATTTATATAGCACATTTTTACAGACCAAGGTCGCCCAAAGCGCTTATGTGTGAAATTTGAAAGGGCAATTGTTTAAGTGAGAAGGACGTAAGAAGACTTTAAACCCACAATGTGGCAATACTCCAGTCGGTGAAGTCAACTTAAAAAATTGTGAGACCAATATCCCACACAGACTCATTACATGCAAAGTGACATAATTTAGATTTTGCAGATAAATACATTTTTTAAAGTTTCACCTGTACCCTTTCAGCGCCTACATATTGACCAGGGGACATCTTGGCTGACTTTGGAGTTTGATTTTTCTACTTAAAATCAAAGTAAACAAGTCATTTTAGGCCAAAACTACAGAGTCTCATCTTCACAAAGAGTCCAATTTGTTTGTGTGGCAAATTTTTATTTAGAATTTTTTTTTCATTTTGGAGACATTGTTAAGAAAAAGATCAGTATTTTAGGGGGAAAAATACTTCTTTCCTTTTGTCTTTCTTCTGCGCCTTGTTATAGGTGGCTTCCTGAGTCTGCTCGATGGTTGATGGCGAACGGGAAGACTGACGAGGCCTATTATTATTTAAAGAAATGTGCTGAGATGAACAACAGAGCCAAATGCTTGTCTACACTAACACCAGAGGTAGAGCATTTTAAAACAAAAGGTGTTGTTTTTGTTATGTTTCTGTTGCGTGTTTTGCAGGCATTATTAGAAGTTGCCGAGACAAGAGACAAGAAGTATACAATCATAAACCTTTTTAAAACGCCTGGAATTAGAAAGCTATCTATTTGTTCTGGGATAATGTGGTAAGTGCCTGTTGCTTGACTGTGAAGAAAAACATGCTCCTGTATATCTCACTTTTTTTGTATTTAAAAAGAGGAGACAGTATATTAATGAGATGTAAAGATTATGTCAGATTTATAATAATAATAGGGGGGCGACAGTGGCTCAGTTGGTAGAGCACTGGCCTTTGGGTCTGGAGGTTGTGGGTTCGAGCTAAGTGTACTGGGCGTAGCTCTGACTGCCACCCCCAGACCCAGAAATGGATTAAGGGGAAGAAAATGGATTTTTAATTATAATGCACCTTACAAAAGCGAACACATGTAAGGTGCTACAGCAAGTTAAAAACACATACAAGTACAAACAAGTGAACGCAAGATTATAATGTCCATCTGCTAAACTCATGGAAAGTAGCTGTGAATAACAAATTAAAAATTAAATAAAATTAAATAATAATAAATAAAATTAAATAATAATAAATAAAATTAAATAATAATAAATAAAATTAAGTAATAATAGAATAATAATACAATTAAAAAATATACACAGTAGGCCTACATACCATGTACAAGCACAAACAAGAACTATAAAAAAATAACAAGAAATGTGACAAATGAGTAACAAAAAGACACACCCAAAAATTCAATATTATGCTCATTTATATTGCACATAAATCCTTAGTTTTGCTCTGGTTCTACTGCTGTTTTAACAAGATGCTAGGCTATATGAAATGAAGTAGTTATTGCACATCACTTTTACCAATGGCAGTGATCACATATGTGCATGTCTCATTGGTAATATATTTCAGTAATATAATTGAGCATTAGATTTGTACTTGAGTATTTGCTATATTCATTTTCCAGGTTTGGAGTCGCATTTACATACTATGGAATAAGTCTGAACATCACCGGCTTTGGACTGAATCCTTACCTCACACAGTTTATTTTTGCGTCTATTGAGATGCCTATGAAGATTGGTGTTTATTACTTCTTAGAAAAAATTGGTCGGAAACCTGGACAAATCCTGGCGCTGCTCGCTACCGGGCTTTGTCTCTTTATCAACATATTTATTACACAAGGTAGATTCTATCAGCTTCACAGTATATTGATCGATCTCTTATATATGTCTCGGAATATCAAATTATGATGTTTTTTTGTTTGTTTTTTATTTTTTTCAGATAAATGGCTTGTTCGCACTGTTGTGGGTGTTCTTGGGAAGGCTATGTCTGAAGCTGCATTTACAATTGCATATCTTTATACTACTGAAATCTATCCCACAGTTGTCAGGTCGGAATCAGTAAAGTTAGAAGAATCTTAACATGGATATATTTGCTTTTTAACAGTTTGCTGCACACTCATATTTCAGGCAAAATGGTCTGGGATACACGTCCTTTATGGCACGTATGGGCGTGTCCATCTCTCCTCTCATCATGCTATTGGAGGATGTGTGGCAGCTCCTCCCATCGATCATATACTGTGCAGTGGCGATCACCGCTGGTCTTGTGACCTTCTTTCTACGTGAAACATTGAACCAGAGACTCCCACAATATATTGAGGATATTGAGACACCAAGGTAAAAGCGATGTGACAGAAGTCTGCAGCTGTACATTATTATCCCAATGGAACCCAAAGTTAACCCCCCAGAGGGTCCTTTTTGGCCCATGAAGTCTGAGATTTGTATTAAATGGTTGGTGGTCTGTAGGGCTGGTTGAACAAGCTGGTTTCCTCACCTCTGTCGACCCGTCCCAGCAGTAGTTTATCACCACTGGAGGGTTTGAATAAAGCCATGTGAAGCACCTTTGAGTCTCCAAAAGGCATATAAAAACATCATCAAATCTGTCCAGTGTTATAATTATTTATAATAATAATAATAATAATATTGATAATGTTGATGATAGTAATAATGATAAGGTATTGTGTTAATGCTGCATAAGATTGATGGTGGAACAGTTTGAGAAGCTATGCTGCCTCTTCAGAATCAGAATTAGAATCATTTTTATTGCCACGTAAGTAACAGGAGGTCACAGACTTGGAAATTGCTTTGGCTCAGTGCAACAGTCAAAAAGAGATAATAAAAATAAGAATAAAAAACACTTCTAAAGAATAAATTTAAATTTAAAATAGAGTTACAGTTACTATTTACAATATACAAGTGCACATGGTGCACACAATGTAAGGTGACAGCAGTACAGTGAAGTAAAGTGACGTATGATGGGCAGTAAAGTGACTTTATAAAGGGCGGGGGGACAGGTTAAGAAGTGTTCAAGAGTCCAACAGCAGAGGGGAAGAAACTGTTCTTGTGGCGGGAGGTTCTAGTCCTGATGGACCGCAGCCTCCTGCCTGAGGGGAGTGGTTGGAATAGTCCATGTGCAGGGTGAGAGGGGTCGGCTGTGATACGACCAGCCCGGCCTCGAGCTCGGGCGACGTACAGGTCCTGCAGCGATGGAAGGCTGCGGCCGATCACTTCCTCTGCAGAGCACACAATGCACTGTAGTCTCTGTTTGTCCCTGACTGTGGCTCCAGCGAACCACACGGTGACGGAGGAGGTGAGGATGGACTCGATGATGGCCGTGTAGAACTGCACCAACATCTGTGCAGGCAGCTTGGCTTTCCTGATCACACATTTTTACAATATAAGTAACGTCCGCCCAGAGGCAACTGGAATCCTAGTGAAAACAGAATAATTAATGAAACTGTAAAGAAGATAGTGATTCGAACACTCATCTTCATCCCCTTTCTGCATTTATGGGTCAGGAGGTGGCAATAAGAGCTGCACCCAGTTCACAGAGCCCCGTCCCTGGTCCTCCTGCAGGTGGTGAGTCCACAGGAGGACGGCTGCTTAATGCACTTTAATGTACTAAATGTACAAAAAGTATTTTTTTTCCTGGTCCAAAAGCACATTTTGGGGAGTCAACATTAAGAAGCCTGGACTAGCCATTCTTTGCTGATGTAGATGCTTACATGATAATGACATGTCTATTTTTCAGTGGTAAATCGGCTGAAGAAAACTAACTACACCTGCAGGAGATCACAGATGATCAAGAACAGACAGTTTTAAGACGGATATTTGTTTTCAAATAAACACTGATGGAAACCTAATTGTTTTGACATTTCTCCCATTTCTGAGCTGATTTTAAAAGCAAATGCACAATGAACGTGGCTGAGTTTAAGGCCCATATAGTTTAGCAAATGCATTCATTTATTTTCAAGGCGTGGCACAAATATAAAGAAGTTGGTGCAAACACTAATATGCAAGTTGAGGCACAACCAGGACATATTTACAGGTTGTTACATAATGCCTTGATGGCTAAAGAACAGATTTATGTTGTCTGGAAGTTTTATTCCAAATAAAATGAGCAAAGGTATGGATAGATTGAAGCTGAACTAGTCCAAAGGCATCGGCCGATAAATGGTTTATCTTCATTTCCTGCAGTCAGCATCATGCTCCCTCAGATCCATCAGACGTCTGTGGCATTGTACTATGATCAAACTGAATGTGTGTGTTACTGTAGCCAGCAAAAGCACAACTGTGCAATATTGAGAGCTAACTAGCATCTTGACAGGCACCTGTTTTGATGTAGAAAATAAAATAAAGTACTGTTTATTATGATTGAGTTCAGCTCAAGAAATGTTTGTTATCTGCTTTGAAACTTAGTCTCACTGTAAATGAAGTTGGTCTAAAAAGCCAATGCTTGTTCCAGGTTCCAAGCTTAGCTGATGGTTATTTTATTCTTTAAAATATAAGAAATTAGTTACAGGCTGCATTATCCAAAGACAGTTGACACTGACAAAGAAGCATTCTTCATGAAAAGAGGTTTCAACTTCACTGAGGATTCTCTGGTTTAATGAATCTTTATCAAAATACTTGATTGAACTGTTGGTGGTATGAGCAGTGGTATCCAAAATCAATTGCGTCCAATTTTATATGGCCCTCTGCCTTGCTCACAAAAAGTAACCATTAAGACTATAATATAACTTTGGCTTTGCAAACATAGACATATTCTACTTCTTTGGGAAGCTCAGGATTTCTGAAATCCAGACGTTATTTGACTGTACAGACATTTCGTTTGGATTGTATTAGTATGATGCTAATGTATCTGGTGAGTAAAATATAGACATGTCATTCTTCACTGACTTCATAATAAAGCTCCGACCAGCCCAAATCTTGTCGATCTATGCTGTCGGCCCATGGACTATTTTGTTGAACTAAAGTGGCCCTCTTAGTATAAAGTTTGGACACCCCTGACATAAAAGGTGCAGCAAGGAGGAGTAAAGTGCCCTCTGTGCTCGGCTCTTGTAAAGCATTACGTGCAGCTGCAGACGCCTCTGACTGGTCGATCACTTGGCTGCATAGTCACCTTCACCTGATGATACCCCGGGCATCTTTTAATCATGAAGTTTGACAATATCCTGGCTGAGGTGAACGGTTTTGGTAAATTTCAGATCAGGACTGTCCTACTGTTGGTTATCGCGAGACTTACTTTGCCTTTTCACTTCATTTTGAACAATTTCATTTCGGCTGTGCCAGGACACCATTGTGATACGAGAAGTTTGGATGACAGTGAGACTTTTACAAATTTATCTCTGGCTGAGAAGATTCAGGTCACTATCCCTGTCCGTGAAGATGGAGAACTTAACTCATGTGAAATGTTTGCAGAGGCTCAATATAGATTTTTGTTTAACTTTACAAACGTAAGCAGTGCTTTAACGGTGCCTTGTCAGAACGGATGGGTCTATGACAAGACGACCTTCAAGTCAACTCTAGCCACTGAGGTAAATGTAAATCTTTGTCTCATATTCATAGCTTTATTTACCAGCGTTCAACTGTTTAATAGTGGGATCTTGTGTGTGACAATGTCCAACTTAACAAAGCCATTGTTACAATCTTTTTTGTTGGAGTAACGCTTGGATCAGCAGTGTTTGGATTTCTCAGTGACAGGTTTCATTCAAACACGCATGTTGTTGTATGTTATTTCACACAATCAATGTGATACAAATTTGTTTTCTAGATTTGGACGGAAGAACATGCTTCTATTGTCATATCTTGTAACGACCATATTTGGATTTGCCAGTGCATACTCCAATCATTTTGTGGCATTTGCTATAACAAGATTCTTCACTGGATGTGGACTGGCAGGAATCAGTATTATCACAGTAGTCCTCTGTGAGTTCAACTTTTTCCTTTTTTGGGAGAAAATATTTGTTTAAATCACTGTATATTTTGTCATTCCAGGTGTGGAATGGGTGGATATCAAGCATCGAACATTTGTGACTGTGTTGCTGAGTTTGGACTGGAGTTTTGGGATGATTTTGTTACCTCTGATCGGATATTTCGTGAACGACTGGAGGAATCTTATTGCCGCAACAACATGTCCTCTATTTGTGGCAATGATCTGTTGGTGGTATGTCAAACTAACCAACTGCACTTTCATGAAAGCTGGAGTAACTCATTTACTATGTGTTTGATAAATACAGTTTGTTTTGTGGTTTCAAAGTTAGGTACTCCAGCTTGAATTTATTAGTTGAGCAAAAATATCCAAATAGTGGCCATCCAGGTTGATTACTATTTTTTTTCTCCTCAGTACAATATAATACTCCTATGTGACAAAATAAAGGTGATTGTAGATTAGCTCATCATCCAGTATTGCAAAGGATGACATTTCTTTTCAAGGTATTGTGCGGCTATTTAGGGCGGCACTCTCGCTTCTCAATCTCCCGGTCAGAACAGGGCCTTTCTGAGTGGAGTTTGCACGTTTTCCCCGTGTCTGCGTAGGTTTTCTCCGGGTGCTTCGGTTTTCCCTACCACTAAAAACATGTACAATAGGTCTGTCACGCGCCCCCTGTACTGGTGACCTCGCTCCCTTCTCTGTGTGGAGTGAGAGGACAAATGCCCACACACAAAAAAAAAATTGTAAACCGCTTTGTGAGTCTGGTCTGTGAAAGGCGGTATATAAATAAAGATTACCTACTTACTTACTTATTGTGCGGTTTAGATGTCCCATGCTGATTGGAAACATGCATCTGACTGGTGAATTGTTTACAGTCAGACCCATAAATATAGAGACATAAACACGATGTGTAAATAGTGCCACATGCAGAGAAACTTTGATTTACTGACAGTATCGCATCCTAACAAGGTGCACAATGTAGTAATGTCTCTGTGTGTGAAGGGCCAAAAGTACTGGAGAAATCCTCTGTTCAGATGATCCATGACCATTGTGTGTGTTTTTATTTTCATTTTTATACTGAAGAAAATAGTACTGCCTTGAGTATATTGTTAGGATGATGATTTGCACTTTGACCACAGTTGCTTCAAAGTATCATGAAAAATCCAAATACATACAGACATATACTCAACTATGCACCAAATCAGTCTCTTACAAGGGTCTTGGGGCATGAATGTATTATGTCTGGAGCTCTCCCCTCTGAAATAAAATAAGATGTATGGCAGTAATTCCTGCATCTAACTGCATTTTCAGATGTTTTAGGCAACTCAAGAATTAGTTTTTGTTTTCTTTTTTTTTTTTTAAACAAGCCTCACATGGGATTGTAGTTACTAAAAGTATTTAAAAAAATCTCAATAATTGCATGTAAACATTTAAAATCAAATGAACCTCTTTATGTGTTTTTTTCCTTTTATCAAATATAAACTTGAAAAAATGAAATAATAAATAATGACAATACAGCTGTTCAAGTGATGGTGGTCACGTAGGAAAAAAATATTGAATGAAATTACCTTCAACACTGATATTACTTTGCCAATTTTTATGTTCTAATATAAAGTCTTGAATGTGTTTTTATATATTTATTTCAAGGAATGGAACTGTCTGTGCTCTTCAAGTAGTTGTTCTAGTTGGTGATATGTTGGATGAACTGCAGGATTTGTTCTGTTTCGGCAATAAACAGTCAGTTTTTTGTTTTTTTAATCAGTTTTTGTTTTATAAATGGGTATTTTTTTGAGTAGTTTTTAAGGGGGGAAAGGAATAAAACAAAAACACAGGTCCAGGGCAGAAATCTGTACACCTCTGTTCCACTGTTAATGGTATTTTAAAGTAAATGAATGAATGAAGTGAAATATTATGCAGAAGCCAAGTCAATCACCAAACCTATTTCTGTCAGAGCAGTAACCGGCAGAGCATCACCATGGCCTTAAAAAGTGGGACAGTAGATATTACAATACTATTATTATTATTATTATTATTATTATTATTATCATCATTACCATTATCATTATCATTATTATTATCATTATTAATATTATTATTATTATTATTCTCATTATTATTATTATTATTCTTTTTATTATTATTATCATTATCATTATCAGTATTATTATCATTATTATTATTATTATCATTATCATTATTATCATTATTAGTATTATTATCATTATTATTATTATTATTATTATTATTATTATTATTATCATTATCATTATTATTATTATCATTATTATTATTATTATCATTATCATTATTATTATCATTATCATTATTATCATTATCATTATCATTATCATTATCATTATTGTTATTGTTATTGTTATTATTGTTATTATATCCAGACACAGACACAGACTCTACACTGTTCAGCTGACCTGAACACATTTTCATATCAGTTGTGGCGGTGTAAAGAGGCAAAATTATTTTCAAATATTAATGGACTGTAAAACAATGTTCCAGGTGGGTCCCCGACTCGGTCCGATGGTTGATCAGCAATGGGCAGGTGAAAAGGGCTCACTACTATCTGAGCGTGTGTGCTAAAGTGAACCACAGAGAAGAGTTTATGTCCGACCTAAAGCCAGAGGTAATCCTCAATTTCTCTTTGTCTATTCACAAATATAACATGCATTTTCTCTGTTTGAAGGTTCTGGGCAAAGCAATCATTGTTGAAGATGAAAACAGAAAATACTCCTATGTGGATCTTGTAAGAACGCCAAGATTGAGGAGACTGGCACTTTTCACCGGCATTCTCTGGTTTGTGCACAAAACAAAGAAATGGGTGAAATCTGGAAATACCACAATGTAATGCTTTCGCTCCTAGGTTTGGACTGGCATGCAGTTATTATGGGATGAGTTTGAATATTGCAGGATTTGGTGTCAACATTTATATCACACAGTTTATCTACAGTGCTATCGAAATTCCAGCTAAACTGATTGTTTTTTTCACTGTGGAGAGAGCGGGCCGGAGGTTCTGTCAATCAGGGATGCTCTGTATGACAGCGCTGTGTCTATTCATCAGCATTCTCATACCCAAAGGTGCGACAACAAACAAATACACCACACACACCTACATCTGTGTTTGTGTCTCAACCAATAAATGTGTGGTATTTTGATTGTAGAAAAGGCGATTCTTCGAACTGCTGTAGGAGCACTGGGAAAAATGTTCTCAGAAGGAGCATTCACGTGTGTTTTTCTGTTCACAACTGAACTTTACCCCACTGTTCTGAGGTCAGTGAGGTTTTTGTCACGTTAAAAAATTCAAAATTTGATCATGTATTGCAGGGGTGTCATTATCGACCCATGACACCTTTTTGGCCTCTAAAAATATTTCAAACTATTATTGTAGAATAGAACAGAATATCATTTCATTGTCTGTTCATTTGAGCAGAGATTTGTCTTTCAACACGGCACATTTAAAGATAATTCATTAAAACACATTATTAATTAAATGGAAATCAGTTTTTAGGGCTATTATTGCACATCATTAAAGCTAAATATCATCTGGGAAAAAAACATTTGTCTTCTAAAGCTGTGATTCCTAACTAATTCCTAATTGATTCATAAAAAATGCAGTTTGTTGTGACAGAAGAAACTGTTGTGAACAATTCAGACCACAGCATGATGCCTCTGTTTTTCACTTTTCTGTCCAAAAAAGCTGATCTAATGATGTGATGGAGTGAAATAATACCTGCATGTGATTGCCCATTTTTGTCACTAATTTCATTGTTAATTTTGACGCTAATTAATATCATAAAATTTGAACATTTAGTAACGGTTATAAAAATATATAATTGGTTGACAAGAATCCCTTTTTGATTGTAGCTTTTGTTAAATTCAAACTCTTTGTCCAGAAAGATATCACACATACAATTTCAAAATATGCAAAGTTTTGTCAAAGAAAATTAATCCTTTTGTCAAAATACCAATGTAATGCAAATAGAGAATTTGAAAATAAATAAAAAATGCAGCGTATTTTTGTATGTCCCCAGAAAAAAATAGTTGGACAGCCCTGACCTATAGGGTTATAAAATAGTATCTCTTAGTACTGTTATCATACTGTTAGTAGAAATATAATGACACCTGAAATGAAATTACTATGGCAACAATACATAACCAGTCTCACGACAGTCTAATCCCAGCTCACGTTCCCTATTAGTGGGTGCACAATCCAACTTGGTGAATTCTGCTTTACAATGGCCGTAAATAATAAAAAAATTGTAAACGTTTGCAGGCAGAACGGTCTGGGCTACAGCTCCTTCATGGCTCGTATCGGTGTTTCAATATCACCGATGATTTTGCTCCTGGAGGACTTCTGGGCACATTTGCCGAACACTGTGTTCTGCATTTTAGCCTTGGGGGCAGGCACTGTGGCTGCTTTTCTTCCTGAGACCAGAAACGCACGTCTCCCAGAAACTATTGAGGATGTGGAGCAAACCAGGTGATGGTCCTCTCCAGTGTTTTATGAAGAAGATGTCGTGGAAAAGTACATATTTGTGAATCTGTGTGTACGGCGGAAAGTGGAACAATCTATTGGCTCTCATGTTTCACAGCCAGAAGGTAATGGGTTCAATTCCACCACCAGATGGGGTCTTTCTGGAGTGTGGAGTTTGCATCTTCTCCTTGTGCCTGTGTGGGTTTCCTCCAGGTGCCTAGTTTTCCTCTACCACTAAAAACATGTACAAAAGACCTGGAATGTGACCGGCTCTCATCACAAAGGGCAGTCGACTAAACTTTTCCACATTATTGATATCATTTTTATTCTGTGAGTAAAAACACACTTCACTCTTTCATTCAAGTGGCTAAGTCCCAGTAGCTATAGCACTTTTTGCCTGCTCCTCTCACCTATTAAGGATGAAAGCATTTTCCTTGGCTTTTTCGTTTGAATGGAGCGCCCGGAGGAAACCCACCCAGACCTGATGAGAAACATGGAAAGTCCACGCAGAAAGGCCCAGCCCACACAAGAGTTGAACCCACGATCTTCTTGTTGTGAACCATGAGTGGGGTGGGGGAGTGAGGGGTCAATATTGGGGTATTGAGGCATTAGGGAAATGGCAAAAACAACCTATAGCATGAGAACTTCTGCAGCTTTAACTGCAGACAGTGAAGAAATAAAAGTGTTTTGTCTTTTTACATTCGGTATCCACTGGAATTTCTTTAGCGCTGTACAAAATAATGATCTTTCTGACCATGAGGGATGAAAAATATGTTTTGAATATTAGTTGATGCAAAACATACCTAATTGTTTGTTCATTATTTCAGGAGACGATCACTCTGCACTTTGGATGGTAATCTTTTGGAAGTTAACAACAAGACCAAAAATTGAATCAACTGATGTCACTATAATGACACAATAAATATTTCAATAAAGCTGTTTATTTCTGTTCTTTCCTCGACCTCTGGAAATTCACAGTGCCTCTTGAATGTACTATTACAGCTTGAGCCACACAAGTTTTCATGCGGGTGCATTACATTTCTTGTGGAACATTCAAATTGACTGCTGAATTTTCAAACCTGACCCTAACCATAGAGCTCACTTGTGTTTAATCCACTCCTAGTAAACTAAACAGCATCATAAAGGCCAAGGAGCACAGCAGAGAGGTTAGGGATGACGTAGTGGTGAGGTTTCAAGCATGGTTAGGTTTCCCGAGCTTTCAATGAGAATGTGTAACAGGAACTGCTGAGTCTGTACAAGTGTCACTGATAATTCACTAGTAACTTTGTCACTAGTCACTTTACCTGTTGATATTTGACTGTATTATTACATATCTATCTGATAATTCTCCCATTCAAGTCACTTTACCTGTTGTTTTCATTTCTGATGTTTATTCTGCTCATATTCATATTCTCATATTATCTGCGGCTAATGTATAATATAGACATCTGTTAATACTTCCGAACCAAGTGCAATTATACCCCAGAGTTTATCTTATTTTATTTTTATCTTTTTAACTCAATTTGATGTGTGCAATCTGAGTGCTCTTATTTCCTCTCTCTGCTGTAATGTGCGCAACGATGACACTGAAATTGCTCCACTGCGAGGCAAATAAAGGTTTATCTTATCTTATTTTATCAATATCTCACCGAGCTCTGTTTAATCTATTGTCTGGAAATGAAAAGAGTATAAAACAACTGCAAATCTACCCAGACTCTGCTCAAACTTACAGCTCCAACAAGGACAACACTGATCACAGATGCAGCCACGAAGCCAATGGTTACTCTGGAGAAGCTGCAGACATCCACAACTCACTTTGGGGAATCTGAACATGGGCAAATATGAGTCATGCACATTATGAATGAGCAATAATAGGTTTGTTTGAGATAAAACCACGAGAAGAACAGTGTGGGTCACATTCGACAGGTGGAAGAAGGTGCTGTGGAGAATGGAACTCTTTGGCTCAAGTCCAGAATATTATCCAATCCAATCTACTGTATTCATATAGCACATTTTATAAAAAACTTTTCCACACAGATGCTGCACAGATAAAACTTTTTTGAAAAGCGCTATATAAAACCAATGTATTATTATTATTATTATTTTTTTTTTTTTTTTTTTTTTAAACTAACAGGTTAAGATATACAAGTCTGCCAGCTTTAAATAAAACAATTAAAGTAAGGTAAAGAAAAATTCAAATGGAGCAATTAACTGTAACATATATTACCTTAAAACAAAACAAAAAATAAAAACATAAAACAATAAAATAAATAAAATAGAGGACCACACAACTCACGCGGTGTTAAAAGCCAGAGCGTATAAATATAGGGGTGGCAGCATCATGTTGTGGGGCAGCTTTTCTCCTGGGAGGACAGGGAAGAATGTTGAAGTTGGGGCGTTCCATGGAGCAAAATAATCTACATTATGGATCAAAAAGGTTCAGAAGCTCAGGATTCCACTTTGTAATAACTCTGCTGTACTTGTGCAAACCTCAAGGTATAATTTGTTTCTTTCGTTTTGCTTTCACATCACAGTTGTTTGCTATTTTGTTGTGGTCTTTAGGGATAACTAATACAATATTTATGGAGTTGTAAAAGGACAAAAGATGCAGAAATTCAAGCTGTATGAATACCTTCACAAGGCTTCACTGTAAACAAAATTTATACAAGACTTATACGCGTCAGTCAGGATGTTTGGAATGTCTCCCTAGTGTAACTCCTGCCAGGGCAAACTGCTCTGATTCTCTCTGATCTCTGATATGTTATTATGTACCACTACTGTATGTCCATATAACTAAGTGTGTCAATGTGTAACCTGTTTAACTGTACTGAGTCACTAGGAAGTGCCAGAGTTTGAACTTGAGTGTAGGGCAGTTCAGGAAAACCAATTTCAGAAAGAGGATCCCACACTTGGCACCATGGTAAAGTTTGAGGACCTTCTGTGCGACATCAACGGCTTTGGGAGATTTCAGATTATGATCATTATAATAAGTTTTATTGGTCGCTTCACCATGCCCTGCCACTTCCTGCTCAATAACTTCATAGCAGCTGTTCCTGCTCACCACTGCGACTACAGCCATTTGGACCACAGTGACAGATTCATGAATTTATCCCAGGCGGAGAAATTAGTTGTTAGTATTCCAGTAGAAGAGGATGGGAATCCAAGCTCTTGTAGGATTTTCAAAGAGCCTCAGTATCAATTGCTGGAGAATTCTTCAATTATGAGTTGCCCTGATGTGTCCACTGTACCCTGCCCTAAAGGATGGATTTATGACAACAGCACCTTTAAATCTACTCTTACATCACAAGTAAGATCACGTTTCTATCTTCATTGAAATGCATTCATCAGTAGAGTGAGATACAATTGCTTTACAGTGATTATTTGATTGTGCCGACCGTATAATGATTGATTTTTTAACTTATTACACATAACGGTGAAACTAAAAAATGTATACCATTCAAAATACTCAAAAAACGTATTTCTGTGATTCAACTGTAAATCAATACATACTTTAGACACATTAGAAAGTGGTGTATGAATAGCCTTTGTTTGAGGTGAGGGTTTTTTAAGCTGTAAGATAATTGTCAATATTAACAAAATAATATAACAAATAAAGGCTTGATATATCTCATTTTGTGTGTAACGACTAATGAGTCTGTTATATATAAGTTAGTTAGATCCCCGTAGGATAAATTCAGTTGTACAGAATTTCTGATTATTCTAAAAAGCTAATAATAAGTAACATCACTTCAGGTCACAGCAGCAGAGATGGAGTAGTGTTAGTTTTACAGTGTAAGTTGAATTACACACCAGACGAGATACAATGTGGGTGAAGTGTCTTGCCTAAGGACACAGTGATAGTGAAGAAGATGACAAAGCAGCCTCTCCGTCGCTAGAGGTCTGACGGGTATTGGCTTTCACACAGACAGATAGATACATTGATAGATACTTTATTGATTTCAGGTGTCCAGTAGCAGCAAAAATAAAAAAATAACATTACAATCAGATATCATGCACCACAATGGACTTTTTCCACAATATTCTACTTTTCTGAGTTTCACCTGTACAACAGAAGAATAGATCCTGGTCTGTGAAAGGCGCTATACAAATAAACTTAACTGAATTACTTACTTACATACATGATATAGAAGTGTGTGTTACTAGATGATACACAAAGAAGAAGATTATTTCACCAATATATCTTATAAAACTGCACTTATAATTAAAGTCATTTTATATTTGTTAATGAAGTCGTTTCACTTTTCCCCAGTGGGACCTGGTGTGCGATAAAAGAGGAAAGAACAAGGCAACGGCTACAATCTTCTTTGTTGGAGTTATGTTTGGAGCGATGACTTTTGGTCTTTTAAGCGACAGGTAACAATGAATTACCACCATCTCATGCACTAACAAAATGTGTGGTGTAAAATAGCGTTTCTATGTGTGTGTTTGAGGTTCGGACGCAGGATCACTCTGCTGCTGTCCTATGTGTCCGGGATGCTGTTTGCTGTCGCCAGTGCCTTTTCCACAACCTACCTCATGTTTGCAGTGCTCCGATTCATGACTGGCTTTTGCATCACTGGGATTGTCATTGTTTCAGCTGTGCTCAGTAATTATACACAACGGACAGATTTCCTAGAGTGTATATTGATGTAATAGAATCCTTTCCATTGCAGGTGTGGAATGGGTTGATATTGAGCACAGGAAGTTGGTGGGAGTGATCGACAGCCTGTCATGGACGTTTGGGAACACGGTCTTTGCACTCATCGCATACTTTGTGAGGGATTGGAGATGGCTGATCCTAAGTGTGACATCACCTGTGCTCTTGGGTATCATCACCTGGAGGTAGGAGTCAATGTTTCTGTTATTTGATGAACGGCAAACTGACAGTCTGGGGTGTACTTCACTCAATGTAGGCGTTTTCCAGGCAGGTGTTGCAGATTTGAAAAAACTTCATTTCTCATTACCTTACAATCCTTATAGATCCATAATTTTGACCCTTTTTACTTCAAAGTACCGCTGCTGGACTTACAGACAGTTTTGCACCTGCTCATCAGGGGGCGGAGCTGTCTCACGTCCAAAATTGCCGGTGACAGAACAGTAGGAATGAGGAAGAACCTAGATCCATGGGAAGAACCATAGACTGTAAATATTATTGAACAACAACTAAAACTAAATTAAAAAATATCTCTAACTTAAGCAAAATAGGGATGCAAATCTATAATATCCAACTTTAGCATAATGAAGAAACAAGAATTGTGTACAAAACTTCTGCCTTTTTCATATCAAAGAAGAAGAAAGTACAAAATACTGTATATTCTAGACAGAAATATATAGTTGTATGTGTACATGTGTATAAGTAAGGTAACAGTGAACACATTTATTTTATTTTCTGATAGGGACAATGCATATTAATGAACATCAGTATAAAACAAATGTAAATATGCCGGAATATAGCTAGCTAGTTTTCATCCGCAGACCCTAGGCAATACATAGGAATACATAGGAATACATAGGAAATGACAACAAACAATACAAAAAAAATACAAAACAACACAACACAATACAAACAGCACATGTGATTTTATACTGTGTACTTATATTATTAAAGTTATTATAGCACAGATGAGTAAAGTAAAGTAAAGTAAAGTAAAGTGTCCATCCATCCATTTGCTGCCCTTTAATCCATTTCTGGGTCAGGGGGGTGGCCAGAGATGCCACCCAGCACACATAGCACCAGCCCCAGTGGACACATGTGGTTTCATAATGCACATTCTGACATTAGTTTAAGTTATTGCACAAATGCACAACATGTGAGGTCAGGTCGTCAGTTTGTTAGTCCTCATTGTTTGTTGTACAGTCTGACAGAAGCAGCGAGGGTGAATAAACTATGGCTTGGTATACGTATGTTTATATTAGTTTAATTTCACATTTTCATTGGTATGATGGAAATAAATGAACTTTGGAACAATATTCTAATTTTCCCAGTTTCACCTGTATATAAAAACATTTATCTTTGAATCAGATGGATGCCTGAATCTGCCCGATGGCTCATAGCAAACGGGAAATTAACTGAAGCTCAAAAACACTTGAAAAAATGTGCCAAAATGAACAACCGAAAAGAATCACTACACATGGTTACTCCAGAGGTAGGTTCACATTTATTCTCAAGTTTAGAGGAAAATATTGACAATACGTTTTGGTTTCAGGCTTTGTCGTGTATAGTAGTGACTGAAAAAAGAGATCGCACCTACTCCTATATGGATCTCATACGAATCCCCAAATTGAGGAGCTTGGCCTGTCGAACTGGGTTATTATGGTATGTACAGTACAACCACAGTGGCATAGGATGTTTATAACGATGATGACAAATTGTGGAAAATATGTTCTAGGTTTTGTGTAGCAAATGCTTTTTACGGCATCAGCTTTAACATCACTGGGTTTGGTCTCAACATGTATCTAACTCAATTCACCTACGCGATTGTTGAGTTGCCAGCCAAAGTATCGGCTTACTTCTTATGGGACAGAATTGGCCGCCGTCCTGTTCAAGGCGGGGCACAGTTTTTGGTTGCGCTTTGTCTCGCAGCCAATATTTTTATCCCAAGAGGTAACCAGCATATACAAGTTCAATTAAGAATGAATTATAAAACACTGAATTGTTTTTTTGTTTTCCAGATATGGCTGTTTTTAGAACAGTGATGGCAATTATAGGGAAAGGGTTTTCTTCTGCAGCCTTTGGCACACTGGTGTTGTACAGCTCTGAGCTTTATCCCACTGTGCTGAGGTTGGTTGCCTGCCTTATTCTTACACAAGATACAGAGATCAATAATATCCACCTCTACCAACTTCAGACTGACGCATTTGAAACAACAATCTTTGAATGCGTCAGTCCACCTTCTCAATAATGTTAGATATAGTTAAAAGTAAAAAAGGTGAGTGCTGCAGAGGGGACGTGTGGTAGAAGGCAATAAAAACAGGTGCTCTTCGAAGACGGGGCAATCTAAGCATGTAGAAAGTCAGAAGAGAAAAAAGGTAGTCTGAGGCACTCTGTTTTAGTGAAAAAATTAAAAGTCCTTTAATGAATTGGACTGCCTACACGTTGTTGATATAATAATGTTAGATATAGGTTGATAACTTACATACAACGCACATATAACTGTCTTAATCTTTTTTGTTTACCCTAAATGCTTTGACTCTTTACTGCTTTCATAAACAATGAAAGAAGTCAAGAGTCAAAGCATTTTAGAGTAATAAAAAAAAGACTCAAGAATGTATTTTCCATTTGCAGTAAAACCACATTGGAAAAACTGAGCGACTATCCCCAGAGTGCCATGTAAAGGAATTTTCTTCCCTTAATCCATGTTTGGGTCGGGGGGGTGGCAGTCAGATCTGCACCCAGTACACTTGCACCAGCCCCTCACTGATCCTCCTGCAGGTGGGGAGTCCACAGGAGCTGAGATCTTTCAGCGGGGGCTTCAATTATTCTTTCTGTAACTAAATACAATGTATTGTGTTCTTTTAAGAATTACATTGGAGGAAACTTTTTTCCACTATGTACATTAACAGATCTTTAATCAGCGTGTCTTAAGAAATGCACGCGTTTACTGAAATAGATGTACTATGCCTTAGAATCTATGATAGGTGCAGAGTCTCCCTTTTGCAGATCTAACCTGCACTCATAGAAACAAGTGCCTCAGCATATCCTTACATCATTTTTTAATTCCAAAAAATTGGTGGTGGGAATATAATAAAAACAACTTTACGGTTAGATCCTAATATACAGAGCAGCTCATCGCAAATGCATTGGGAAGTTCATCAAGTGGCCTTATTTTTGATACATCAGAGGATTTAAAGGTCAAAAGTTTGTTAAATAATGTATGCGTCTAATTTAAAACTGATGTTGTTACCAGGCAGAACGGCATGGGCTACAACTCGTTCATGGCTCGTCTGGGCGTGGCACTTGCCCCCTTGGTCCTGCTCCTGGAGGACGTGTGGTCAGAGCTGCCCCAGGTCGTGTTGTGTTGTGTGGCTGCAGTGGGAGGTCTGGTGGCAAGAACCCTTTCTGAAACCCGCAACCGGTGTCTCCCAGAAACCATAGCAGATATAGAGAAGCACTGGTAGTAAACCTCATGTCAGCCCAGTTCAGGGAATCATTTTAGTACATCATAAATCTGATTCTCCTACAATCTCAACGCTCCATTATTAAAACGTTAAATACTATTTTGTATTTTGTTTTAAAAACATTACAATTCTCAAAAAGTGTCATTTGATTCACTTTATTAAATTGTCATTTTTTCAGATATTTTACACCTCCAAAATGGTAAAGGATTGTGAAATCAAGAGCTTCAGCTTTTTTATTTAAATAAATGAAACCAGTACTGAATAACTCATGACTGAAATTAATGTTTTAAGTAAAGTTGATCACCTCAATTTTTTTTTCAAACAGAGCTAAGCTGAGAAGTTTAATCCGACATTATATACAATTACAGAAATATTGTTTATGGGGTACAGAAAGAGAAATATATAAAAAAAAGCAACATTACAGTGGGACAATGACACAGATCTAAAACTATTAGTTAGAGGTGGGACGAGACAATTGTCATGAGACAGGCCCAAAGATAAAGATATCTGTTTTGAAACACGTTTGACCTTGATCATGTTTTTATTTATTTATGTTAGATGCATTGTGTCTACAATGTATAACATTATTTTTTTATATATTTGGTTAAGTTAGTTTAACTCACTTTATCCTATTTTCTTACATCTAATACCCCTTCACATAACATTTTAAACATTCAATTTGCAGAATGTTCAGTTGCATTTTTCATCACTGTTGACTTCTTACTACAACAGTTGAAACACATGCTGGCCTTTCATGCAGTCCAAAAGGTGTTTGATGGAAACCAAACTTTGCCAAATGATTCTTTAGATTTGCAGTCTCGTGACATACGATCTCGTCCCATCCCTAAAACCTATGGTATGTAATTCTCCTTAAGCCACTTTGTGGCAACTTGTGTTTAGTACTGAGAATACTCTTTGCACTCTAGTTTGGCAATGATTCTCTCCAGTTGTCGTTTGGCCTCACATTGAGGAAAGTTACTCATTTCGTAGTACTGAGGGGCGATCTTCACCAACCTGCAGACACAGAAAAGTTAGAAATACGATTTATTTCTTTTATGATTGTATTGTGTTGTGTTGTGGGGAACATACCATTCAGGCTTGATATCTGTGCAAGTGCGAATATAGTTCTTGGTAGTGAGGACAAACTCATTGTAGAGCACCCACTCTGGCTTGTGGTCCAGTACTGTGGAGGGGTGTAATTGGACAACCTGGTTGTCTTTAACAGTGAGGTAATGTCCAGTTCGCTCCAAATGAGCTACCTGTTTCAACAAGAAAACATTTGATGTTTATTACCCATTGGACTTTCACCGTTTTCCACAGTGTGCACTGACCTGCATGAAGAAGCCAGTGCAGAGCGCTCTGCGGATGTTGATGTAATAGTCTCTGCTGGTGAACTCTGTGCTTCGACGAGGCAGGTTGAAACGATCCATGATACGAGAAAGCTGTTGTCGAACGTTGTCAGCGGACATCAACGAGCGGTAATTTACAAAGTTGTCGTAGCACCACTGGTTTGCCTCGTGGTCTGAGATGAAGAGGAGCATTACATTTGGTTAAACAAAGAGGGCAGAAATCAACTTTTAGTAGAACCTGGAAGTCATCCTTACTTTGTTTGAATGCATGATAAACGTTGAGCAATGTCAGATGGTCTCCGTCAATGTGAGCAAATCTCATCTTAGACTCGTCTGCAGCCTTCTTAGCCTCCGTGGGGCGGACAAAACACTGTGGGACTAAACAAGGTTGGTATGGGCCCCAACAAAGCCGCCCATAGTGATGAGTCAAACATTCATAAAAAACACAGAAAAGCCAATATGCTAGGCACTGGGCACACAGTTGGGACAGCGCGCTAGTACAGGCACAATCTGATTTTTTTTTCATGTTGAATCATTTAAGGCTGGGGCCTGAACATTTAAGTTATTTAAATCCTTTTGTCATAAAAGGGATGATATTATTCAGTTATGTTACAGCTTTATCTAAATCAAACTAGTTGAACAATTAACAGGTGTGAAGAAGATGGATGACTACACGACAGCTAGGGTTGAGACTCCTTTGGCATTGCATGCATTTTGCTGAAATCATATCTTTACACATCAGTTCCCACTTTACTTGAAATACCGTTTAGTGACCATTTCTTATACGAAGAAAGATTGAATGGTAATAAAAAGGATTCATGTTCATACAATCATGTTGATACATTACAACTATAAATAAGTGTATGACTATACGTGACACACAAACTGGCTCACATTTCACTACAAGTTGTTTTAGTAACTTTTTTAAAATGTGGAGAACATGCATACAACAATGATTGTGCCAAAAGTGCCAATTTAGTTTAGATTAAATATCTACTTCCTCACTTCACCTTTTAAAATCAGATACCCCAGCTTTAAGTTTAATTCTAAAATTGTTTCATGATTCATCTATTTTATCTCCAAATTCAAATTTGAAAATTTCACTCTACACTTGCCAAAGGGACCTAGCCTATAGGAGGCAGGAAGATGTCACCCCTGTTGCGGGCATTACCTGACAGCATAGCAGTGATGGACAGAATCTCGTTAGAGCAGTTAAACTCGCAGCTCGCAATGACCATCTTTGCCAGTTGTGGGTCTAAAGGAAACTCCGCCATCATGGAGCCCAGCTCAGTCAGGTCTCCATCGTCGTTAAGAGCAGCCAGATAATTCAGCAGCTCCAGCGCCCTCATCAGAGTTTCAGGAGCTAGACACAGATTCACAATTATAAAAGAATACCGACTTGTTAAACACAAATACAAACTAGAAAAGCTGACTCACCCGGAGGATCCATAAAGTCAAAGTGAACAAGATCATCAATACCCAGCTTTTTCAGCTGCAGCACAACTGACCCCAGGTTAGAGCGAAGAATCTCAGGATATGTGTTGTCCTGGATTAAAAAATGTATTTACATTTATGTAATATATTACATCATAATAATACATTATATTACATATTCACAAATGTTACCTGCATTTCCGTTTTATAGGCTTTTTCAGTGTAGAGTCTAAAACATTTGCCTGGGCGGGTTCTCCCAGCTCTTCCTGCCCTCTGCTGGGCAGAGGCTTTACTGATGGCTGTGACCAACAGAGATTCAACTCTGATTCTAGGATTGTACACCTATTTAGGGAAAGAAAAACATACAATTAAAAAGAATAATAAATACAAACAAACAATAACAATGGTTGATAACATACCTTTTGTTTGGCAAAACCTGGGTCTATCACAAATACTACTCCATCAATTGTCAGAGAAGTCTCTGCAATGTTTGTCGAAACCACGACCTACAAAAAAATAAACACTGTAAAGCGGATGTACAATTTACAAACACAAAAAGTTTAAGATTTACATGCAGACCTTTCTTCCAATGGCACCATTAGGCTTCCTTGGAGGGGGTGGTTCAAAGATCCGTTGCTGCTGCTGTGGTGGTAGCGTAGAATACAGTGGAATGATTTTAATATCCCCAACTTCCGGTCCTAGATCATCGACCTCACGCTTGATCCGTTTGCAGGCTTCATCTATTTCCTGTCAATACAAACAAATGGTGAACAATTATTTGCCAAAGTAATAATCACTATTGCAAGGTGTGACAACTTACTTCTTGACCAGTGAGAAATAGAAGACAATCTCCTTCGTCTTCTTCACACATGTGAATCTGTATGACTGTACGAATTGCTGCCTCGAGGTAGTCCCTCTCCGGCTCAGGTGTGTAGAATATTTCTACAGGATGAGTTCGGCCAGGAATAGTCAGCAGGGGACAGTTGTCAAAGTACACCTGGAACTTGCCAGCATCTAGCGTTGCACTCATAACAATGACCTTAAGCAAAAATATAATGATTACACATCTCTCATGAGGATGAAACGTTACCAATTGACTTACCTTCAAATCCGCTCTCTGACGTACCACCTCCTTAAGAACACCCATCAAGATGTCTGTTGCCAGGGTTCTCTCGTGAGCCTCGTCCAAAATAATGACACCATAACGTTCCAGCAATGGATCATTCATAGCTTCTCTGAGTAACATACCATCTGTCATGTACCTGAAGAAAAAAATTTGAAATGACAACCATTACACCAACTGCAGTCTCGGAAAAGGAAAAATCCTCTGGTGCATGTGGAGGAAAATTACTTCAATATAGTCTTTGCAGAGCTACAATCTTCAAATCGAATAGAGTAGCCCACTTCCTGTCCAAGCATCACATCCATTTCATCAGCCACTCTTTGTGCCACACTCATGGCAGCCACTCTTCGGGGTTGTGTACAGGCAACTGCCCTCTTGGGACCAGGCTGGCCTCTCACCATATCAACACACCACTGAGGAATCTGCACACACACTTTACAGTAAATACCAAATAAAAGGTGTTGGGTATTTTAGACAGCACAATATAAGAATGATAACCTGAGTGGTTTTTCCAGATCCCGTTTCTCCCACAAGGACAAAGCTCTGTTGACGTGTGATGATATCATTGAAGCTTTCTTTGTATTCCCACACGGGCAGCTGAAGCCTCTTCTTTAGGATCTCATAGTAACGAGGAGTATGAGGCAAGTTTGTGAAAGGATTTATTTGCTGATTCACAGCCATCTGCTTGAGGCCAGGTAGACTGGGGCCTGTGCCTATAGAGGGGGTAATCTGGGGTTTGGAGTCTCGCTCTCGATCACGGTCCCTGTCCCTATCTCGGTCTCTATCTCTGGAGCGGTCTTCGCGGTCTCGCTCACGATCACGATCTCTGTCCCGGTCTCTGCTGCAGAAAAAAAAAACAGACGGACAGCACTTATTTCAATCCCAAATGGCTGAATTTTCACAATAAATAGTCACATTCCTATTTGACTTAACAATTTGAGACGTAGATATTTGGATAAGTGAATTTGATATACCTATTCTGGAAAGCAGTTTCAAAATAATATTTGGGTAGAACGTCTCTAACAATATGGTGTGATTCAATTTATTTATAAATGAAAATAAATAAAATAGTAAACCACTGTGTAATTATTTGGATTACAACAGATCTTGTTTACGTTCGTACCTTCAGGGTGCCACCCTCTTAAAAACTGACTATTGAAATGGAAACCAATGAAATGAATAATATAGACATAAATAGGCTGGTGATGGAGTGGGGTAGATTATAAGTGGTTTGCCTTGACATCAGCACAGCCTGATGCAGCATGTGTGTGTATCTAGTGCTCATTTGCCGCTAGCTGCGGTCACACGTGCCTCAATAGGAAGTTTCTGCAGAAGCTAATGTTGCTAATGCCGCATTTGCAACGTTCCGAACCCGTTCAGTTGAAAGGACTGAGATCAATATACAATGGCATATATGGCACGAATGACCATGCATATGAAACATAGCTATGGTATACATGTGATGTGTGGGTCAACAGACGTTTGAGCAGTTAGTTTCTGTGGTAGCCATTAGCCAAGGGAAGCTAACAGTGAGCTAACGTTAGCTTCCCATCTCAGCGCCGACATTATCCATGACGAGGAGACACTTACCCATCAGAACGCTTCTTGGAAAAATATTCGTCACCCAAATCAAGACGATGTCGCTTGGACATATTTGAAGGCGTGTACCCAACAATACGCACTAATTAGCGGCCAAACAGATAAACTATTATGTTCCTGGTCCTGTCTGTCTAGTGCGGCTTTTTTCTCTTTCCGGTAGAGTAATTTCCACACTGCCCTCTGCTGGCAGCAAAACAATGCACAGTCCATACTGTTTACACGTTGAATGGAAACGTCGGACTGCCAATGTTGCACATAGATGTAATATATCCGGCATGAACATTTTATTGCTCGCATGGATCTTGATATGAAGAAATTCCTTATCTTGATATGCAACACAGGTGTGGTGGGATGGATTGAGCAGCAAAGTAAAAGTAATGTCATGACCGAACCACCTGCTTGAAACAACTATCTGGTTTATGAAGCAGAAAGATTCAGGATCCTGTTTAAAAACACTTCTCCATATCACATGACATCGGCAAATCATCCAATGTATTTCAATCTGCAATTATGGCCAATAACCAATAGATATGGCCAATAATTAATAGTTACTTAATGTAACTTAAGTTCTACGAATAGGTGCGTAGTCCCTTAGGACTTCGCTAGTGGGATATCACTCGTGACCCCCAGGTCACACGCCAGAGAGATCAAAATAATTTGCTCCAATCACCAGCCACCTTCCTCTATAAATGCCCCTGCACAAGGCCGCACCCCCTCTTGAACTCTGCCAAGCCGGGCTGGCCTGATGGGCTCGTAGCTAAGGGACTACGCACCTATTCGTAGAACTTAAGTTACATTAAGTAACTATTAATTCTACGTCATGGTGCTACGTCCCTTAGGACTTCGCTAGTGGGACACAACGCGGAGGCCGTAGGAAAATGTACTCCCAGCAGGCCAGCGAAGGGTGATTGGAGCTCCGCCCGAGCAAGGCCCTCACACAGTGAGAGGACTCAGGGCAGAAGAAACAAGCGTGTTACGGGGCCACTCCTACCAAGGATACCCCCAAGTAACACAAGCCGTAGGTCATCCGTAGTCACAGGACGCCTCTCTCAAGAGCTCCTGACGTGGACTACCAGACCGACCACACACACAAACGTACCGCACCTGTAGGATGCCTCTCCCAAGAGCTCCTGCACCAGGGCGGAAAATAGACCGAAGGCCCCCCTAAGGGGAGGGACCCAACGGTCTAATTCAGTCCGATGCACTCAGCACGGAATGGGCCACCGACCGGTCCGACACATCCAAAAGATAAGACCGGACGAAAGAGGAGGACGACGCCCAAGAAGCCGCACGGCAAACGTCCTCGACCGACGCCCCCCGGAGAAGGGCCGTAGAGGCCGCCATCCCACGCGTGGAATGCGACCTGAAACCCACCGGGGGGGCCAGGCCCTGCGACTGATACGCACGTCGCACCGCCGTGGCGACCCAATGCGCCAGCCGCTGAGCCGACAGCGGGGCGCCCCTGTTCTTGGGGCCCAGACACACAAACAGCTGATCACCCGACCTGAATGACGACGTCATGGCCAGGTAATGCCTCAGCATTCTGATAGGACACAGAAGGTGCTGCCGCTCCTCCTCGGGGGAGGCATGCGGCGGCGGGTGGAAAGCCCTAATCCTGATGACTCTCGACCTAAAGGCCGACGTGATGACCTTGGGGAGAAAAGCCGGATTGGGCCACAACTCCACCATGCCGTCGTCCTCTCCAAAGGACAGGCACGACGCATGGACGGAGAGCGCACACAAATCGCCCGCCCTCTTAGCAGACGCCAACGCCAGTAAGAGGGCCGTCTTAAAGGCGATACACTCGGGACTCGCCTCCGCCGCCGGTTCAAAAGGCGAACCCGACAGCCCCCTAAGGACCACCCTGAGGTCCCAAACCGGAGGCGTTCTCTGGAGCGGGGGCCTCCTTCTGCGCGCCCCCCGCAGAAAACGTTTAACCAACGGGTGAGAACGGGCTGTGAACCCCCCGAACCCGTCGTGACCCGAAGTAATGGCTGCCGCGAACACCGCCAAGGTGGCGACAGCCCTCCCCTTGTCGAAGAGCTCCTGTAGGAATCCCAGGACCCCCTCCAGCGGGCAACACCTGGGATCCCAGGAACGGGAATCGCACCAGACACTGAATAGCCTCCACCTCGTGGCGTAAGCCCTCACGGTGGACGGCGCCCTCGCTCCCTGAATGGTCTCCACCACCGCAGGGGGAAGACCCAGATCTACGAGGCTCCGCCTCTCAACCTCCAAACCCAGAGCCTGCGGCCGATTATCGGACGTGAAAACAGGGCTCCTGCCCCCTGGACTAGAGCCCCCGGCTCGTCCGGGAGGGCCCAGGGCTCCATCACCGCCATGCCCCTCAGGAAGGGGAACCACCGGGCATGCGGACTGTCCGGAGCCACCAGAATCACCGATCTCCTCTCCTGTTCGATCCTCCGCAGCAGGACCGGCAGGAGACGCACCGGTGGGAAAGCGTACAACAGGCCGCCTGGCCATGGGTAATGAGCCAGAGCGTCCACGCCTAAAGGCGGCTCGTCCGCGGCCCTTAAGGCGAACCAGGACGGGCACTGTGCGTTCTCTGCACTGGCGAAAAGGTCGACTACTGGACGGCCGAACCTCCGCCAGATCTCCGCAGCTACCCGTGGGGCCAGGCCCCACTCGTCCTGGAGTGGGCCCCCCCTGGACATTCTGTCGGCTCCCACGTTCCGGACCCCCGGGACGTGGCGCGCCCTGAGAGACAGGAGGTGAAGCGCCGCCCACAGCAGCGTCACCGTCGCCATGCGATGGAGAGCGGGGGACCTGGTGCCCCCCTGCCTGTTCAGATAGGAGACCACTGTGGTGTTGTCTGAGCGAACCATCACGTGTCTCCCCTGCAGCTGAGGAGCAAAGTGCAGCAGTACCCTGTGTACTGCCTCCATCTCCAGCAGGTTGATGTGACGGGCTGAGTCCGACCAGCAGCCTCCTACAGAGCTCTGGCCGAGGACCCCGCCCCATCCTTCGAGCGACGCGTCCGTGAACACCTCGACGTGAGACACAGCGCAGGCCAGAGTCACTCCGTCCCGCAATAGACCCGGAGTGAGCCAGAACCTGATGTCCGATGCTGCCCCTTGGGGAACCCAGATCAGCCTCCCCCCGTCCCGGGAGGGGTGAAGCCTGAGGCGCGAGAACCACCTCTGAAAATTTCTCATGTGGAGCAGGCCTAGCCGCACCACAGCATGAGCCGCTGCCATCATTCCCAGCAGGGACCTGAGGCGCCGAGCGGGGACTCTGGGGCCCGCCAGAACCTCCCGGGCCAGACGGGTAATATTCATCCGTCTGTCCACGGACAATGCAGCACGGAATATCACAGAGTCCAGCTGCAGACCGAGGTAAACCATGCGTTGGGCTGGCTGCAGCTTGCTCTTCTCCCTGTTCACCACAAAGCCCAGACGCTGTATGTGGGACAGGACCCATTGCGTGTGGCTCACAGCCACTTCCCTGGATGGGCCCAGTATTAACCAATCGTCTATATAGGTTAATATTCTTACCCCCGCACGTCTGATCGGCTCCAGAGCTGCTTCCACACATTTGGAAAAGGTCCGAGGCGCGAGTGCGTACCCGAAGGGTAGACGGCAGTACTCGTAATTCCTCTCTCCCACTGTGAAGCGCAGAAACCTCCTGTGTTCTGGCACTATGGGCACGTGGAAGTACGCATCTGTCAGGTCTATGGAAGTCATCCAGTCTCCTTCCCTGACACACTCGAGGAGCTGCCTTGTGGACAGCATCCGAAACTGCCGTTTGGAAATGCACTCGTTTAACACGCGCAGATCCAGAATGGGACGCACCCCGCCTGATTTCTTTGGCACTAAGAAGTAAGGGGAGTACAGCCCCCTGGTGGCGTCCTGCGGGTCTACCTCCACTGCCGCGCCTCGACTCAGCAGAGAGGAGACCTCCGCTTGTAGTGCCTCTGTCGATCCCCGTACCTGAGAGCGTACTGCCCGTACGCCTCGGAATGGTGGTGGCTTTCGGAAAAATTGCAGCGCGTAACCTCTGCGCAGAGTTTTCTCCAGCCAAATATCTGTCAGTAGGCCCTGCTCCCTCCAGATGCTGTAGAAATCTGTGAGGGGCGGAACGGGAGCTGGAACACGAGACGTCACTGCCCCGCCCTCTCCTGGTGTTCCTAGCAGGGAGGGGGGGTGGCTGAAAGGGCCGGGGGGGCCCCTGCGTCACACCGTGAGCGCCGAGGGCGGTCACGTGTTCTGCAGGCCCGACGTCATAAGTACGAGACTGCTCACCACACGTGACTCGGCTGCTGTGCCCCCCCCTGGCTCTTGCCTCATGGAGGGGGGGGCGAGCCCCTGGAGTGGGAAACCCCGTGTTAGCCTTGTAGCTCTGCTCACCACACGTGACTCGGCTGCTGTGCCCCCCCCTGGCTCTTGCCTCATGGAGGGGGGGCCGAGCCCCTGGAGTGGGAAACCCCGTGTTAGCCTTGTAGCTCAGAGATGCTAACACGCGTTCGGCCGGAGCACACACATTATCACTCACCAGATCCCTCCGCCTGCCCTCTCTCCGGGAGGGCAAGGCATGAACCCGAGAGTCGGAGCTCGTGGCCCGCATAGCACGCTGCACGCCCCTTCTCTGGGGGCTGCAGGCCTAGCGGAGCCACGTTATATGCTCGAGAAGTAACACAATCAGAATTCAAATCATTTGACATGTTACATACCCCCAAATGAGACTCAGACAGCGAGTACTGATGAAATGCCGGACGGCCTTTATTGAAAGCATTTTTCCCACCCCGACCTCCTCTGCCATAGGGAGGCCGTCGGTGGGAGTGTTGGTCCCGCGAACCTCCCGTGTGCCTGTCTGGGCCCGGGGGTCTCGTCGCTGGGGAACGATGGACCACGGAGCGTGGATATGGTCCGGGGCGCCTGCCGGGCGAGCGCTCCCTGCCTCTGTCTCGGCTCCGCGCTGGTGGGCGGGCCTCGCGTCTCGCAGCTAGATGCTGGGCTAGGCTAGCAGAGTCCTTAGCAGCGGTGTCCAGCCTAGTCATCAGCGTCTGCATCTCCGGACCGAAGAGTGACGTTTG